GGCGCCCATCCATCTATCAAAAGTTGCCGGAGGAGCTGGAGGACAAGCTCATAAACTTTTAGCGCTTCGTGAACCGGCTTCGGGAGCAGAACGACTACATGATGGGGCAGATTGGCAACGCCGATGAGACCCCCGTGTGGTTTGACATTCCTTCGTCGACCACAATCTCGCAGCGCGGCGCCAACGATGTGAAGCTGTTGTCCACTGGCAATGAGCACTCGTGCTTCACCATCATGCTGGCATGCACAGCAGATGGTAGAAAGCTTCCGCCCTTCATCATTTTCAAACGCAAGACAATGCCGAAGGAAGTGTTCCCGCCCGGTGTTGTCGTTCGCGTTAACAAAAAGGGATACATGGACGAGGCCATGATGCTCGAATGAATAAGAGAGGTGTGGAACCGTCGGCCAGATGCACTGCTGCGTCTTCGCAGCATGCCGGTGTTGGATGCGTTTCGTGGGCACTTAACCGACGCAGTGAAACGCACACTCGACGACGAGAAAACGGACCTCGCCGTGCTACCAGGTGGTATGACGTCCACCCTCCAGCCGCTCGACGTTGTGCTAAACAAGCCGTTCAAGAACCGAGTGCAGCTGGAATACCAAGAGTGGATGTCCGGCGACAACCCCAAGACAAGACACCGACTACAGAGGCCTACGCTTGCGACTGTTTGTAGCTGGGTGCTTTCCACCTGGCGTTCCTTGCCGGATTCCTAGGTGGAAAATGCTTTCAAGAAATGTTGCATCAGCAACTCGCTGGATGGCACTGAAGACGACGCACTGTGGGAGGCGGCCAGCGACAAACTCGTCTTCAGAAGACAGTGGTGCTTCGTCGGACGAATAGGAGCAATTGCGATGGTGGTTGAGGGGAGCTCCGACGATCGAGGTGCGGTGCGCCCAATTCACAAATAAATGTGGTTCGGCAGTTTTGGATTGTCCTTTTTTTTTTCTTTTTTGGTAACCTGAACTTGGGGGTTCGACCTATATTCCCACTTGACCTATAGTCTGGTCTATACGGTAACATTTGTTATGGCCCAAGCCCGAAACGTCAGAAGAAGGACACTTGTCGATAAATTCTCGAGGGTATGTCGATTCTTTCCTAGATGCATATACAGTTATGTAGGTGCGTGGCTTACTCGCCGGTATTCTGGTATTGTTCTGCCGGTTTCTCGTTGGTTCTGGCTTAATTCATGCGGATCACACATGCTTGTCGCATGACGCCATTGACAGGTAGAGCATGCACCTGCAATGACACGCCCCGTGACCTTTAGTAGTGCATCAAAATCATCTCGTGGTTCCTGATAAAATGCGCTTCTTTTATCGTAGCGAGAGATCCAGCGAGCACTCTTCCGTAGAATGTTGGCTCAATTTGCAAAACACAGTTCTTTGGTACTTTCACTGCGTTGTTATGGAGAACTGAAGATGCGATTTGTTCTGCGAATTCTCATTATGACTGTCTTTTCCACAATGGTTAATGAACTCACTTTTCTCTAAGCTCTACACTTCGATAGGCAAGAAACTTAACAAGCGTTTCGTGTTTCAGCTCCGTGCTAAAGCCTGCAGTACTGCTGTAGCTCGTTGCCCCATTGGCGCATGACCGATGGTACTGCACAAAAAGATTGTGTGGTAAAGCCCTTAGCAATATGTCGCACAGCATTGCTGAAAAGGACATCTTGCTCATCCCAAGGGTCTCCAGTTCTCTGATGTTGATGATGACCTGGTCGTACAGCTTGGGAATGGCAGACGGGTCACTTGAATGAACTGAAGGCAATGTACAAAGCCTGGAAAAGTACTCCAGTTCGAGTCTCCTTTTGTCACCAAAGCGTTTCTTGAGTATGTCGATGGTGTCCTTGCAGCAAGCTTCTGTGATTAGAAGGCTCACAATAGCTGAAACTGCGCCGCCTTTTAGAAAGAACCTCAGGTAGTTGAACTTGTTCATTGCCGTGAAGCTTCCGTTCCGATGAATCATCTAATCAAATCGCTCTTTAACGTCGTTCCACCGGCACAGGTCACCAGCAAATGGGGCAATGGTAAGTGAGTAGCTTGGCCCCAGAGGCTCCAGTGGTACTGACTACTGACGAAGTCTGAAGCCCTGGTGTTGATGACGTGGCCGCAACAGTACGGTCACACTTGCTAAGAAGCTCACTCATGATGCTGTTAGCGTCCTCTAATTCAATGACGGCGTAGTACTCTTCCTTAAACTCTTCACCTGGTATGTGGCTCTCTAACTCCTTGTTGATTTGGTTCAGCTCATCATAGTTCGCCTTCAAACTCCCATAAATGGCATTGAGCTGATTAACGGTGGCAGCTGCATCGCCGAGAAAAGCTCTTGCCTTGTTGATAATTCTGGTGTTGAGATTGTCTCGACGTCCGCTTTGGTTTCAGCCTCCCCATGAGGGTCAGTTTACTTGTAGCCTACCGTAGTCTTCCGTGGTCCCTCGTAGCAGTTCCTGGATCTTCAGCACCAACTTGCTTAAAATGGCAAACGGTTCACTGGCAAGAAGCGAGGCTAATAAAAAATGATATTTATTTTCAGCTGTCTTCGTCGATTCCTGGCTGCAAGTGCGCAAACTTGCTTGTGGAATGAGGCGCTTCTTGCTCGGTTCGACCTGGCGCTGCGCTTGATTAAACACCCATACATATGCTAGAGTAGGCAGTTGCAGCCTTGAGGAAGACAAAGATTGCTTGCCAAAACATCTGTTCCAGTGACAACCCATGCTCGAGAATTTTTCCAACTCCAAAAGAGTTTGTTGACATGCCTACTGCAGTTCTCTCATATAACCTGTCAGTGCCAACACCACATTGTCACACCTAACAAGAAAACAACATAAGATTACTTGGAAGACATTTACAAAGCTTTCTGTTGGCCATATTTGCACAAAAACACCAGTGACAAGAAAGAAACAAAAAAAAACACGTGACAAGTGAACTAATAATTTGAAATTTTATTCTTGAATGCACATACATTCGGCTCCCGTTAATACGAAGTTCATGGGAACCACAAAAAACTTCGAATTAAACTGTCTTCTAATTAAGCAAAATGCACAAAAAAATGCACTTTTATTGCTTCAAACATGACAGTTCTCTAAAAAAAATAGCCTGTCATCTTCTCTTGCTGAACCTGGCTGTGGCTAGCAAGCACTACACATGTCGAAGTAATTTTTCAGCTTTGTCTTCAACAAAACTAGAAAAAAAAAATGCAGCACAGAAGGAAGACCTGCAGCAACATCAGTAATCCTTGGTGGCGGTTCGTTTCTACGCCGTCGTCCGCTAGCCGAACCATCTGCGCAATTTTTCTCTTCATCATTGGACCGCATCTATCAACATTATTGTTCACGGCAACGAAGTTTTTTTAGAACGAATGCCACTAACATCAGTCCCAAAACTACCGTCGTCGAGTTCACCTGTTTGCACTTGATGAAATTCGAGAACGAGTTAGGCTTAACGCTGTACTTTTGTGCAATCTTTGCTTGGTGGTGCCCTTCTGGTTAACTTCTTTCAAGACTTTCGTCCCCAGGTCAAGCATTCCGTAGGGGCTGTGAGTTGACATTATCCAATGTCGCCCCCACAACACTCAAAATCAGCTGTAAAAGCACGTGCGGAATCAATCCACAGTGCATTGGCCGGTTAGTTGGTTCATCATGCTATGTTTGAACAGCGCAACTGGACGCAGAGGAAGCAGAGCACGCTAACACACAAGCAGCGCTGAATGTGTGTTTGAGCATGCTTTTCCGCCAGTGTCCGGTCGCGCTGCGCTAACTTCTACCAGACTTCAACCCAGCATGCAGCTGAAGCACTCGACATATCACAACGAAAGACCTAGTTAGCCGATGCGATCAATGCGATGCTTCGGCGTTGACTAAGCAAGATGACCACTGCCCACAGCGCCATGAACTAAGCAAGATGACCACCACTGCCCACAGCGCCATGAAATGTGGCGCTGTGGGCAGTGGTGATAGCGACAACAGCGTGATCTGACAGCTGTCTTGGCAGTCTCGGTATATAAAAAATTCTCAATTTTATTGAAAAATTACGGTCGCCTCAAGGCTTTCGAATAAAAATCTTCTAATTAACCAAAATTATGGGCTTTTATCTTTGAATTATCGAGCATTTTTTCCATGGGCCTGGATGCAGAATTAATGGGACCACTTTTTGGCTTCTAATAAACCGAAAATTCCAATTAAGCAACTTTGAATTATCGGTAGTTGACTGTATATACAGTGTGAAAACGCATGGTTAAAATTAAAGGTTGACAGTTATATAATTATTCTTTAATGGTGGTAAGCTTGCATAATATCGAAACTGATTTTCTAACCATCAACCCCTAATACTAATGACGTGTCTTTGCACCAAATATATTTGTGTTTTCGGCAATATAGTTTCCAAATAAGTTCTCCGGAAACTTGCAAGGTGGTGGAAGGATTAAGAAATCCATACAAATTTCCTTATGGCTTCGTGCTAAAAACAGGCGGTTGTCTTCTTTCCCTTTTTTAAATATAGTTTTGAGTTGATAGTCAACACTCGTCTAGTGTTTCTTCTTATTTTTCCTGGTTTTTCGCGTGAAATGCTCTTTGTAGTGAAGCCTACAGCTCTCTTCTTCTGTGTTCTTTTCTAAAGTAACATCATCAACTATGTTATGCCTGTGTTGTAAGACAATCTCACATGCGCTGATTTGTTCAGAGTGCACAGAAAAACATTAAAATGCCACTGTTTAGTAAAAGGCACACCTATTAAACTGTTTGCAGCAAGCCACTTGTGGTGACATTTGTGGTATAGGTCGCTTATAGGACAATGAAATTATGGGGACCACATGAAGTACACCTAGAATATGCCAGTTTTACTAACATTATGCATTGCAAATCTGTGGGGGCAGATAGAGAGCAAGCTTTCCAAGAGTGAGGATCATGACTAAGAAAACTCCACATTAAAACAGCTGCAGCAGTCATGCAGTCAAATATACCGAAAAAGATTGTGGGAAAGTGATAACCAATGCATACTGCTTACCTTATTCAATGCCTGCACTACATGAGCCATGTCTATCCAAGGCCTGTTATCCTTTGTGACTTGATGGAAGAGGTAATCTCTGAACAACTTAAGCATGTAACGATCCCCAGTCTCGGACCACGATGTGTCGAGATGAAACCTGCACACCACCGCCACAACAAGCACAAAATACATTCATTCATTATGCGACCAAGAAAGGTTGAGATTTCCACAAGAAGAGAGAAGCACAGACTGTGGTAGTTGACAAGTACCGTATTTACTAGTGTAATGAACCCACTCGCATAATGAACCCAACCCCCAACTTGGTCCTTGAAAAAAGAAAAAAAAAAAAAAAACTTTTTATGTACCTGTTTGTTTTATTTCGGTATGATAACCAGTGCAGTTGATAACCAAAACAACGTTAAATCAAGCCATTATATCACAAAATAATGATGCAATAAAAGTCAAAGCACCGTTTAACAACCATGCTAAACAGCTGCGAACAGCGCGAGCTCAGAAGACGTCAATCAAAATTTAAAAGTCGCGATGGATGGATGGATATGGCTGTACCCTTTAGATCGGGCGGTGGCTAGCGCCACCAAGCCGTAATACTTAATCAACCAAAAACTATATTTTTTTTCCCCTTTAAATAGTTAGGTTGGGGATTCGAACTTTGCAGTGAAGGGTTTAAATTTCACTCGTGCCTTGACTTTAGCCACCAATCAGATAACCTCCTTCTAGTTAATTCTACCCGCTTAACGTCTATTTTGCCCTCCCTGTCCCTAAACCCCAGTGCTTTGAAAAACTCTGTGCCATCATCCTGAACAATAGGGTGAAGCCCTTTACAGAACATTATCAAGTGTTCGGCAGTTTCTTCTTCCTCTCCACACGCACTGCATACCGTGTCTACCCCTTCGTATTTGGTCCGATATGTCTTGGTTCGCAATACTCCTGTCCTGGCCTCAAACAGTAGAGAACAAGTATTATCATAGATCCTTTCCTTGGCAATTTCCTGCTTAAAAGTTCGATAGATCTCTAGTGTGGACTTCTTAATCATGCCAATTCTCCACATATCGCTCTCAGCTTCCTTCACCTTCTTCTTAACAGATAATTCTTTTTGGTTTGGCCCCCTGCTCTTTTCCAAGTATTTACCAGTCAATTTTCTGGTGTGCTTCCTCCATTTTGTATCGACATTCTTCATGTACAAGTAGCTGAATACCTTCCTAGCCCAACGCTCCTCCCCCATTTCTCTCAATGGCTTCTCAAATTTTATCTTGCTGCTAGCTTCCCTGCCCTCAAATGATGTCCATCTCATATCACCTTGAACTCCCTGATTTGGTGTATTCCCGTGAGCTCCTAAGGCAAGCCTACCTATTCCACGTTGCTTAATTTCTAATCTTGTTTGAACTTCTAATCTCATGCACAAGACCGCATTGCCGAACGTCAGACCAGGAACCATGACCCCTTTCCATATTCCTCTCACAACATCATACCTATTGTAATTCCACAGTGCCCTGTTTTTCATTACCGCTGCATTCCTGTTACCTTTAGTGGTCACGTATGTTTCGTGTTCCCTTAGGTACTCGGCCCCATTGCTTATCCATACGCCCAGATATTTATATTTATCTGTTATCTCTAGCGTGACCTCCTGTATTCTAAGCTCACTACCTTCATTGTCATTAAAATAAAAATCATGACTGCTGATTTTTCCTTACTGAATCTGAAATCTAACCTATCTCCCTCATTATCGCAGATGTCCACCAATCTCTGCAAATCTTCCTTGTTGTCGGTTATGATAGCACTATATCATCTGCATAGATCAATACTGGTAGTGCCTGCTCAATGACTTTTCCTTGTTTGACGAAAGAGAGGTTGAAGCCCAGTCCACTTCCCTCTAATTTGGCCTCTAATCCTTGTAGGTACATCATGAATAATAAGGGTGACAGGGGACACCCCTGCTTAAGCCCCCATTTTACCTCTGCAGGCTTGGATACCTGTTTTTCCCACTTTATAATTACCTTGTTAACCTTTACAGATATCCTTTAAAAGATTAGTGACTACATCTTCCATGCCTAGTGTGTCCAGTATTCCCCACAATTCCTCTTGAACTACGCTACCGTACGCTCCCTTGATATCCAAAAATTCTACCCACAGGGGCCTGTGTTTCTTTTCTGCTATTCGATGCACTGCGTCAGTGAGAACAAATTGTCTTCCAACCTCCTGTGTTTTCGAAACCCATTCTGTAGTTCCCCCAGCACCCCCTCATCCTCTATCCATGCCTGCAGTCTTCCCTTTATAATCTGCATCGCCAGCCTGTAGACACTGATGTCACTGTTATAGGACGGTAGTTGTTTATGTCAGCTTTGTCTCCCTTTCCTGCATAGATCATGCTCATCCTGCTAAGTTTCTATCCATCGGGAACTTCTCCAACGATGATTATTTTGTTCACTGCCTCTCTAAAAGCCTGCTTAGACTTCGGACCTAATGTCTTTATCAGCATAATTGGAATGCCATCTGGGCCTGTTGATGTACTACACGGAACCCTTTTCTAAACCCTTTCCCACTCTCGTTGTGAAAATGGAGCCATTGCACCACTTGATTCATCCTTGTCTATTGTGGTGAATAAAGCACTTCTTTGTTAAAATTTTTCTGTCACCCTTGTTCTCATATATTCAATAGCTTCGTCCCCTTTTAGCCTAGCGCCTTTAGCTGTAGTTATAAACCTCTGCTCTAGGCTCGTCTCATTTCTTAGGGAGTTTAGATGGTTCCAAAATTTCGCAGCTGCCTTTCTATCTTTTTATGTACTTCTGCCAGCCACTGAGCTCCCTTTCTTCTAATCTTTTCATTGATCAGAAGGGATGCATCCCTTCTACAGCTTAGAAAGATCTCCCATTTTCTTTCAACATCATCTGTCGGTTGACCCCGCTGCTTAGCATGTCTGTGTTCCCTAGAGGCTCCCTGGCCTTTTGCTATGGCTCTCTTAACTTCCTCATCCCACCAACTCTTCGGTTCGTGTCTTCTTTTCCGGGGTGACTTGTCACGTGCCTTAGCAAGCTCTAGCTCAAACAGTCTAATTAGATTTGTGTATGTCCACACTGTTTTATTATCCTCAGTGATTACTTTCTCAATTTGTTTAGTGGCTATTTCAATTTGCCTTTCTGAATAAAAATTTTCCTGTAGTTGCTCATCTTGTCTCCTTCCCACTTTCACTGCTCTTCCAAAACTTAGCTTGATACGTTTAGTGATCACTACCCAGACTTCTGGAGCCACCTTCATCTATTTGCATTCCCCTGAGCTTATCATACATCCTATGTGACATCAGTGCGTAATCTATCGTCGACTGTAGCCTTCCTACCTCCCATGTTATTTGCCCTTCACACTTCTCGGTACTGTTGCAAATGATCAAATCAAGCCTTTCACACATATCCATGATCATTTTGCCTGTCGGGTCGGTATACCCACCTATATCTTTTATGTGCGCATTCATATCTCCTAGGATAATTATCTCGCACTCTCCTCCTAACTCCTGAATGTCATTTGATATACACTCTACCATTGCCTGGTTTTCCTCTCTGGCCTTTGCTCCCGTCCACAAGTACACGAAACCAAGGAGTGTCATTTGCCCTGCCATTTTCCCTTTCAGCCATAAATGTTCCTTGCACTCCTGCTTGACCCTTTGCCAGTCTGTACTTTTATGAATGAATGCCCCAATACCACCCCCTTTTCTGCTGCCTTCTGTTCTATTGCAATATTCCCACGCGTAGTCTGCATTTTTAGGAGGCTGTTCCATGTCCCTGAGATGTGTTTCGACAAAACCGTATACCATAGGCCTCTCCTCCCTTAGCTGTTCTTCTATCTCTTCCCTCTTCAGCCTGTTCCTACCACCCTGCATGTTAATATACCCTATGTCTGAATTGGCTCGGCGTCGTGGCTACGTCTATTGCTGCCCCGGACTCTACCTATCTTAGATACTGGCGCCACTTTGGAATCGTATCTGTCCATACTACCTGTCAGAGTCTCCCTGGTTGTTTTCCTCGTTACTAGCTATCCTGCACCCGGAAGGGCCCGCTTGCCCCCCAAAAAAGCTACTGCGCGTCCTGCAAGTCCCCAACGCACCTCATGACCTAGCCGCTCATCGAAGTGAATTCGGTCTCGTTGAAAACCGCACCACCTATACACCTCTCTGTTTATTTCCACCACCTCAAAGCCTTTCTCTCGACTCATCCGCCATATCTCTTGGTTTGCGTTGACAACCGCTCTTTGCAGGTTGCCTTCACGCACCGGTACCTCCGGTATCGTACATATCACTATCTGTACTCGAGGAGAAGTGGTGCGCATGTCATCGACGCCTTTCGCCAGTGTGGTTGCTACTCCTGCTGTATCTTCATTTAAGACATCGTTTAAACCGCCTAAAATTATCTCGTGGTTTCGTCTATCAGCTGTAGTTTTGAGTTTTGCGCTCGCTTGCTTCATGACTGCTTCCAGCTTGCGTCCTGGCAACGCCCCTACTGCAACCCTCTTGTCACTTCTTACTCTCTTTTTGATGGCTTCTGTGCATCGATTTGAATTCGAGTCCCCGGCTATTATCACCTGCTGTGACTTTTCAGCTGGAGCGTCCTGCACCTGGGGGTTACTTGCAGCTGTGACGCCGGCTTTGTCCCCTCCCAGCCCCACCACTACTTCGCTGAAGCTGGGCCTTGCGACAATTGAACCGGCTGAACCTGTTTTTTGTGTCTTTTGCGGCAGAGCGCCATCTGTCGAATGTAAGAGAAACCTCTTTGCTTATAGCACCACGCAATCCCAGCGGCAAGAAGACAAAGCAAAAAACAAAGCACATGGCCCCCGAGACAGCAAGCGTGCGGCGTAGAAACACGCCACGCACTTGCCATACCGGAGGCCATGCAAAGTGCAACCGCGCCGATGGCGTGTTGTGCTCCCTCAATGTTTCTGCCCCACCATCCGACGCTGTGTTTTTGTTGTCGGATTTCTCATAGTGCACTTAGTTGGATACCTGCTGTGCAGGGTGCGCTCAGCTGCTATGCTACCTACATCGGCTTAGATCCGAGCGCATCCACGCAAACCTGCCGGCGCAACAAAACGATTTTTTGACCACGGCCGCCGATTCTTTGAACACAGCTGCGCGCACCGATCCAGGCGGCCATGCTTTGACTTCTGCGCACGCAGGCACTCTTTCCAAGTTTTTCTACGTGCGAGTTTTGCGGACCTTTCAACCAAGCTACCCAACATGCCTCCTTCCCGTGTGTTTTGGTTTTCAAGGTCGCCCTCCCGCCGCATCCTCCCCTCTCTTTATCGCAACTCCTTGCCCTTCTTTCGCAAATCTGCTCTCCTATCTTGATCACAACCCCTTCGCCCGTCTTTACCGCTCTGCGACGCCCCCGACGCTGACTCTAATTGGTTTCGTTTTCTGACTGGAAATGGGCCCAGAGCTGTTCTATGCGTTCTGGCATGTGTATCGCGTGTGCGCGTCTTGCTTGCTCTTGGTGTGCGTGTGTGGTCATGATGACCAACGGGAGGACTAGCACGCTTTTTCCTGCCGCTCAACAAAACGTCGAAAGCGTGACCGCTTGGCTTGAGCGTAATCCGTGCGTTAGGTGCCGTGTTGCGGAGCGCTTGCTCATAGCTGTTGACCACCTGGCAGCCAACTTGCCGCTTTGGAATACAACATGGCGGCTTTTAAGATCGAACAGTGAAACTTGGAATGGGTGATTTAGGAAGATCAAACATTAGAGTATACTATAGAAGAGCAGTAAGTTGGGCCAGTTGATACTGGTTCATTGTGTAAGGGCTTAAACTTTTCTAAGACATGGCTCACAAAAAAGGCATTAGTATTATGAAAACCTTTACTGCGTATTTATGAAGTCTGGAATACCAATAATGTTCAAATTTCTGGCACCCAAAAACTCCATTGCTGACAGTATTTCACATAGTTCCATAGCCATGCACTGTGCTTTCTCATGTATGCAATTAGCAAGCCTGGTGAGCATGCACACAAAATTCAGTTCACAAGAGCATTCTGTCTTTATTTATACACATCCAATGTGGTTGGAAACTAAATTTGCAACCTTTCTGCACAAAGATAAAAATGTGAGTTCCCCTTTTGTGTAAACATTAACTGCAAAATTGTAAGACTTGCACAGAAGAAAAATACTGCCTCACACACATAGCCCGACACACCTGTCCCATGCAGTTGCACCTAAAAACATTTGCCACGGTAGTTCTATTTGTGACAAACATAAAACAAATAAAGACCAAACAATTGAAATAATAAGCTGTCTCTCACTCTGGTCTTTCACTGACTGTGCCAAGTTTCACAAGCAGCCTGAAGAGCCTTCCATTTTCCACTTCCTGAAAGTGAACAGATTGAAACACAACATTTCCAACTTCACTGTTACGAGAGATGTGAGCTCATAATCACAGTATAACACATAGAGTAAAAAAGTGCCGCCAAGAAGGAATGCTAGAGAAGTTCAGCATGTTACACCTTGCCGAAGAAAAGCACCTGTCAATCCATACTTACATGACCATAATATAACCTACTCTCTTAAAAAAGAAAAGAGTGAAACAATTCAAGAAAGTTAATGCCAAAGTTCCTCAGATGAATGTGTTCAAAAAAAAAAAAAAGAAGAAGAAGAAAGCTTGGCCAACAAAAACAAGTAGTTACCTTTGCAAGTTCGTTTTCGATGACATCACTCCGCATCTGTGCCGCGTCCAGCTGTGTGTAGAAGCGGGCTCCAATCATTGGCATTATGTCGTTAATACTGTGCGTACGAGGTGGCGAAGACAGCAGGTACCTAGGTCACCACAAAACACAATGCGCTTCTGACAAACAAAGCACACGTGCCATCGACAACTGCTAGTTCCCTCTACAGGCTCCCTGAACATTCTCATATTGTCAGACAACAGCCCATGTTATTTTTCGCCTGACTACAAATGTCAAACCTGTATTAGCAGGCCCTCAGCAAAGTAATCTTACCGTTTTAGATGTAACAAAGAATACCATCGCTACGAGAAGCAAGGTGTGTGTTTGTGTGTGTGTGTGCGTAAGGGGTGTGGGACAGGCAAAGCATGTTATTATAGCACCAAGCAATGTGTGTGTCTTTGACTTGCTGGCTTGCAATAGGAGCCTTTATAATACCGATACTTATGGCAAATTTCACTGGTCAAGCTGGAACAATCTTTTTTTGCTCCACGGACAATATGCATTCCCCTGGTCGATTCGGACCAACTTAGCGTTTTCCACAGGCAGATGCGGAGCAACCTACTCTGCGATGGAGTGTTCTGCATTTCTCCAACTTGAAGAAGTGGATTGCGCCCCTACTTCAGCAACACGGTGCCATCATTTCCGGTACGGTCCAGCAACTCGGTTGCTTTCAGCATTTTTTTTAGGCCATGTCTGATCACTCAGTGTGCTTCCTTACATTCCTAAAACAGCATCATTCGACTCTGCTGGACGAGCGGTAAGTTTGCTTCTTGCACTAAGTGATAGCAAGAGTACGAGTTTTGACAGCAATAGCAGCAGCAATGATGATAAACTATCTGAGGAAATTATGTTTAAAGGTTCCCTGACCGGCCGTGCACACTCCTCAAAATCATCGGCTACGTCGAAGAAGTCCCGAAGGTGGTTCACATGGCTTTTGCGTAAACAGCTTGCAGAGAGACACCACATGGAGCATTCACATGTTACATCGGCAGGTTTGGCGTGGTGCAATACAATGTGCTTACTCTGGGTTCTCAGCAGCCGCTACAGATCTCCCAGTTAAGAAATTAGCCATTAGTTCAATATAAGCAATATTATTCATTGATATCAATGTCTCACAACGTATTAAGAACTGCATGAATGCAACATTTTTATTTTCATCTTTTCTTTAAGACTCATTCTTTGGTTCTCAGATTACTCTTCCATCTTTATATCACTCGCATTAGCTGATCATGAATAATTGAACATTTGTTTGCAAAGCTAGGCTTTCCAGCAGAACCCAAGGCAGACCTAACCTTGTCCCCTCAACCATGCATAACAAAAAATAAAAATATCTAAAGAAGGTTACATACAAGATCAGGTTCCTGAGGTCAGTTGAGTAGTTGCGGGACACCAGATCCATTGACTGCTGCAAGTTTTCGCGCTGAATCGCAGCCATGGTGTTGCAGGCCAGAGCAAGTACCAACTTCCCCAAGGAAACCAAGTCTTCTTGCTGCAAGTTTCATTTTCAATGAAATTTTCAAATACACAGTAATGACACATGAATATGACATGTCGAGTATCCATATTCTGGGTGCGATGAACATTGTAGTGTACAGCCTGAAATTGGAAAGTAAACATTTTTTTTTTTTTTCGACTGCAATGCTAATGTGGAATGTGCCAAAATCAGAATTCGACTATTTATAAGGCATGTCATAGCAAGAAACTATCAATTTTGACAACGGTCGAATCCTTTTATAAGAGACACTGATATGAAGAGACACATGGGTAGAGGTACCTTGTATATAAGAGGCATTTCATATAAAAGACAAGAATTGCTGCCTTGAGGTAAAGGGGTCTAACTGTATTTAGGTTCTTCACCATGCACCCAACACACTAAATCCAATTGACAATTAGATTGGGCTATGGTTAACACAGAGCCATAGTAGGTAGCATGAACATACAGCAAGGACATGAATAATAATTGAGGATTGTACTGTCGGTCATTTTGCACAATACACAAGCCAAAAAATTTTGTACACTGTACCCATATGTGGTGATCAAGAATAACAATCAGACATACAAACTCGTGCTTAACAACATGACATAACAACCACTAAGCCACCATAGTGGCTGGGGCACAATTGTCTGCTTTGACCTTTCATAATTAGGAAGCAAGAAAACTGCAGGGGAAATGCAATGCGATGCAGGTGTTTTGATATAAGCTTGACAATTGAATAGTTTCGTTAATTCAAACAATGCTCAAGTCCATAGTTGGTCCACTATATTGAAAATGAATTTTTAAGCTGCCTAATCAATCCAAGCTGCTCCAGTGAACAAAGCCGGCAAATCCAAACCTTTTGCTTATTTATGCCTGCACATATCTGCTGCCTTCGTCGCTTTGAGCTGAATATTTGCATTTTTAAGTCCCTAACAGCAAAAAAATAAAGCTGACTGCCTGCTTACAACATAGCCATACTAGCCATGACATTTGCACTGACAATCGCATGCTCACTGCGAAAAAAAGAACGAAAAAGAAAGATGGCTTGGCCTTGATTTACAGTGTGCCAAACGCATCTTAAACAAATGAAAAATTTTTGCACCTGGGGTTGCTGGAGCAGGCACTTCGACAAACTGACTGGCCTTTTTCAAGGCCGCAACAGAAGATGAGTCCACTTGTCGAAACGCCAGCTTCAGTGGCACCTAATGCGCGCAAAGTCTTCATTTCTTCATGCTTCCATCTTCCACTGAACTTCTGCCTTCTTTGTAAGCTTCTTAAAGTTGGCCTTGCCACAGTACACCGGTGTAATGCAGAAAAACATATTAAGATTCGGAGGGGCCTTCTAGCTGCTACAACACAGCAGATTCGATTTTGTGCAGCACACATGTGCATACACCATGTAACTATGAGTACCAGGACAATCACTGACATCTGAAATGATTACAACCAATTACGCAGAGCTGTCCATGATGTTGCTACAGCCATGAGAAACATTAAACATCCTGACGCCAGTTGGTATACTGCCCCAAGTCATATTTATTGGAACTTCAGATAAATCACAGTTCTGATAATTCTACCAAAATCTTGGAGTTCCCTACATCTTGAATTTGTGAGCCTACCATAACAAACATTTATGTCATGAAATACATACTCAATGACATAAGGAAAAACACAATGAAGTTTAGCCATACTGGCTGGATTTCTGTAAGCCCACACTGGAAATAACTGAACTCTTAAACTTCTAACAGGGTCTTTATCAATGAATGATATTCCAAAGCAGACATGTGAGGACATTTTGTGCTCATCGATTCTTTGTTCTCACTCAAAACCAGCAACACCTGAGAGTTGCCTTTTTAGGATATCTCAACTTTCATTAGCTAATAGCTCGTAAAAACAGTATAACAACACCCCCCATTTTTTGGGGCTGCAACACTGCACAAAACACTGCAGAGTTGTATTTCAACTTTCAATGGCTAATAGCCAGTAAAACTAGCGTAACACCACCCTCATTTTTTTTAGAAGGGGTGGGGGGTGCTGTGACATGGCATAAAATACTTGGCAGAGTTGCTTTCTCAGGACATCTGAACTTTCAATGGCTAATTATCCAGAAAAACCAGTACACCATTCTACGCGAACCACAGTGCAGCAATAACCAGCTACCCAAGGCCAGCTGGGGGTGGGGAGTGATGGCTGCCCAGCCCTCCACAAACCTCCTACAATCCCATTGGGCCCCGTTATGCGGAACCCCACTGCACCCTCAATTAAATGTAAATCATGCTCTCTCACCTTAGCCAAAAACATTTGGTGCTCTTAAAGACGTACAAACCCCCATATTGGTTAGGCAAGAGGTACCTGATAGTGCGGCACAAGTGCCTTTGCGCTGGGCACAGCTGAGTCAAAAGTGAGCACATCCATGATGCCACAGCAGTTTAGGCGCAGACGTGACTTGCCCATGACCAGAATTTTAGAAGGCTCAAAGGAACGGCACGCAAGGCCAGCTGCGTGAATGGTACGCAGCACCGAGCTTAGCTGGACCACAAAAGCCCAAATAAGGCTCTCAGGCAGCAGTCCGGCATGCTGGCGCAAGGAGCCCAGAGCTGCAATGCAACACACAGGAGCTGATCAGGCAGGTAGTGTCACAATCATCAGCTTCACAGATTTTTAATATTCACCAAAATTAACACTGGCCAGAGTGGCACTATACATTCAAGTGGCTTGCACTTGCTATGCTGCTATTACACTTATGAGATGCCACCTCAGTGCAACAACACTAATTGAAATCATGACTGCCGTAAATTCTTGAACAAACTAAAACATTATATACAGCTGAGCCTTTATCTAACAAATGTCCATTGAATGCCACATATATTTAATTTCTCTATAATAAAGGATCTTTATCTGCAATTTCAATATCAAAGCTTCAATGCCGCTAATGCTTCGAAAACCAAGGCAATAAACATAAAGTTCTGTTGGTGCCAGTGGTGATAATAAATTGCATGTGGTTTTCAAGAACAGATTTTTTAAGTCTCATGTACAGGACAGGAAATGGCTGCAAACAGAAAACTGGTTGTATAAAATTGTACTTGATGAAAAAACATTCTAAATACACCTTTGTGGTCATCAGCAGATATGCTAGACAAAAGCTGTGACGTACAACACAAGAGTCCGAACAGTCCGAACTGCATTTCGCACAGTCCGAACTGCATTTCCCCAAGATGACTTCAAGGATAAAGAAATGTTCTTTTTCTACCAAACCGATTATACTGCTGGGCATAACATGACATCATTAAGCTAGTCTGATACCGACCTCCTCCGGCACTTGCCTCTCCACGCTGAAACTACACGATTTAACAAACTTCGTTTTCCTTTTGCAGCAATGTTTCATATGGCTAGGGAATTCTGTCTATACCCCAAAAAACCCTATAGTGTCCTCTTAAGAGCAGTTTATAAAGGGAAAAAAAAACCTCACGGGGTACCTTACGCATACGCCTAAGACGACTCGAAGGCGAGAGCCATTTTGTTTTTAATGTGATCGCAATTATATGGACGTTCTCAACTGGTTTTTATGATCGCCAGGGGCGTAGGCAGAAATTTCAAAAATTTTTTTTTTTGCGGAGGAGAGTGCATTAATGTGAAGGGGGGGCCGGTCAGGCAAACGATTACGTTGTGCTATAATGCCATGGGGAAAAAAATTGGCTCCATATCTGCATTTAATCTGCAAATGTTGTCAAAAGACGATAGTCTTGCGTGTGGAGAGAGTGAACAAAACATTTATTTGATGTTCTGCTCAAGAAAATTGGTGAATGGTATTCACCATTCACCAAGGCGCTGCGTTAGAGTGCCTCGAGCGTGCAGTGGAGGCGAATGAGCGCATTAAGTCACATCACACCTGAGACATGAGCGCCATCTGGCAGTCTTTTTCAAAAACAAAGTGCGCGGCTCTGAGACGGGTGTGCGCGCCCGTCTCAGAGGTGATAAGGTGTAGAACGCAAGACGACGGGTAGGTGCCACCACAGTCTCGTTTTAGCAAAGTGTTGGAAACACTCGCCTTGCCGTGCAAGCGTTGGATGGTCAGCGCAACGTGATCAGCGCTACGATCCTTAAAATTACTTATGTATGCCTTTTCTCGTAAAAGGTGCACATGCAGAATATATACGTGTTGTTATGGTGCCCCAGACACGCGCAATAATTGCTTTTTAATCAACAATTTGCACAAGTATGCACGCTGGACCTTGAGCAACATAGGTGGGTGCTGAGGATGGGGTCGGCCGTTTCAAATACCCGAAGCTGTTAAGAGTGGACAAACAGACAAATGTACAGACGGACAGACAGACCAAAATTTTTTCGTTGAAGGTCCCCAAGAAAGAATATCGTCTTTAATTAAAAATGTCGAGGTGGAGGGAGGAGGGGGCAAGTTCCTGATGTGCCAGCATCCCTGGCTACGCAACTGGCCGTCGTCCTGATGTTTTTTGTATGATGTCCCAATCGATACCCTCCCCCCACCCCGCATCGTGTGTTATACACATGGATAAAATTGCGCAAGCGGGGGCGACGAAGGCAGCTAAAGAAGCAGAGATAAAAAAATCACAGCATATCCACAGAGCGAATAATCACGGGGGGAGAGGGGGACGAAGCAGCCGTCCGTTTGTCTGTGGATATGCTATGCTGGCTAAACCGTAGAAATGGGCTGCCCTAGACCATAAAGAGCTTTACCCTTAAAATTGCTGACTTTTTGCACGGAAGGCGGATGCGATAATATCACCCCACGTGCCAGGCCTGCCATTGACTGTTACTGAAACAGGGAACCCGCTGCCCGTCTTCAAGGAGCAAGAAGAAAGAAACTAGGAACGCCAGGGGGTGGGGGGGTTCATCCAAGTCGCCGCATGGACATCGAATACCACGTGTGCAGCAAGTTTTTGGGAGTGCGGTGAATGCTCCTCGCGGGATAGGTCAAGCCTTATTATTTGGTATATTTTATTGGCACTCATCTAGCTGCATTTGTTGAAATACGCATATTTTGAAATGAATTTCCTACTGTTTCGCATTGATAAATAGCAGACGCTCCTTCGCCAATCCCAAATCAACAGCAGCGCCGCAGCTGCGGTCAAGCCTTATTATTTGGTATAACAATACAATTTGTTATCACATTCATTGCTCAGAGCGTAAAGGAAACTAACAAATCGTATCTTTCAAACCCGATATCAAAAATGTTCGTTGAAGTGTAAATTTCCTTGTAGCGCCATTCGTTGAAACGGAGTTTGACCATAATGCTCTAAATATATTGAATCACACACATAAAAAAAAACATCACAATCATAGGTTTAAAATATTGGAACACTTCAAGATAATAAACCATTCTTTTGACAGTAATGATGTGGGCATTGTTTCAGTGAGAGATTATTTTTAAAAAAAGTTTACGATCAGCTTCATTGATGACATTGTCTGGGAGACCGTTCCATTCCAGTAGTGTTTTTACAATAGTACAATAAAGCCGCGATGAATCAGACCTGCAAGACTTCTTTTGAACCAGTGCAGAGCGATGAACAAAAGTGACAACACTGCACTTACTGTTGCTCGATACATTGCCGACATACGTGCATGACGCCGACGCAAAACAGAAAATGCAGCCAACTTGATCCCTGTTAAACATAAAGCATGCATGTGAGTACTCACCAGGCTTTCCATGTGAAAAAGGCCTTGTGAGCCCATTGGAAGGCTGCGGAAAGATGGGCGAGCAGAAACCATTCAGCGTTGGCACAGAAGGCTGGCTGAAGTACTGGTTCATCAGGGTTTCCGCACCAGCGTGGTAGTCATAGACAAACACCATTGCTGCACAGCAAGGCAGAACCCACGCACATTACGAGACCATTGGCCATCGCAAGCGCTCTGCCGGCACTTCAAAAATAACTGTACATAAGATATACAGGCTGTTGAACAAGTGTTCCCTTGTTTTTTGTGCCATGAAGTGAATAAGGCCGTGATACGATCAATCCACAAACCAACTCAACTGTTTTCCTGCATGTGTGTCTACCGTAATATTGCTTAGCTGTGAAAGGGACACTAAGAGAAAAACATTTTATGTTTTTTTCATGAGCGAATTTCTCTTCCCCAATCCCAAAATCGCAATCTTTGATGCAATACAATGCTTGGTAAGCAAAGAACTTGCAAAGCTAGCAGACATTCTATGTACGAATACAACTGATGAGCCAAGCTCCTTAGAAATAGGATGCAAACAATTATGCACTGATCTCGCTGCTGGATTTTATGGAGGTGGTAGAGTGGGGCAACGTTTTTCGGAACCTCAAGTTTTTCAGCTCCGCCCACGAGCCCGCACATGCAGTATGATGCATGAACTTGCGGTGCTGCTCTTCCATTTTGCTTCACTTGCTGTGTCTCACAGAATCAGATACGGCAGCGCACCACTGCTCTCAATGGCACATTGCCGAAGCTAATTGCGGAGGCTACGCACGTGCCACAGCGAGCCGAGATGTGCGAGAAGTGCCCGCTTGCGATGCGTTGCACCTTTCTTGGTGCTCGCTTATTCCATACTCTGAGCATGATTCGCTAACATAAAAAGCAGGATGCAATATGGAACTGCAGCGCCACTAGGTAGTTCTTGACAGCTATCACGTCCACTTCAAAGAGCGCTCATCTGTGGGGAGCTGATGCAGGGGGAAGCTTCAACAACGACGGCGAGGAGTGGGCCTAAGGAGCTTCGCTCCTAAAAAGAAAACCGAGGGCGGCTATAACCTATTCAAGTTCCCGTGCCAATTGCTGTGACATTGCAGATTTTGACGTTTACTAAGCTCTCCGTAATGGTAAGAACAAAGTGCATTGCTCTCTGAAAGGCCCACAAACTGAACATACCAAGCTTTATAAAATTATACAAACCCAATGTTTCTGACATACAAAAAATACACTTCGAATCTGCTACATCATGCACATAAATTTTAGCACAAAATTAAAAAATTAAAATTTGCAACTGAATTTGGTTATTAGTAAACCTATGATGGTGAAATTGACACCAGAGCTCTAAGAGTACAGTTTCTTGATTTAAACCGATTTTTTATTTCACTAGTGTCCCTCAAGGATACAAAAGGGCAAGGTTCAAAACCCAATATGTTAGAACCGCAGTTTGTAGACTTACAGTGGTCTCCGAACGCCTTAGTGGTGAACACTTCCCGGAGGTGCACAAGGTTGGAGTGCTGCAGCTTTTTCCAAAGGTCAACCACTGCCATGCACTTGGTATTGCTAAGACGGAAGCCTAAGTTGGGAAAAATATTAGTCAGTTGGGCAAGCAAACAACAGAAACCATGTAAGGCAGGCAGTCATTCTATAGCGGCTTTAGTTACAACGGTAAAGGAATGCTTGGTTGGCGTGGTTCAATATCCCCCAATAGTACCCACAGTCAAAAGATAAAAGTCATGGTAGAGCGGTTTTGATCAATTCTGGTCTAATGTTTTTAACTTGCTCCTAAAACTCATTTTAAGCCTATAAACTTTCATTTTAAGCCTATAAACTTACAGCACCGTGAAAATTAGGCTACATAAAAGGCGTGCTGGCTAGACTACACTTCACATTAAAAGAGACAAGCTAGGGGTATCACAAGCTTCTTTGTTTATTTAAAATTATTTTATTACTTCTTACGAACATTCTGGGATATCCACGTGAATTGTAGGCTACAAGAGGAGTGCTGTTGATGGCTCTATCAAATAAGTCTAGAAAATGAGGAGAAAGAAGCTTTAGTGCTTTCGTGTGAGTGAATGCTTTGACATTTGCCCGTCATCGTTGGGTGCACCCTGAAAAAACATCCTGAAATGTTTCGCACATCGAACAATGTTGGGGAGGAGAGCGCAGGGGGAGTCCTACACATCACCCCATTATAATCTCTTCGTTAAGCACGCTTCTAGCCGCAAAGAGTCTTCACCAACTAACTCTATTTTTCTGTTCATATATTGGGAACTTACCAAGGACGGACACTGCGATGAAGCTGCCAGTGCCGTACTATTGGGGGAACAAAACCTGTGCAGTCCTTTTTCAACTTTCATGTTCAGCAATCAGATTAAAATGTCCACTGAAGACGTTTTGGGCTATTGTGTTACACACATCCCACTCCTCCCATGTGATGCCCAACTCCACCTACAAAGGCGGGTGGAATGGGACAGATTTTTGCTATCAAACTACCGTATTTACCCGCGTAATGAACGCACACGCATGATAAACTCAGCCCCAACTTTAATGGTCAAAATAGGAATTTTTTTCCCCTTGCGTAATAAACGCAACCCTAACCAACGCGTGGCACTTCCTGGTCCGTTAATCTTATCTTTCTGCCTTTCTTTTTACTTTATTACACTGACCCACCTCAGTTTGCTTCCCCCCTCTGCTCCACTTACGGTAGCGCACGGTTTTGTTAGTTGTTTTTTATCTGTGCGCGGCACAGTTCCTCTCTTTTTGAATTGTTTTTAAAGTATCCACACGCCGCAGCAGTATTCACGAATGGTTCGAGTGTAGAGACACCGTGGCTCACAAGCACACAGTGTAGGGAGCCTACATGAGCGGTCGTGTAGGCTACCTAACAGAGAAACTGCCCTCGTCATCCCACGGTCACACAAATACGAAGCTTTGCGGAGCCAGTGGCGATATGCTGGCGGTGCGGGAGCGCGCGGTTACATGATGATGAAACCGACTTTCCCTTTGCATCAGTTGTTGCAAGCCTTGCAGCTTGCAGAAAATAGTGCCGTCTACCACCCAAGCAGCGGAATTTCCAAGGCTGGGTAGGACATCCAATCAAAACGTTGCAAGGCGGTGACATGAGTTTTAGAAGCATTATTGTCATCAAAGCCCTAATTTTTTTTTTTTTTCCCCTCACGAGTCATGCAGCTCATTTTCACCTTGTTGGGAGTTCGTTCTAAGCCTGTGTTGAGTTTTGTCGTGAATGATGGGCCGAAATGCAAGCTACACGGCCGGTTTCAAGCTACAGGCTGTGGAGTACGCACTTCAACACGGGAATCGTGCTGCCGGTAGGCATTTCAGAATGGATGAAGTATGTGGGCGCTACTAGCGGAAGCAGCATGACAAGCTCCACGCTACAAATAGAGAGCGACATTCCTTCAGGGGACCAAAGACCGGGAAGTTTCTTGCTGTGGAAGAGGAGATCTTAAAATATGTCTGGGACCTACCAAACGATGGCTGTGTCGTTTCACACGAAATGATCCAGACGCAAGCACGAGCCACAGCCAAGAAGCATGGAATCGCTCCCATGGCATTTAAAGCGAGCAATCGGTGGACTACGTGCTTCATGGGGCACAACGGACTGTGCTTGAGGAGGCGCATATCACTTTGTCAGTAACTTCCTTCTTGCTACGAAAATAACGTAGTGAATTTTCACAAGTTTGTTATATGCTTGCGGCGGGATCGAGAATTCGTTCTCTCACAAATCGGGAACGCAAACCAAACACCCATCAATATCGACAAGCTGATGAGGAGGACTGTCAATGACAGGGGAGCACGTAGTGTGCTCGTTGAAACAACAGGAGCTGAGAAGCAGCGTTTCACGGTCATGCTGGCTGTCACGGCAGACGGCTGGAAGTTGCCACCATACGTTATCTTCAAGCGATAAACCGCGCTGAAGGCCAACTGCCCAGCCGGAGTACACCTGCGGGCTCAGGAAAAAGGGTGGATGTTGGCCGATTTAATCGTCGACTGGGTGCAGACTGTCTGGGGACGACGCCCTGCTTCTCCCGTCCCTCCTTTTTCTCGGCAGTTTTCGCGGCCACCTGGGAGAGAACGTTCGCCAGAAACTTGAGGAGCCGCACACAGAGATCGCCGTCATTCCGGGTGAACTTACTTCGGTGCTTCAACCCCTTGATGTTTACATGAATAAACCATTCAAAGACGATGTGCGCCGCTTGTACACGGAATGAATGGCTCATGGAGGGCATGCCCTGACGCTGACCGGCAAGATTATGGGACCGTCCGTCAAGCTGGTGTGCTCCTGGATTACCGACTCCTAGCATTCACTGCCAGATGATATGATAACTAGGAGTTTTAAAAAGAAGGGAATCGCAAATGCGCTGGAGAACACCAGTTGTGGGACAAAGATGTGGAAGTGGCCTGTGACCTGGACAATGGTACCAGCGGTTCTGGCGAAGACTGAAGCAATTGAAGTGCAATAGATATGTGTGTTTTCAAATTGTGTACATGCATGTTCACTGAAAAAGGTAAGTTATGCAACTTTATTTTTCATTATCATATTTTTTGGCTCATCCCAAAAAAGTTTCGGAAATTTAACTCTCATAATAAACACACACCCCAACTTTGCCTTGGTTTTCAGGGAAAAAAGTGCATTCATTACGCGAGTAAATACGGCATTTTTTTACAGCTGCACCGGAAGCAGTACATGCCCACGCGTCTCTGAAGTTTAGCAGCTTGTTTAGACTTGTATTATAATCCATCACACATCGCTCTACATTTAAGTCTCACAAAACTAATAATATTGTGAAAAGTGTCCCAATCATCTAGACTTTCTTCTATGCTAAGCGACCACTCAAACTCAGGCAAATTATTTCAAACAATCTTTGATGGACAACAAACCCACCATGCACCCTTCTCAAGCAGTAGCAGCAGCCATTCTTGATGTTTGTTGCCTTGTAGACAGATGTAACATATCCAAAAGTGCTGGACTTGGGTGGCCCGTTCGAGGAACTTTGTTCCAGCGGGCAAATGTTATGATAGTTGTCCACTTCTGCTGGCAGGTCTGCAAGTGGCAAAATGTGCCGTAGTGAAAACAGACCTTCGGTTAAGGGGGCAGACTGCTCTTTGGGACCAAATAGTGACAAAAAAAATCATTTTTTAAATTTGACATATTTGGTATCTGCAAGTATTTTGCTATCTCTCTGCAAATTTTTACATACCAGGAAGTGGTAATTTTTTTGTAATGTCATTCTAACTGTCCAGATTCTTGGTGCTGTTAGCATATAGAACCTGCTAAAAAATGAAGAACCAACTTCGAGGCCTCTTTATAATTTGCCGGCACCTGTGTTAGAAGCTCTGCTACAAATTTATGAGCACTTTTATGAGGATTGCAAAACATGCACACCATGATTGTTGCTTTTTGAAGAACCTGTGTGTTTTCAATTTTTTCCATTTTTCTCAAAAAAGTAAACTTACAACTGTTCAATTTTGAGGCCTCAATATCTCTGCAGCTAGGGCAGGTATAACAGTATTTTTGCAATGGAAACCTGTATGTGTGTAGGGTACAAGTATGGGAGCAGAATTTAGAGACCAAGTCTTTTTAATTAAATACTCATCAAAATTTTAACACAATTCCAACTGGTTTTGAAAATGGATAGTTCATTTTGCTGTAAAATAATAAGAAAGGCTTAAAAACGAAAAACTCTTGCATTATTTCAATCTATAGTCATTAGTCTATGTGAGGATATTTTAAATATCACTTTTAATTAAGAACTTTTTTTTCTATACCAGCCTTAAACAATAGGGGGTGAACTTAGGTTATCTCAGGAATAAGATGAGTTACAGAAAAACTAATTAAACATTTGAAATCAGCAGAAAAAACTGCTTAATTCTGTGCAGTTTGATCAAGATCACTGAAGAAATAAACAAAAAATGTCTAAGAGCAGTCTGCCCCCTTAAGCACACCTTCGGTTAAGGACAGATGTACAGTATGGGTGGAACCACTTGATTTTTGACATGCATATGTGCGATATAGAGTGTTGCTGATTTTTGGAAAAATTCCAAGCATGACATTCATTTCATTTTCCTTTCATTTCAATCCACGTTAATTTCTGTCCTATTCTTATCCATCATACTGACTTGGCTCATCCAGGAGGTAACAATGCAACATCAAGTCGAGGGGCTGCGTTGTTACAGAACCCTCTTCCACAGACAGGTTTTCTGGCTTTAGACCAGCTACCCTGAAGCAGGCAGAGCTACAAATTAATACCATATGCAGTGCTTGGGAATGCTGCTAGCAAAAACTCGTCAATAGAATGCTACTGTTAACCAAAACATTATTTGAGTGAGAGAAAAGAAAAGCACAAAGCAAGAATACCTACGCACCAGTGTTCACTTCTGGGTTTCTTTGAGCAAGGCTTAAACTCTGACGATGCAAGATGTCCTGAAACAAGGCATAAGAAACGTACAAAATAATGCAGCAGAAGAAAAGAGAAATTGCTGGCATGAAGAAATTAATGGTGCTCAAGAGAGTAACTTCAACGCTTACAACTAACAAAAATTAGAATAACAAGAGGCTGTACGAAGAAGAAAGTTTTATAAAACATTGTATTCTTCGATTTATTATCATCAAAGCTCCCGGGTAAAATCTTACTGCCTCAACCCGTTTGCATATTCAGAACCACGAGAGAAATTGCAGCTGTTTGTCACAACACTTCCAAGTTTCTGGCGGATTGGCGTGAAAACTGTGACATGCAAGTATGAGAACTAGAGCATAAACAGAGAGATGAGGATACGAAAATGCCGTTGAGAGTTGCTATGTTTTCACTATATCTGTTATCTTCACGTAATTTGTCGCACTCTAAACCTACTTTTTAGTTGGTTCTGATCACCTGCGACAATGCAATCGCCCAGGCGGAATCGGTGTACACCTTCTCGAAATCTAGTAGCGAGAACATAACAAAAATAGCAGATCTGGCGTACCATTCTCAGCTCATCTGGGAGAAAAAAGGAGGGTGCGTTGGCTTTGGGCTTCATGAACTCTATGTGCGTCGGGTTGCCAGGATACATTTGGTACTCCGGAAGAAGAACAGCCTGACCTTCCTCTGTCGTGTTTGCGGCTTCTTCGTGCTGGTAAAAGTAAGTGGTGCCACCGAGGAATTCCTGCAGCAAGAGCTTGTGTTTAGCGACCCTCATCTGTTAGGTTGGCTCCCTACACAGTGTTTGCACGCTTTGGAGGTCAAAATGAAATGGCAGAAAAACAGTTCCTTTTTGTATCACAAAAATAACTTTTTATCACGCCCAATACAAAAAATATTACACCGTCGACAACATAGCCATTCTGTCTTTGCATATCGGCGACCCAACACGACTTGACATGACTTGACATCTACCCGACCTGCAATGCCCCCATATGGGAGGCTCCATGTACAGGCAGCCGGACTTATCACACGTGCAGGTGCAAGTTAGACGCAAATGCAGTGCTGTGGTAGCTTTTGGGTCTCACTAAGCTAAAGTTGTAGATTTTGAAACACACAGAAATTGCTTTCTCGATATTACAAACTCAAATTTAACAAAATAGTTCAATTGCGGTGATCGTTACGTTAAATCCAGTTTCAACTGTCCCTCTATTGCTCCGCTTTCTATTGCACTGTGACACAATGAGTGTTTTCCCAAATTTCCACGTACACTTCTTTCCGCACTTGCTATAGCCCAAATGGGGCTGACAGAAGTAAAGCGATGGAACTAACTTCAGTTAGTTCCAAACAACTAACCTGGTAAACTGTAGTTGGAAGAAAAGATTCTCGCTGTGCGTTCAAGTAGCCTCCAACTGACATTGGTGACTGGCTGCGGCGGCTCACAAGAGGAGAGCTATCAGGAGACAAGCCAGGACTTTCCATTTTACCCAAAGAGAGGCCAGATGGAGTGTCTGTATCAAAGGCCGGAATGTTCCCACTCAAACTTTCTCGAAATGTGGAAGATAGTACAGCTTCTGAAACTACATCGAAAGTGGCAAGAATACTGAAGCAGCAACACACTGCTTTCACTAGAGAGCTGCACACTGACCGATGACATTGCACCAAGAGTTTTCTTACCCACATACACACAGAGATAAATGCATTAATTGTAAACATGGTAATGTTAAGGCAAGGAAAGATTTTGCACAATTGTTAATTGTTGTCATTTGTAGGATATACAATTGCTAAGCTTCGTGCATGTGTAACTATCACGCAAGCACGAGTAAGTTCTTAGACATAGCATGCTTCTGTAGTTCTTTTAAAGGATAGCAATAAATACATAAACCAAAAAAGCATCCACAGAAAAGTCCCTTACATTATCATATCCGTGGAGAAAGACTGAGCTCAAATATTATGTTCTGTACATAAGAAAAAAAATTTCTATACATACATTAAAAATGCTTCCAAGATTTCTAAATATTACTAATTGCAACATGTGTAAACACATGGACAAACTTAAACCCCTTAATTTAGGTTTATTTTTTCAACTTTTACATCCACAGAAAAAAACATGCTTCAAGGTCAATGCTTTTTGCTATATTGCACCAAGCATTCAATATTCCATCATTTCTGTAGGTAGCCTTACAGTTAGCAGAGGTGTGCAATAGTCACACCATGCTTTCCTATTTTAAGGTCTCTTATTTTTCCTTTGTTAGATACAATATTAATGAGAACTAACACACAACACTGCCAAGAAAAGTATAAAGGATGTTGTTAGTAGCCACGAAGGTGAGCGTGGAACTCTTGCCATCATGGCTGCTGGCGTCGCTGACTGACACTCCCACGTTATTAACATCATCTCCTTGGCAGTGCTTTCTCATTAATATCATGCCTTCCCAAGGCAACTTGAAGCTGTAGGGTGCGGCTTGTTCAGTTCAAGGTGTAAAAATAGGGTCCGGCCTGTCAAAACACGCCGAACAAATGCTTCTCAGCACAAGAGCCCAACATTAAAAAACATTTTTGTATAGGTATTAGCTACAAGAACATTTGCAGAGACTCTACAACACTTTTCCAAGTAGCCATGGAATGGATTTGCGAAAGGAGCTTATAGCCTCATGAATCGAACACCATAAAAAATTTTTAGAATCAGTCCAGTATAAGCTGAGCTGCAAAGATTTGTTGCGCTCTGTAATTGCTTTTTCTATTATCGTGTTCTGATGAAAGCACTGGCAGCTAAGCAGGTAGCTTAGAAGGTACGTCTTCTGTGCCTCGTAACCTTAAACACTGTCTCTCTCTCTCTCTCATTTTTTTTTTTTTCGAATGAGCAACTTTTCAGTGAAATCGCACGCACGAACACGTGGCAGCCACAGTAACTACAGTCAAATCTCGTTACTACGAACACCGAATTAACGATTTTTTCAGATTTACGAATATTTTGAAAATCCCCGCCAGATTGCCTATATATTTTCAATGTAAAAATATTTCAGAACGAATTTCAGTACAATGTATATTTCAGAATAACGTGCATAATTTATTTGCTCGCCTATACGCAAGGAACATCAGTATTACGAATTTAGTTAAAAGTAGCAGCACCGCAACTCTCACGTAGCGCAGTAGCCGCTGTTTTTTTCCATGCACGGAAGCTATCATCATCACCGTGTTGAGAGCCGACTGCTAGCGCCACCACACAGGTATGGTTTGATGTGTGGCAGCTTAGCAGGCCTAGCCTCGTTGCCTCGTCCTTCGTCGTGCGTCCTTCGTGCCACGCACGTGTGAAGTCTGCTGCGTTTTGTTGTCGTTCTTTTTTTCTTAGCTTTCTGCAAACTGTTTGGAGACCCGACGATGAATGCACCAAGTGACAGCGCTAAGAAGAGGCGAAAGCAGTTTTCCCTGCAAGAAAAGGTGGATTTGTTGAGGGAACTTGACTCGGGCAAAAAGCAAATCGACCTCTGCAGGGAGCGTGGCATTGCCCCGTCGACTGTCGCGACCATTTGGAAAGACAGAGAAAAGATTCTGAAGCTTCACCGAGAGTCACAACTTGCACCTACGAGGAAACGGTTGCGCCTGGGAAATTTTCAAGATGTCGACCAAGCTGTGCTGACCTGGTTTAAAGATGCCCGGCTGCAAAACATCCCAGTGTCTGGCCCAATGCTTCAAGAAAAAGCCCGCGAGTTCGCCGACGCACTTGAAGTAACTGGGTTTGATGCAAGTGCGGGTTGGCTTTTTCGTTTTCGCCAGAGAAACGGCATAACCTGGCAGGTAGTCTCAGGTGAAGAAAAGGCTGCGGACAAAGAGGGTGCAGATTCCTGGCGGAACGATCGTTTCCGAGAGGTGGCAGAGTCGTACTCCGAAGACGACATTTTCAACGCGGACGAGACCGCGTGCTTCTACCAGCTCTTGCCAGATCGGACGATGCACTTCAAAGGTCAGCAGTGTAAAGGAGGCAAGAAGTCGCATCTCCGCGTTACGGTCTTGCTCTGCTGCAATGCGTCGGGCATGAAGAAAATCAAGCCGCTTGTCATTGGAAAATACGCAAAGCCTCGCTGCATGAAGAACGTCGTATCCCTACCGTTCGACTATTGTGCGAACAAGCGTGCCTGGATGACAAGAGAATTGTTTTCGCAGTGGCTCATCAAACTCGACGAACAAATGAGGAAAGAAAATAGAAAAATTCTTTTGATCGTCGACAACTGTTCAGCCCACATTGTGAATGTTCGCTTGACGCACGTTCGCCTGGAGTTTCTGCCACCGAACAACACGTCGTTGCTGCAACCACTAGATCAAGGCATCATAAAGAGTGTTAAGGCGGAATTTCGCAAGCGCCTTGTGCAGCGTTTTATTATAAATCTCCGCTTAAAGCAGCCGACATCAGTCAACGTTCGTCAAGCGGCGGAAATGCTGACGGGAGCTTGGTGGAACGTGAAGACGTCAACAATCCGTAACTGTTGGCGAAAAGCAGGCCTAATCAAGGCGCCTGCCCAAGTTGAAGACAACCTGGAAGAGGACCACAGCAACCCAGGAGACCTGTGGACTGAGGTTGAGGAACTGTTGCCCGACGTCTCTTCCTTCGACGACTACGTGGAGAGCGACAGCGCAGCACTAACGTCGGCGGACATGACAACCGAGGAGATTGTCAACAGCGTTCGCGACGTCTCCAGTGACGACGACGACGACCCGAAGGAAGAGGACTCTGTATCACCGAACACTGAAGAGGATGAGACCATATCGCACTCGGATGTTTTAGTGCACATGAACAAAGTCCGCACCTACATTGGTCGGTGCAGTGATGTGCCCGATGAGGTGCTACGTAAGGTGGAAGGTGTTGAGGCGTACTTAATCAGCCGTTTGTGCTCCACGCGTCAGAAGAAAATCACAGATTTCTTCAAATAAAGAACGTTTGAAGTGTGTGTAATTTTTTTTTTTTTTTTGTGTTTGCTTGTCGGCGCACACGGCAACTGCCAAGGTACGTCATGTTCGCTCCTAGGTTTGACCTCTTGCTTACAATCGAAGTTTTTCATTACAACGATATTTCAAAATAACGTACGAGTTGCGGCGGTCCCACTTAATTCGTTATATCGAGATTTGACTGTATCGCACGCAACGTGCTCAAACTTCAGCCCTGAAGACACAACCAGATTGCAAGAGTTGGCGCTAATCTGCGATCGTTCTTGAATTCTTTTTGTTTGTTCACATGCCTTTGCAGATTGCTACTGTGCAGGGGAATCGAATGAGCTCAGCTGGCAGTGGGGCAGCACATGTCAGAGCAGGTATCAACCACTTCGTGATCTTCGGTTCTGTGGCCAGACGGTATGCGTGCTACCTGGTGCACTGGGCAATGGCTTCCGAGAGTGCGCTGCAACCTGTGAGCACACTATCTCGAAGGCCATGACTGGGCAAAGCTCAAACCATCGAGTGCGCTCATGAGAGCGCTGTAATCTCCAGGGATGCTAGCGTGTCTCACGAGTTAAGGCAAGGCAGAGGTGAGAAGATGGGTATAGATATATTTGTCTGTAGTGGCCTTGGTACTAGGCTTGTCGCTAAATTTGTAGTGTGAATGTTTTGATGATAATCTAGCTTAAACGCTGACAAAACTTCAAAAAACCATTTCATGGTCTCTTTAAAAAAAGAACAGCACTGCTGGTGGTTACACTACTTACCAGGTGCTAATCGGCTATATGGGCTGGTGCCAGGGGTCAAGTTTAAGCCTCCAGAAAACTGTGAGAATGAGGGTGTGCTGGTGCTGTGTGTTAACTGACTGGGCCCCAACAGGCTGTTCATTGGTACAAACTCAGCAGCACCAGGGTTCGGAGTCTGCCGGAGAGAAAACAACAGAAACAGTAAGTTCAGCAGCCCTCAGAATTGCAAGAAAGTTGTGCATAACTTCAATCGAGAGTTTGCATGTGTACAAATCACTTTGCCAGCCCCATCAGAACACTCAAGTTCTCAATAAACAGCTTACCTGGCAAGCGGCTGGCATTCCAGCTCAATTTAAAACAACCCATTGAATTCTGGTGTTTTAAAGTTACAATACCACACTACAATTATGAGGTGTGGAGTAATTAAGACCCCAAGTTAATGTTCAACACCTTTACTACCTTAAAAGCACACTAAAATAAAAGAATGAATCAGTTTAGATTGACAAATTATATTCCAAAAACTCTACTGTCATTCATTTCCCCATCACATGTCTATTAATAAACAAGAACAACAAGGTCATACTTTCATTTTGAAATTTCGTGCGGAAGTCTCAGAAAGTCTTGTCACAGATTTGAAAGTGATTCTGTATTTTCGCAACATCGGCACAATGAGCTATAATGAAACTTGGTATGCGCTGTCTCTGGCCCTCTTGAGGACAATGTACTTTATATTTACTGTTTTGGAACTCCATAGGCCCTAGCAGACATAATCAAAACCAATGACGCCGAGGCGATGATGATGATGATATATGGTGTTTTTTGGCGAAAGGGCCATTTGATGGCCAAAGAGCGCCAGTTCATGAGACAAGGAATGTGGACAATGATTGTGATTAGCGGCTGTATAAGGGCCATAAAATTCCTCGCAGTAAGGCGGGTAAAAACATACAATAAAATATTGACTATGCCGTGAAAGGTGTGTGTGGTGTGAATAGGTGACAAAAGTTGGTGATAATGAAAAACGATGGTGGACATGTATGGCATTAGCACAAGTACCTCACTCGTTCATACCCTTGCGTCCAAGGGCCGTGAGGCAAGTGCTTTCCTGTGTAGCCACCGCAGCAAAAACCTCTCTGGAGAGGTCGTGCTACGGAATGCCCGGGTATATGATATGAAAATTATGAATTTCTTTTAAAAATGCTAACAATGATTTATGACTAAAAAGCGGTTCCCTACCAACGAACATTGCAGGGTGTAAAGGTATATGTTGTCGGTAGGGCAATGGAAAATGCTGTTTTCTTAGAGTTTCTAAGTGTTTGCGCTGAATTAACATGTGAAGGACTGTTAATGCTTCACCACATTTGTCACACAATGGTGGATCGCCACCGGACAAAAGATATGTGTGTGTCGTGTATGTGTGTCCTATCCCGAGTCTCGTTAGTATTACCTCTGTATGACGCAATTTTGATACTGGCAGCCAATGACCAAGGTGTGGCTTAATAATGTGTAGTTTGTTTTGTGTGTGTGTATCCCACTTGCTCTGCCAGTAGTCCCCGAGGTTTAATTTGAGAGACGGCTTAAGATCAAGGGCCGGGATTAATATGGGTGTAGGGGCAGTGCTTTTGTGGACGGATGCAGCGAGCTGATCCGCCCTCACGTTGCCTTGGATCTCACGGTGCCCTGGCACCCAGCACACTACAACATGTTGTTTGAGTGTGTAGAGTGTGCACAAAATGAAGTAAAGTAAGACAAGGACCGGGTTTTTTTTTTTTTTTTTAAGACTGTGCAGAGCCGTTACCACACTGAGGGAGTCTGTATAAATTACTGCTTTTTGTATTAGTAATTGTTTGATCTGTTTAGCTGCCACAAGTATCGCGTAAGCTTCCGCTGTGAAGATACTTGTGGCTGGATGTAGAGGGCCAGCATCCGAAAAGGATGGGCCGACAGCCACACTGAGGGAGTCTGTATAAATTACTGCTTTTTGTATTAGTAATTGTTTGATCTGTTTAGCTGCCACAAGTATCGCGTAAGCTTCCGCTGTGAAGATACTTGTGGCTGGATGTAGAGGGCCAGCATCCGAAAAGGATGGGCCGACAGCAGCGTAGGACACAGAGGAGCTGGACTTGGAGGCATCTGTAAAGAACTCGGGACGTGTGTATTTGTGTTGAAGTTCCAGAAAGTATGTTCGGATATGGGCAATAGGTGCATGTTTTGTAACTTCTAGGAAAGACACATCGCAGTCTATAGTCTGCCACTGTCACGGTGGCGGGTATGCTACAGGAGCCATTAAACTGTGTTCAAGTGACACTCCAGTTTCTTCAGCTAGACCCTTCAGGCGAACTGAGAAGGGCTGCCTCATCGAAGGCCTGTTTTGAAACAGAATGGAGCTCGACAGATCATTGATAGTAGAGTATGAGGGGTGCTTCTTGTCTGCTTTCACTTTAAGAAAATATACAAAGGACATGTAAGTTCTCTGTAGATGAAGCGACCATTCATTTGACTCAACGTAAAGGCTTTCTACAGGGCTGGTGCGAAAAGCACCCGTAGAAAGGCGGATGCCCAAATGATGCACGGGGTCCAGCACCTTCAAATCACTTTGAGTTGCAGACTGATTAACAACGGCCCCATAATCTAAGCGGGTGCGAATGAGGCTTCGATACAGATTCATGAGGCATTGCCTATCACTACCCCAAGTAGTACGTGACAACACTTTTATAACATTCATGGCTTTTAAACATTTTGTTTTTAAATACTTGATGTGCGGTACGAAGGTCAACTTGTTGTCCAAGATTAAGCCTAAAAATTTATGCTCGGCTTTGCAGACAGACGTTGCCCATTCAGTCGAATGTCAGGTTTCGAGTGCATGCCTCTCTTTCGAGAGAACAAGACACAGGTGCTTTTTTGTGGGTTAAGTCGAAATCCGTTTTCATCTGCCCATTTGGAGACCTTGTTTAAACCCAGCTGAACCTGCCGCTCACACATTGCCAAGTTGCATGACTTGAAGCCAAGCTGAACATCGTCGACATATGTACAATAGAACATATTGCGGGGGATGGACAAGTGCAAGGAATTCATTTTGATAATAAAAAGTGTGCAACTAAGTACACCACCTTGTGGCACGCCTGTTTCCTGGACAAATGTTTGGGAGAGAACACTGCCCACATGGACACGGAATGTCTGGTTTGACAGGTAACTTTCGATTATGTGAAACATTCTTTCGCGCACACCAAGGTGGGACAGGTCTCTTAGAATTCCAAAACGCCATGTTGTATCATAAGCCTTTTCGATATCGAGGAACACAGAGAGAAAATATTGTTTATGGACGAAGGCGTCTCTGATCTGTGCCTCGATACGAACAAGGTGGTCTGTGGTGGATATACTTTCTCGAAACACGCACTGAAATGGGTCGAGCAAATTGTTTGTTTCAAGGATATGTACGAGTCGGCAGTTTATCAAATTTTTGAAGACTTTGCACAAGCAGCTTGTAAGTGCGATAGGCCTATAACTTGAAGCTAAAGAAGGGTCCTCGCCCTCTTTCAAAATGGGAATAATAATAGCCTCTTTCCAGGAGGTTGGAATAGTGCCTGAAAACCAGATAGCATTGTACAAACAAAGTAAGGTTTTTCGTGTTTCGGCTGGTAGGTTTTTTAACATTTCATACACCACACTGTCAGAACCTGGGGCAGAAGTACTGCAGGAGTTGAGATGTTCGGAGCTCAGCTAGACTGAAAGCTTGGTTATATGCCTCGTATCTAGGGGATTTGTGTTCGAGTTTCTGCTTTTCTATTCTTGTTCTGTATTTTTGGAAAGTGTCAGTATAGTGGGACGAGCTGGATACCCGTTCAAAGTGTGCACCGAGGAAGTTTGCCTGATCTTCTAAGGTATCACCCTGAGTGTTTACGAGTGGAAGTGCGTGTACTTGTTTTCCTGCTATCCTACCAACCATGTTCCGATATGACGCCGAGGCGATCAGAGTGAGAACTTTAAGGTGGCGTTGCCACCTGCAATTTTATCGTGTGCATTTTTTTTTCATTAATAAACATCTTGTGGCAAGCATAGCAATTTTGGTATACTGAAAGGGTAACTTACTTAATACAAAAAAAATTGCGTTCTTGTTCGTTAGTGTTCCTTTAATGCTCATTCCCACGGAAATGTTGCTGCTGCAGTTGGGAATGAAACTCACACCCTGGTGCTTATTGTGGCGTCTAAGCTATTGCAGCTCTTAGATTGTGGTGCTGTGTGTCATGGGTGTTTTTTGGTCGTCTGTTGGTGCACTTACAATTTATTGCCCTAAGCTACCAAAGCAGGTGGTCAAGCTCAATCATGGTCACTGCAACAAGGTGAGACTACAATGTGCAGAGAGTTAGGTATTGACGAAGCAGGAAACTCTATTCTAAACAGCGAAAACCAGAGTCACCTTTCTCGCAGAGTCCAAAGCCAATGATGAAAGTGCACTTGTAATTTCGTTGGGTGAGATGCTGTTTGAAGATGAAAACATTTTCGATTTGTCCAGTGAGGACGGTGAAATTGTGCGTGCGGATACCTGGAAATCAAAAAGCTTTCAGAAATTACACACAATTTGCATATATTTATTCAAAAACAATAGCAGTAGCTAGTGCAAAAATTAAATTCGGCACCAGGTAATTAAGTACTACTTCCATTCTTGAAATTGTAGCAAAAGAACATCCAATATTTATTAATGCATGTTAATTGCTATAGAAAACCTTGAAAAGAAAGAAGCATGTTAAACTTCGTTGCAGAAATACTGCTCTGCAACATCATGCTAAACGGATGTATAGCTTCGGTTATCGAGGAAAGACAAAATAAAAGAAGTGGCTTTGGCTCAAGGTCACCACCGCAGTGCCATCAACCTGTCACAGCGTACACAATTTAAAATTCCTTACGAGTACGAGACAGGCTTTTGCTGCATCTTGAAAACAACAGACTCACATTCATGTATGTTTTGAGTTTCGACTCAGCTGGGAGGTTCGATGGCGGTGAAAAAGCTTGGAAAACAGGGTCCAAGGCGGGACTTGTGGTACCTGAAATTTCGCACCGGTAAACACACTCAATCCGGTTCAGGCCGCACCAAGAGTGATTTCTCGTTTTTTCATTTGCGAGCACACAACGTCATTTCCAACGCAGTAGCGAAGGCAAACTCGATCACACCGTCCGAGCGACTTTTTTATTTCAGACGAGAGGAGGAAAGCTGCATGCTTCAAGGCCTCACGTCCTTTATGACAGCGATCGGCCCTTTCTAAATACGTTGTTTCAATCAGCAACAGATAACTCGCGTTCTTGAACGCCCATTTCTCACGTTACAAGCCGCAACGTTTTCTTCAATTGCATGCGTTTTAAGCCCACCACCCCCACGCACCGAGCCCTCAAATCCTTGTGCCAATCGCACCATACGCCAAACGACCACGTCCAGCTGACGTTTCACGCGCTTTTGACTACGCTGTACGATTTACAGACCAAACATGACAGTCTCTAACGTGTTTGAGACGCACGAAAGCATAACCCGCGGTTAACAAAGACAACCGAAGCTCACGGCTGGCACAAAAACAAACAATGGTTGTTTAGCCTAGACAGACCGCAAGACTTTCAAAAGCATATATCTGAACTTACTTGACATTGCGAGCTCAGAACAGGCTGCATAAATGCCCAGAGACAAACGTGTCGTTACTACGCAATTTTTCGCGAAATTACGACGGTCATGATCCAGAGTGCAGCGAGGTCTGTTGTCGTAAACGTGCAGCTGTTCACGACCAGCGGTGGTAGTGGTGCAGTGTGGGGAAGCTTGCGCGTTGCGCAACGCGGGTTTGACTCGGTCACGCAGCAGTCGATACGACGCACAACTACGACTCCGCACCAGCGGATGTTCTCACCTTCGGGTGTCCGCACCATGAGTGACAGCTGTGAATCACGTATCCCCAGGTCAGTGTTCAAGCAAGGAGTGGTAGACGGTCCGTGCAGGAATTGACACTCGGAACCGTAGAAACAAGTTCCCCCGGTAGCGAAGTAGCGACATATTGCGGTTTTCTTCGGTCCTACGAGAGAACCGTTCATGTTCCCTAGACAGACACGGCTACTTTCAGGATTTCATTTCAACTCTCGTTTGGTCCGTCAGTGCGTTTTTGCAGCACATCGGTTCGTTGCGGCTACGGAAAACGCAAACACACACAAATGCACTAGTGTGCGATGCGCGCGCATCTTGGTACGTCAAGCGACTTCGTGACGTTGTGACCCCGAAACCAACACCGAAACTGCACAGCTTTCCCGTCCCGCTACGCCACCATCGTCCCGCAGCTCGCCTTTATTAATTAGGCAATATTTCAGGCGCTTGCAATGGTTATGCAGAAACACTGCGTCGGAACATATTAATCGTACAAAGCGTACTAACCATCCACGGTTTTCTAAGAGGCATAGCACCAATCTCTGGATAACCGAAACTGAAACTACTTGCCTGCACTTGCCTATTCTTGCACCGTGGTACTTACCATTGCGTCGAGGGAAGCTGGAAATGGATAACCGAAACTGAAACCACTCGCCTGTACAACCACTGCGCACTTACCTATTCTTGCACCGTTGTTAGGGTGGCTAGCCCTACCGTGGTACTTGCCATTGCGTTGAGGGACGCTGGAAATCTTCCGCACCTTATGTTGTACTCCGATCCCTGATTAAGAATGCTGCTCCACTGCCATATAATGACGCCTTGTGTAAAAAAAAAAAAAAAAACTGAAGAATCGCCAACCACAGAGAGGCCGAAGCCCTCGACACAGTTGGCGAAAAACAAAACACGTAGAAGAAACTCCCAAACAACGCCGGTTTATTAGTATCATATGGGGTACACGCAGCGCATCTTGCAAATATGAATTGTAGAAAAGAAAAGAAAACGTTAACAGAAGGCAACCCAACAAGCATTGAAGAAAGGTGACTTGTTTTTATTGTACACTTCTGTACACGAAAATAAAACTTTTACTTATGTACAAGAATTTTATATACAAAGGCAGTCTGGGTCTGTACAGAGTTCCGTTTGTCCTATATATGAGTCAGTTTAGACACCTTAGTGGTTTACACACCAAGAAGTATCAATGTACGCAAATTTGGAAATAAAAGTGAATGACTGCTACTCTTATTAAAACAATTTTTCTGCTGTACACAAATGCAGCATGCTGAACTCGTGAACCTATTAACTTACCTAAAAAAAGAGCCTTTCATACACTGATTACGTTAATGCTGTAGCGAAAGCACTGCCTAGTCGTTTAAAACAGGACTAGTGTAAACCTACGAATGAGTCGCGTACTTGTTGATGAACCCAATTAGGCCAGCCAAATGAAACAAGAGCTCCTGGCAACAACCCTGTCACATAATGCAGCAGAGCCCTGATAACTCGTTCCCCCTTTGCACTGGCGGCAGTGACTGAAAACGTGGATCGGGAGTAGGCGGCCGGAACTCTTCGTCACTTGCGGACTCGTCAGGTGCAGGTGCTGCCGGCTCGTTGCTGCCACCGCCCTCGGCAGTGTCAGGCGCGTCGGCAGTTGTCGAGTGAGACACAGGAGAGACCGGTGGCTGAATGCTCTCTGCTTTCACTTTCATCACAATGCCCCCAGTGCTTTTGACCACAACTTTTGGCTCAACCGTCTCAGGCGGTCGCTCTTCTTCGTCATTGTTCTGTTCAGCATCACTCAGGGACACTCCAAACTCCCCGAGATTATCTACTACCACTATGGGATCGTCCTGCAAATTGCCGCTAGTATTCTCATCTTTTATTTCTAATCCCCCCTTATCACAAGCGGCCTCATTACCCTCAGTACCTTCCTGTGCTACAGTGGCAGCTTCCTCCACTACCATTTCCTGATGTTGCTTCTCGTCGGAGCCACTCTGCTCGATGGGCTCGGTTGTGGCTTCGGTGGCGGCTTCTTCCTTGACGCCAGAGTCGACGTCCATGCTCTTATCTTCCTCTTGAGGGGCAACTTCCGGTTGAGCTTCTTCAGTCTCCATTTTGACAGGACTAGGTGCTTCTGCCGCCTGGAAGCGCCGAGGGCATCAGAAATGGGGACAACTTAGAGAAACCTCCCACCCACAATGGAGTTGGCAGCTTTATATGGATGCTTTCCCATCCCCTCAACTAAATAAAGAAGCCCATTACTCTAGCATTCACATTTTGCTACAAGCTATAACTGCTCTGTTACCTCAAATAAGAGACAAGTGGCAAAATAAAGTGGTGCTTGTTACATAAATACCGTCTTTGCTTTTTTTTCAAGGCATGAATACATATGCAAAGAAACAAAATAAAAATATCCTAAGAAACGTGGCACAGCCAAGGAACCCTGCCAGTTCCTAGGCTTGGAGTGCACCAGAAGACGCTCAAAGGCTAGTTGGTTTCTTCTCATTCTTGCCTTTGCAGAGCCAGCCAGCAAAGACTCAGCAGTAGACATGAGCCAAGGCATCTTTTTATTAGCCTCATTTGATGCAACAGCATTTTCAGCTCGGAGAAAAATGACGGCCAATTTCAAAGAAAGCAATAAAAGAAAAGCAAAGGTAGAAATGCAATAAAAAATAAGAACTGCCACCAAGGACTTCATTCTTCCACTTTCCACAGCAGCAGGAATAGACGCACAAGTCAGTTGACTAGAATATAACTGTTTACTCAAATTAGAAAAAATGTTAAAGTTGTCTGAAATATACTGCAGAGAAACAAATGCCAACTCAAGAATTAGAAAGCAATAATTTACCCTTTTGAAGTCTTCATAGCAGGCTGGGTGGTACACCTGCCAACAGAGCAGTGCATCGCTGTGTTAACAAACAGCTCAAAACACGAGCAAGGTCACAAATAGAAACTGCTGGCAGTGAACCAGAGAAAACCACAGTAAGTCTGCTTAATTAAAGTGAACAAAACAAAAGTACTCAGAGCATGGTTTAGAAGCCCTTTAACACTCTACAGCCAAATAGTGCCAACTCGCGAGCTGTACCACTGTAATGACTTTGGGAACCTTTCAAGTGAACATGCCTAAATCCTTTCCTGTCAGTTGGACGACATCAAATGTAGTCAAAACTATTTAGGAATATAGCATCACCTAAGAGGCTTTTATGCAAAATTGAATCACTTGTTTCATATTCACAACTACTTTGTTTCCACCTGTTTGTGTGTGAAGAGTCGGCCTCTAGTAGCAGAATCATTACAAAAAGGAGAATGAAAGGCACTTGCTTTATTCTCGATGCGAATGGCATCCCTGAAGTGCCACTGCTCCTCCTCTTCTGCCCAGAAAAGCTGGAAAGCCTCTTCACAGACAGCACACACCTGAAAAATAAATGCAGGTATACTTGAGGGGACACTAAAGTCAAATAACAAGTTACGTCAAAGTAAAATCTCAATGTATGACGTCTACAACGACACTATTATCAACATCAGTGCCCTAGTTACAGAGAAATTAAAGTAAATGCACAAGAATACATGCGCCGCAGTAGGACATGTTCGAAATAATCCCGATGATGTCAGACAAACCGCCTACAATTAATCACTAGTAACTAATCTAGCTGCACTTAATAAAGAACCTTCTGTGCATCAAGAGATGTAATAAAATGCTGCTTGTTCATATCTGTTTGGTTGATGAAAAAAAGAATCACCGGATGTTACTATGGGGAATGCCGTGAGTGGTTCAAAAATTGAATTTTCGCCTGGTTAAACTGGACAGGTCGTGTTAGCTAGTGGCGCCCAGTTGAACCAAGCAGGCCTGCAATCTTGAAGGCCATAGCTAAAAATTGCTCAATAGCCGTTGTTGCTGCTGTGGCTCCCGCTGCTTTCGGTCTGCTGCTACTAGCGCCGTAAAGCCGGGCAACGTTGTGCACGGCAACAGTGACACGAGATGGTTCGCTTTTTGAGGCGGGTAATTTTAAGTGCGCTAACCCGATGCGAACTACTAAAACAAGATTTTATTTCAAAATAAGCCTTCCTTGGCACAAAAGTAACACTACGAAGTATCTGGATTGCTATTTTAACAATCTACGTCAACTTAATAGTTGCCTTTAGTGTCCCTTCAAGCAACACTGGCTGCACTCAGGTTCTGCCTCCAGCACTTCAACACTTTTTGAGGATGTACTCGGGAGTGGTTTAGCAGGCCTGTCGCAACTCGAGGTACATAGCAAAGCAGCAAATTTGTGTAACATTCTAGTTGCAGCTTGGTTTTTTGACACCGATGTTACTTCAGTGTCAAGTCTTTCCGCCTCCTGTGTTACCAGCTGCACCAAAACTGCCTCCCAGAAACAGTGCGCTACATACTAACTCCAATAAAACTAATTCACATCCTGTATGCAAACTACTAAAGGTCTTACCAGGTCCAAAACTTACATGACAGATGATTAACATGCCACTTAATCTACTAATGGTAATGCTGCTGCTCAACAGCCAAAGCCACATTGAAGCAATAAAAAATTTTAAGCTACTATCCGCCATGCACTCTCTCTCTCTCTTCCTTGACATCTTCACATGGTTTTCCAGCAACCGATTGCCAAATCAAAAGACAAGATATAAAAAAAATATAAATTAGGCAATAGGCCCGTTCCTGAATCAATTCACACATGAGTTACGCTTTTATATGTATTAGGAATTGCCATACTACCTTGATAATAAATAACCAAGAAACACATGAGTATCAAGCATTGCAGTTGAAACCCACCATAATGAGATCTTGAACAAATGAAATTCTCACTGCAATAAAATACCGTAATTACTAGCGCAATGAACGCACTCGCATAATACGAATGCCCATATCAGTCCTCAAAATAGTATGAATTTTTCTTTTCCCCGCGTAATAAACACATTCCCTACCTGCGTACGCTGCACTCCCGCTAACTGACACCTGGCACCTCCTTGCCCGTTGGATCTTTCATTTTTTTTTTTTGTTATTATGCCGACCACCGTCATCCACCTCGGCGCGCTCCCTCTCTCCCCCCTACGCCCGCTGCCGTATAGTTTTTCATTCTATCTGTGCGCGGCATTTACCTAGTCTTTTTTTATATATCTATGCCCCACAGCGGAGTTGATGAATGATGCGAGTGTAGAGACACCGTAGTTAACAAGCACACAGCGAGGGAAAGTCACGAAACTTCCCGCTCAAACTTTGGTCGCTTCCTACAAATACGAAAATACGAAAAGCCCAACCACACGCACGTAATCTTCGAGTGACAACGACGGGGTTCGCAATCGCTATGGCTGTCGTGAAGCGCCATTCATCGCACGTGTCGCAGGTTTCTGGAAAACCAGAAAGAAATTGCTTGTCACCCAGAAAAGCTCATGACTATCTCCACAACATGGTCCCCGATTCCAACTTCGGTTGCAAGCGAGGCGGCCGCTGTATTTTGTCATTAATTTTGTTATCGAGGGTTTGTTTTGATGCTTCGGTGGTAGCTTCCTGCAATATTAATGGCTTGCTACAACATCAACTGCGGCAGCGCGGTCGTCGTGCGAGCTTGCCACGAAGTTGGCAAAGTGCGCCGAGGCGTCGTAGCGCATGCTTTTGGGTGCCGCCTCAGATCACAGCATATACCACTGTTGCCGTTAAACGACTGCGAGAAAAGAGAGCCGCGAAACGCTTTTATAGCGTGCACAGGCAGCACAGGAAAAGTTTGGAGAAGATAGCACCTTCAACCATTGAAGGTGAGCGACCTAACTTCTTTTTGCATTACCGCATTTTTTTCGCTCATACTGAAGAAGTTTTCATAAATTTGCCAATAAATGCACCCCCAACTTGGCTCTGATTTTTCGAGAAAAAATGTTCGTTCATTACGCAAGTAAATAGAGTAGCCCTGAAGCACCGACGAATGCCCATAGGAGTCAATGCATTTATTAACTCGCAAGTACGAAACATATTTTTACTGCAGTCTGTCATAAATGAAATTTTTGAAACAAGAGTGCACTAAGACAAGCAAAACTCAATATAACGAGCCCTGATAAAACAAATTATTGATTATAACAAAGTAAATGAAAGTTTTTTTGATAAGTTTTGTGTTAAGAATATATGGTTATAACGAATTTTCAAATATAACGAAGTATTTTTGTGGTAGATGTGAGTCTGTTACGACCAGGTTTATGTGTAATCTGCTTTCGTAATTAACTGCACTAAAAAACTGCTCCAATGCATTCGTGGTACATTAATGTATTTGCAAAACTATCACCACAGCACACTTGAGCAGCCACTGCCTTTATTGTTTACAAAAAGTTGGCAACAATGATGATAATGATGGTTTGCCCATCATTACAGGTGACAGTGTCCATGAAATGAATTTATTTAGCAGTACCAACTTAAAACCCACAAGAGTGCGAGGCAATTTTGCAGTGGGCTTGTGTAATTATTTATTGGGCTGACATGGAAACGCAGGTTATGCTAATTTGTAATCACAGACTACACAGCCAAACCAAAATCCACATGCAGTTTCATTTATTGGCCTTGCATATTCGTTGCTGCCACACATGGTGCTTGGTGCAACGTGCACGGCTGCTGGAGTAGCAATCGCACAGCCTGATTTGCCTGCCCGCAAAAACTGCGCAGGATGTGCTGAATGCGCTGGACACAATTCGCTCACTTCTTGGCGAACGCGATGACGACACGGCAATGTACCACTTTTTACAATGCGAGTAAAGAACTATGAAATTGCTGCAGGGAAAGGCTCGACAATGTAGGTTTATTGACTTTTGGCAATAAAATGTGTTTTTAGTTAATTCCCCACCTTTCCTGCTGCATTATCGCGTCAACGACATTGTGACAAGAGTGAATTTTTTTTACTTTCTCCGCTGATTTTGTTACTGTGGGTTTCAACTGTATATCCAGTTAACTGAGTCAACAGCGTCTAGTTATATCGCATAGTTTCTATATCGCATAGTATATCCATATCACATATTGCATAGTCCAGTATATCGCATAGAGTGTATAATAAACAACACTTCACAAAAGCTGAAATCAAATTGGTTAGTCCTGCCTCATCAGACCCCTGTAAGGTGACTAGTCAGAAAAAAAAAACTTATGGCCAGGGCAGGGGTCGGTACGCTGTCAGGCATTCAGTCAGTTGCCTTTTCACAACCCCTTCCGCTTCAATCACTGGATAAGTGATGTATGTTTTCAATCATGAATAAACTTCAAACCTTCTTCACCCCCTGACACTCCCCCAGAAAACAAAAATGATGCACCAGAAAGAACTGATCTTTATGAATTTGAAATGGACAGCAAGTTTTCAAGAATGCCAAGACGTACGTTGCCGGTCTCGTCGCCAGAAGCCGGGACACTTTTGATTGCCGTGGGCGAGTTGCTGCTCTGGTCCTGTTCCACGGTGGCTTGCTGCTCAAAGAAGCTCCTCGCTGACAAAACGATATTGACATGATTATGACAGAGACTCCTGTGGGACGCATGCACACGAATATAAAGCAACAATTATCTGACCCCATAACCAAAGGTCCTGTGCCACTCGAAAACAAGCTTGTCAAGACCGTCTTGGATCAACCTGTCATAGTAACCCACTGGCTAAAGCACTGTGCTGCTGAGCTCAATATCATAAGTTGCGCTGCTCGCAGCAACAGCCACGTCTATACGGGCAAATGCAAAAGTAGCATGCCAAAACTGCAATTCGATTGAGAGTCACACCATAAGCAGGGTGGGGCAGTGAAGGTTGTGGGGGGTGCTATCAGCCCCTGTAAAGTCGTTTGCACCTCGTGGTGCAATCATGTTTTGCAGATAAGCCTCATCATCATTGGGATTAGCGCGGTAGCATCAACAGTGACACCTGGTGGCAAGGCTGGGTGGCGGCACACATGACATGAGAGGCTCTCTTTGGCATGTGGTGGCTGGAACGAAAGATCGTCTCCCACGGTCAGTCCATGGGGACGGCGCCGTGGGTCATCTCCCACAGACCCTTTGTGGTGAATCGAGCGTTAATCACTAGTGATGTACTCATGTGGCTGGCGATATCGTCAATGTGAAAGTAGTTAAATAAATGTGCACAAGGTGTTGGTGTGGTTCGACCCTGCCTGCTGTCTCTCATTTTGAGACCCCACAAGGTAGACTGTGAATTCGTGTTGAATGCTTCTTGAAAGCATTCAAGCTCAATTCAAAGCCTACATCTACCCTCCACCTCTCTTAAGGTGTGCGACTCCTAATCACATTGCAGTTTTGGCACACAAAAACCAGATTTCAATTGTGGTCTGCGAGTAATATGTTGAGAGAGGCTCTGCTCCCATTTGACTGCACTTACTGAAACAGTCCTCAAGAGTGCAATGCATATTGTGGCATGCATTCAGATCGCCCGAACAGTCTAGCACCTACACAAATCGTGGTGTTCAAAGATTGAGGGAAAAACAAGTGTAGCAAATAACGAGTTGTTTGCAACACTTTGACAAATTTGCATCTTTAAATAGGGAGTCTATTTCATGTTTGTAATAGTAATCATGTCTGTTATGACTGTGCTACACAGTGGGTCTTGAAGCTTCTATTTTTCATCAATAAACATACCCTCATGAAAGCTATTCTTGCTAAAGCAACTTAGTTTATTTAAAAGCCTTTATCATCACGTCCCAACAGCCATCTAAACAACTTTTACTTCAAATCCTCGCTTACACCAATCAGTAAGAAGATATTTACGTCCGTGAATCATGGATCAATTAGCAATATAATCTGCCAGTAAGAGTTTGCATGAGAAGCAAGAACTTGCACTAAATATAAATAGTCTCATGGATGGGATAAGATATGAGTGTAATGGTGCAGGTGGCATGTGCTCTGTGGTCAAATAGAGGACAACCTATCAGTACTCCCTGCACTAGAAGAAAGAGGGCCGCCAAATCATGGGCACTAGATGCTATGGCACATGTAGTGTATTTTAATAAATGTTACTGCTCCAATGCAACAGAGATGCCCATGACCCATGTTCTTAGACAGTGTTGGCAAACTTAACAACCAATGGCACTAAGCCTCTAATGCAAGACGTGATTAGATTAGACCGGTGAGCACAGGCAAAGGGGCATACCTCGTTCCTCCAGATCTTCTATCTCTTCAAACTGAATCCAATCCTGCATAAATGAGCAAAGAAGACGGTGAAATGAAAACAATTGCAGCAATGTAACGAATGGTACTAGTTGGAACATACCCATGAAGGTCAGTGCACACAAGACATGAAACACTTGTTTTCGTGTCATCTGTGCATTGACCGCCATGAACATAACTGTAACCGCATAAAAATGAACTCACTACTGCAGCTGTTGCCAAAAGCATAATCCAAAAACACTGGTCAGAGATTCTGACAGAAACTAATAGTTTCACCTTCATGGTAGTTCTGATGATATGATACAATGTGCGATTGCTGCTACATGGTCACAGTGCACAAACTACATCCAAGAACAACATTTTTAAGTGACAATGCTAAGTAGTTCTGGCTCTCGTTTTCATTTAGGTTTCATATTAACTTGCACCACTAAAAAAAAAAAAACTCTTTGCAAAAATAAACAAAGGATGCCTTGGAATTGAATGAGGGCTGTAAAAATTCATTGTGTGCTTTGGTTTTTGTATAAGGTCTTCCTGGTTAAGCAAAAATATACATTTTAACAGGGTATGATATGTCTTACCGATATTGTAGTCACCACTAAGGTTCACAACATTTAAGACAGCCAGCAAAGTTAAAACTATCCAGAGAAGACTAATTTAAAAATTAAAACAATAGTTTGGGTTTATAGAAATGTATGCACTGCCAGTCCCAACTATCAGTCTATAATGAATTAACTGAAAATTAAAAAATATATTTGGACCAAAGTAACAGGTCCTTCTGTAACAAAGAGAAATTTGCACAGATAACGACGGACACAAAGACGAGACAGACAAGGACAGGCGCTCGACCTAATCTGCCTGGTCTTTCTGACCATATGTATTTGTGCCAGTTTCACCGTTAAAATGCACAACCAACTAACCCAATAGTCCATTTTATTACCAGAAGTCTACTATAACTAGAGCAGTCTGAGAAATCTACACTCGCAGGCAATAAGGACGCACCTCCACTTCGTAGAACCACTTTCGGGAAAAGGCCTTCCGGGCGCCGTCCTTATCCCTGCGATTGGCCCTGAAATGCCAGTCCAAGTGCTGCCGATACTTCTCGCACTTCTCATCTGTGAATCGCAGGCCGCAGGACGCACACTGGGTGCCCACATGCAGGGCAGTGATCACGCTTGGGTGCTTGCTGCAAGAAAAACACATCACACACTGCCATGATGCACAAAAGCTTAGCAAAGTCCCAACACAGCCTTGAGGCATGGCATACAAGGCAAAACCATTACAGCACTTTTCGTTATTCTGATTTCATAGTTGAAGACCAAAAATGCGCTCCTGTCAGAGCATGAGCACCCGTGCATCACCAAGTCCTATTTATATCACAGTTTTCTCTTATTCTGTTCTTTTTTTTTTTCTTGAACCAACTACAGTAGACTCTCAATGAACAGAACCTGGAGGGACCGAGAAAATGTGCTCCTTTTAACAGGAGTTCCGTTTACTGAGGTGAACTGAGTTGCATCATTCAGGGATGAAAGCAATCATATCAGAGGAAGTTGTTCTATTTACGCAGCATTTCCATTTAACAGATTTCCATTTACTGAGAACCTACTTTACAGTAGAACCCCCTTTTAAGAGCATGTTACGAGCAGCAATTCTTGCCTTTTATTTGAGATGTCTCTTATAAGCAAGGTACCTCATCCCTTATAAACCCGTGTTTTACCGTAGGCACACTTGTGTCTCTTATATCAACGTCTCCTATAAAGAGGTTTGACTGTACATAGGCGTACACTAGTGAAACAACACACACAGCTGAACCCATTTAAAAGAGGAATTGAAGCGAGAGACTTTTGGGCATGAGAGACGCTAGAGTGTCAACAAAGAAAAAGAAGTCAATCAGGAAATTAGCACATGATCCCCGGTGCATGCCTCTTATAATTTATTTATTGTTAAAATGTGTTCAACGATATTTGCTTTCTGTCCATGCCGTGCAGCACATTTTCTAGATGATTTAACTAAGCAGTATTTTAAAAGTATTTCATTTCATTCGCACTCATGATAATACCTGTCAGGGTTTTACGTTCCAAAACCATGTGATTATGTGAGACGCCATACTGGAGGGGCCCCGAAAATTTTGACCCTCTGGGGTTTGTGATTATTCCCCTAAATCTAGACACACGGGCCTCTAGCATTTTGTCTACATCGAAATGCACCCGCTGCAGTCAGGATTCAACCCTAAGACCTTTGGATCGGCAGGCGAGATCCAACTACTAGACTACAGTGGCAGGGCTTCATTCCCATTCGAACTTTAGTTTTCGATTTCGCTTTGCATCCAAAATTTTTGCTCTTCGCACTACACCCCTGACTAGTTCTTACATCTTGAGCTGGTCTGTCCTGGAGAAACTGAGCTGCGGGACGCCTTCAATGGGCTTCTTGGGCTCCTGTCTTGTGTGCTCGCCTCGTGGTCTCCTCCGTTTCTTCTTCTGCAAGTGGGCACCCATTGATTGGTACTGCTCTGCAGGCTGGCTCCCTGCTGCATTCCCATTGCCTGTGCTCTGCTTGAGGATGCCTGCAGCAACCAGCTTGGAGAAGAGCTCACCCACATTGACATCCAATGCCGCTGGCGGGGCCGGAGCAGCTGTTGGAGCTGGAAAGAAATTTGCCACACCATGCCGACAAACTGAAGTCACAAAGGAAGCATTATGAGAAAAAAAAAAAGAGTTGCTACTTATTCATCTGTGACCACCTAACTTGCAGTGTTGTCTCTCTTAACAAGGCTGCTATACATATATCATTAGATGCCTAATGATATATAGAGTAGAATCTCGATGATAAGAATTCCAAGGGAGCATGCAAAATATTAGTATAATCCCAAATTCATACGAAACAAAAACAAGTTAAAGCGGATAATGAAGAAGAATAAGAACTTTATTGCAACTACTACTTGCTGAAAAAAGTCCATGATGTTTTTTGAACTTTCCTGCCTTCACTGTGTCTCAATAAAGTACCGCTTTTCCTAGCTCATGCTGCTGGAGCAGTGCGTTCACACTTGACATCAAAAGGAGTAAAAGTGGCCAAACTCACTAGATTCACTCGTTTCGTTTAAGCGGCAGGAAAACCGCGTTGCGAAGTCGACACGAAAAAAAAAAAAAAAATATCAGTCCTGAAGAATTCACACTGTATAATTCAAGTGAAAGGGCCACAATGACTAGAAAACTACTTCTGTGCCCATCGAAATTGTTCACATTCGTTCTGCCCCTAGTACATGCCACCGCCACTTGAGAATTCCTTCCATTTTGCCCATTTCCTGAGCATTAAAGTTCATAGCGAGCTTTAGTTATGCATGCAAAGTACTGAAAAGAACCAGTTTACGCCTTCACAAACATTGTTTCAGAAGATACGCCAGCAGAAACTACACGAGCAAATGCACCAGCAGCGGCAACAACGGATTCAGCTGGCAGTGAAAAAGTGAGATACATTGGGACATACTGACTCACTGCTGCTACACCTTCTTCTACATCCGTGTTCTCATTGATCGTAATCTAAACCAGGCTCTCGATGAACACATCTTTGTCAAGGCTGTCAGCTTTGACATGCTGCTCAGGCAAGTTCGCAATAGCGCCGACGCGATCCATTACCGACGCCTTTGACACCATGTCAAATTTCTGGCTGGTTAGTGTTTACATCACGTGGTTTGAGAGCTATAGTCAAAACCGTGAAGCAAAAAAGGCGATCTGCTATCGCGTGGCAAGAAAATTGGTCTCGGACAGATTTTTTCGTGTCAGCCTTGCAGTTCCTTTTCGGCCTCTAAAGGGAGGTGAATTGCGGTGAGTTTTTCCACATTCACTCCCTTCAAAGCAAAGAGTGAAAAGGTCTTCCTCCCACATACAAGCCCTGTTGCGCTGCTTGCGTGCAGTGGTCCATCCCACATTCGTATCATCCACAGTGGCTTGGAAATCCGCTCATACAAAACCAAATCACGGCATATCTTATATAATGTAGTCCATCTAAAACAACCCTAATATTCGTATCATCACTAAATTCGCATCAAGCGTAATTGAATCATCGAGATCCTACTGCTATATTCTTTCGTGACCTACACAGCTTTCATGTTGCATGCATGAAGATGAACAGAAAACATTTATGGCTGCTAGAGCTTATATCCTGCTTAAGTGACGATCTGCTGCTTGCTCACTGACAGCACACTGCTGATGACTCCTTTCAACACTTTAAAGCAGGAAATACTTTGAACACTGCTGTTTCAGAGAGGCAAAACCCACTATGCAATACACACAAATCCTGCACAATCTCAGCAAGGTAGTAAAGAGTAGATACAAAAAGATAGAATCTGGATCCACTAGAGGCATATAAAAGCAATCCAAACACTAAACAGCTCTAAAGCAACAAAATAGAAAAAAAGAGTTTCCTCAAAAACTTTTCAGGATACACTAAAACCGCAGTGTCAAAATTTAACCAACGATGTGTCGTCCAACCCAGCAAGGTACTACCCAAGCACCCGCAGTACAATTTTACACATACCGTCGACGTCCTATTTCTCGGACGCCAGAAATTCTGAACATGCCCCGTTTCTCGGGCTCGTCTGCGGCACCGTCAGGTTCCCCATAGAGTCAATGTATTTAAAAGCCCGAAATCCCGAACGTTTATAGCTTTTACTACTCAATTTTTCAGACTTTTTACCGCAAACTCGCAGTCACTATCGCCGCCACCATTTTGGTTGTTTTCGTACCCTCGAAATGGAGAAAGTTCCGCAATCCAACACACACCAACTCATTGCCAGCCGCAGCTTAGTCAAACCTGTGGCCACAGCTGCATGGTGCAGTGCCTGTGCTCCAACCGTGGCCCCGACAGTGGGAAAAGCTGCACTGTTGACCTGTGGTTTTCCACCGGTATGCTTGTAGAGTCGTGGAAAGCAGTTATGCAATAGACCCTCTTGAACTGTTTCCGCCACGCTTCATACTGGACATCGAGACTGCTGTCTCGCACAGAGTGAACAGCGTGATTCTTGAGTGGACAACGCAAAGTTGTCCACTCTGGCCGTCTCGCCAGAGTGGACAGAGTGGACAGTTTTCGATTGCAGCGGGGAGAACTTTTGAGGGCTCCGCCGACGCTGACTAAGACTTCGAACTGTGTGTGGAATTGACTGGTGACAAAATCATTCGTCAGGTTACAGAGGATTTCCAACAACCCGGACACCCAGATCAAAGAGGCAGCGCCTACACAGCCCACGAGCTCGAAGTTGATGCGTGCACTAACACTGTCGTCGGTGTATACCGCCAGTATGACGTTAGCTGAAATTGAGGCGGACATCATCGCAGGCAAGTGGAGCGCCGTGCAAATGAAAATAAGCTTTTTTTTCCCACTGAAGCAAGAATTTACAAATGCGGTAGTGCTGCCACATCCGATATTTTTTATTTTCTTTCTTTCATCCTCTCTCTCATATATATATATATATATATATATATATATATATATATATATATATATATATATATATATATATATATATATATATATATACAAAGGAAAGAAGTGTATACCTAAGGGCTCGTTTTTCCGTGTTTTTACTCAATATTAATGAGATCTAACAGACAATAATGCCAAGAAAAGTATAGGAGAAGATATTAGACCAAATTGTAATGTAAATGTGAAGACAATTGAAAAGATAACAGCCGGATCCTGCCCACGGCAAGTTATCTTTTCACCCAGTTTTCTTCATATTCACATTACAATTTGGTCTAATATCTTCCCCTATACTTTCCTTGGCATTATTGTCTGTTAGATCTCTCTCTCTCTCTCTCTCTCTCTCTCTCTCTCTCTCTCTCTCTCTCTCTCTCTCTCTCTCACACACACACACACACACACACACACACACATATTGTTAAGGCGTTTATTAGCCGGCAACGAGCGAGAATATACAATGGCGACAGTCACGGCCAAGCACGGGCTCTCAGCGCGAGCGGCGTCCTTGTTGGGTAGCCCCACTAGGAGGTACTCAAGAGTTCGACACATTTCAGAGTTCGGAGGCTTCGCTACAATTACCCCGGGGTTGAAGAGGGAGCCGCCTGGCGATCTAACAGCTTGTTACTATGAGCGAGTCATAATAAGCCTTCAGGCGCTCCACGTTGACGATGTCTTGCCCACGGCGGCGCATGTCCGAAGATTGTTCAACGGGTTCGATCAGATAGTTGACAGGTGAGGTGCGCTCGATGACACGGTAGGGGCCTTCGTATTTGGGAAGTAGTTTGGAAGAGAGGCCAGCTACAGAGGTCGGGATCGAGAGCCATACAAGCGCACCAGGAAGGAACGTGGGCTCAGAAGTGGTGGAGCCATCACGAATACTCTTCTGCCGCTCTTGCTCTTGTGTCGTAAAAGTCTTAGCAAGCTCGCGACACTCTTCAGCAAGCCTGGCTGTCTCGGAAATAGGTGTACACTCAGATGGATCCGGCGTGTACGGGAGTATCGTGTCCATGGTGTGCGACGGGTGCCTTCCGTACAGCAAGTAGAAAGGTGAAAAACCAGTCGTGCTCTGAGGGGCGGTGTTGTAGGCGTAGGTGACGAAGGGCAGTATATTATCTCAATTAGTGTGGTTGGCAGCGACGTACATAGAAAGCATGTCGCCGAGGGTGCGGTTAAAGCGTTCGGTGAGGCCATTCGTCTGTTGGTGGTAAGCAGTAGTTTTGCGGTGGACAGAATGGCACTCCGTCAGAATGGCTTTGACGACTTCCGACAAGAAGACACGGCCTCGATCGCTGAGAAGCTCTTGGGGTGGTCCGTGGCGCAGTATGAATCGATGCAGCAGGAAGGACGCAACATCGCGCGCAGTAGCCGCAGGGAGAGCGGCGGTTTCGGCGTATCGCGTTAAATGGTCAACGGCAACGATGGCCCAGCGGTTACCAGCCGACGTCAGAGGAAGTGGTCCATACAAATCGATACCTACGCGCCCAAAGGGACGGTCAGGGCAAGGTAACGGTTGCAAACCGGCGTGCGACATGTGGGCTGACAGTTTACGGCGTTGGCAAGTGAGGCAAGAGCGAACGAACTGCTGCACATAGCGGTACATTCCGCGCCAGAAGTAGCGTTGTCGAATGCGGTGGTAAGTTTTGAATACCCCAGAGTGCGCACATTGCGGATCAGAATGGAAAGATTCACATATCTCCAACCGCAGGCTGCGGGGTATGACGAGTAACTACTGCCAGCCATCAGAGTCGTAATTGCGTCGGTGTAGGAGGCCGTCACGGATGGCGAAATGGTGAGCTCGACGACGCAAGGCTTGCGTGGATGGTGTTGCGGACGGATCAAAGAGCAAGTCGATCAGCGGGGCGATCCAATTATCCTTTCGCTGTTCGGCAGCAACGATGTCAACATCAAAAAAATGGCAGATACAGCAATTGAGGTTACTGAGCAGGGCACGCCGTCTTGAGGCAGAGGGGAGCGTGAGAGGGCATCAGCGTCAGCATGCTGGCGTCCGTCGCGGTACAGCACACGGATGTTGTAGTCTTGTAAGCAAAGGGCCCAACGGGCGAGACGGCCTGAGGGATCCTTCAATGATGAAAGCCAGCATAGTGCATGATGGTCGGTGACGACATCGAATGGGCGACCATACAAATAAGGTCGAAACATTGTAAGGGCCCAGATGATCGCCAGGCATTCTTTCTCCGTGACGGTGTAGTTTGTCTCGGCTCTCGTGAGCATACGGCTTGCATATGCTATGACATATTCAGGGAATCAGGGTTTTCGCTGCACCAGGACAGCGCCTAGGCCTACACCGCTGGCGTCCGTGTGCACCTCCGTTGGGGCTGTAGGGTCGTAGTGGCGTAGAATGGGAGGCGACGTCAACAAATGGCGGAGCTTCGCGAACGCGTCGTCGCACTTGGATGACCATGAATTGAGGGGCCCGTTACTTCCAAGGAGCTTCGTCAGCGGTGATATGATCGTGGCAAAGTTTCGTATGAAGCGTCGGAAGTATGAGCACAGGCCCACGAAACTACCCAGTTTTTTGACAGATGCAGGTTTGGGGAATTCGGCCACGGCCTGAAGCTTGGCAGGATCAGGAAGAATGCCGTCTTTGGACACGACGTACCCCAGTATGGTGAGTTGCCGTGCTGCAAAGCGGCACTTTTTCAGATTTAGTTGCAAGCCGGCATTGCTCACATGTGCGAAAACTTCTTTCAGACGTTGGAGATGCGTGGAGAAATCCGGAGCAAAGACAATGACATCGTCGAGGTAACACAAGCACGTGTACCATTTCAAGTTGCGCAGAACGGTGTCCATCATGCGCTCAAAGGTCGCAGGTGCATTACATAGACCAAACGGCATGACGTTGAATTCGTACAAGCCGTCTGGCGTGACGAAGGCGGTCTTTGGTCGAGCGTTGTCAGCCATGGGTACTTGCCAGTACCCCGTGCGCAGATCGAGAGAAGAAAAAAAATCAGCTCCATGAAGCCTGTCAATCGCGTCATCGATGCGTGGCAGTGGATAAACATCCTTTCGAGTGATCTTATTGAGCCGTCTGTAGTCCACACAAAACCGCACAGAACCGTCTTTCTTCGCAACAAGAACAACAGGAGACGTCCATGGACTGTCCGAGGGCCGAATAACGTCGCGTCGGAGCATATCGTCAACCTGATCATTAATTACTCGACGTTCAGCAGGCGACACGCGATATGGACGTTGCCGTAAAGGTGGATGGGCACCAGATTGATTGATTTGTGGGGTTTAACGTCCCAAAACCACCATATGATTATGAGAGACGCCGTAGTGGAGGGCTCCGGGAATTTCGACCACCTGGGGTTCTTTAACGTGCACCCAAATATGAGTACACGGGCCTACAACATTTCCGTCTCCATCGGAAATGCAGCCGCCACAGCCGGGATTTGATCCCGCGACCTGCGGGTCAGCAGCCGGGATGGGCACCAGTGTCGATGCGATGCGTAACAACGGACGTGCGACCGAGAGAACTTCGCCCGACATCGAAAGAAGAACGATATTCTTGCAACAGGTCCAGAAGTTGGGAACGATGTACGGCCGTAAGGTTGTCAGCGATGGAGGGGCCAAATACATCAGCAGATGACGAATCAGAAGTGGAAACAGCATTGATGGTACGCGATCTGGGACAGCGCGTGTCATCGGGTACGTCCAGGACTTGTGCCTCGTCGACTGGTTCCACTCTGCCGAGACATTCCCCTCGAAGCAAGGTAACAGTGTACGGGGACGGGTTGGTTACAAAAATAGCAGCGTTGCCCTGGTTGACCTGCACGGTCGCGAAAGATACTAGCAACCCTTTCCTGCTGCAAGAGCGGTCAGATGGCGAAACGAGTGCAATGGGGTCGGAGAGACCGGCGCAGCAGACAGACACAGCCGTCGTCGAGTTTGGAGGCACTGTTGTATCGTCTTTCGTTAGAATCTTGCTCAGTGTCGAGGGACTGCCTTCTGGCGTCAAATGCGAGAAGGGTGAGAGCTCAATTTCGGCGGCGGCACAATGGATGACGGCGTCATGGCGGGAGAGAAAGTCCCATCCCAGGATGACGTCATGAGAGAATGCCGGAATGATGATGAACTGGGCGACATACAGAACGTCTTGGATGACAACGCGAGCTGTGCACCCTGCTGTAGGATGAATACAATGCAAACTTGCAGTACGGAGGGACAACACAGAAATTGGCTTCGTAACTTTTCGAAGTAAGCAGCAGAGTTTTTCGTCCATAACTGATACGGCAGCTCCAGTGTCAATAAGAGCCGATGCACAAACGCCGTCCACAAGCACGTCAATGACATTCGAGGGACTGCTCTGAGGGCTTTCACATTGCCATAGCATCGCAGTCCTTGCCTCGGGGACTGCGACGACTAGTTTTCCCGCTCATGAGCAGCCGCACTTGGTCGCATGGGGGACAGGGAACGACGTCGTGGAGACGGCGATCTTGGAGATGGACCTGGGCGAGATCGAGGTGGCATAGACGGCGGTTCTTCGCGATAAGGACGGCTGAGTTGGCCAGCAACAGGTGAAGAAATTGGAGCCGGCTGTACGTGATGGCAATAACGGGCCACGTGACCGGCGTAACCGCAGGCAAAGCAGATGGGCCGGTTGTCGGGTGTGCGCCATCTGTTCACCGGGGTAGGTCTCACCCATATCGCAAGGGCCGATGGACGGAACGGTGGCTGCACGGTGGACTGAAGCTGAGGCTGAGGGGTTACGTCAACATACGTAGCGGGCATACCCGCTGCAAAGGATGGAGGTCGAGCGGCAGCTTCGGCGTCAGAGGGGCGGGTGCTGGAACAACTTGGGGCGGCCTGGCGACCACTTGCGCGTAACTCAGGGGCGCAGGAGCCGGAGGCTGTGGAGGGTGGTACGCAGGCATTACCTCCGCTATTTCCTGTTCAATCGCTCGACGGATGGGAGGAAGAAGGGTAGTAGGCGATTGTTGAACAGTCGGTTGGCGGGCAAAGGGCAGGAGCGAGAACTGACGCGCGATTTCCTCGCGGATGAAGGACTTTAGGTCTGCCATCAACGCCACTTGGTGACAACTGGCCTCCAAGCCAGCAAGCGTTGCAGCTCGTGGTGGGGAGCATCTGGTCATCGAACGCTGCAGGCGGAGCTCCTCGTATCTCTGGCACAGTGTGATGACCTCAGCCACTGTGCCGGGGTTTTTGGCGAGCAGCATCATGAAGGCATCATCGTCAATGCCTTTCATGATGTTTCGGATCTTGTCAGACTCAGACATGGTGGGATTAGATTTGTTGCATAGATCCAGGACGTCTTCAATATAGCTCGTGAATGACTCACCAGCCTCCTGAGCACGTTCACGTAAGCACTGCTCGGCTTGCAGCTTGCGAACAGCAGGGCGGCCGAAGACGTTGATGATTGCGGTTTTAAAATCGGAACAGGTGGCAAAATCGGACGCGTGGTTGTTGTACCACAAACTGGCAACACCCGTAAGGTAGAATACCAAGTTGGTCAGCTTGCCGTCCTCGTCCCATTTGTTGGGGACGCTCACGCGCTCGTAAATGGCGAGCCAGTCCTCCACGTCAGTGCCATCAGCGCCAGTGAAGAAGGGTGGATCGCGGATTCTGGGGACACCGGGACAAGGGAGTGGCATTGGAGGCGTTTGCTGAGGAGCGCCGTGGTACATAGTAGATGGCAGGGTACGTGATCGCAGCTCCAAAGGCATAGACGGGGATCGCAGCACTCTCCACCAAATTGTTAAGGCGTTTATTAGCCGGCAACGAGCGAGAATATACAATGGCGACAGTCACGGCCAAGCACGAGCTTTCAGCGCGAGCGGCGTCCTTGTTGGGTAGTCCCACTAGGAGGTACTCAAGAGTTCGACCTATTTCAGAGTTCGGAGGCTTCGCTACAATATACACACACACACACACACACACACACACATATATATATATATATATATATATATATATATATATATATATATATATATATATATATATATATATATATATATATTAATGTAAACGGCACTTTTTAGAGTCATCTAAACAATGCATTTGCTGAATTGCAATGAGAATCATGTACTCCTGCCGTGACTCTCTCCGTCAGCAAAAAATGATTATTAAAAAATGTTGTTTTCGCTTGCATTCGTTTTTTCCGGACTGCCCGATATGCCGGACGTTTTCGCTGTCCCTCAAGGGTCTGGGAAATCGGACGCCGATTGTATTAGGTGCATACAGCACAGCCTCATAAAACTAGTCTTGGCATGCTGGCAGGAGCCAAGCATAGCTTTCAACAGAAATCGAACCCAAGAGAAGTTCATAAAGGATAACAACACACAGACAAGTGTTGCTGGCAAAGTCCTCATTGTTTCTGAGATGGCCTAATGAGACAAGATGGCCGCTCGCATCTCAAAGAAGACATTGCTTACCTTGTGATGGCTGCTGGTGCATGTGCTCATCTGCCAGTACAGCTGGGAAAGGGCTTGGAAGCGTGGCTACTGGCATCTGAGACATAGCTGGTGGTTGCAGAGGTGGCTGCTGCGCTGCTGTCTGCAAGGCAGGTGGTTGCGTTGGAGGTTGCTGCAGTGGCTGTTGCATTGGTGGCTGCATTGGCGGCTGCATTGGTGGCTGCATTGGCGGCTGCATTGGCTGTTGCATTGGTTGTTGTAATGGTGGTGGTTGCTGCATAGACTGCGGCATTGGTTGCTGAATTGGCTGCTGCATTTGCTGTTGCATTGGCTGCTGCATTTGCTGTTGCATTGGCTGCTGAAGTGGTGGCTGCATAGGCTGCTGCATTGGTTGCGGCTGGCTGGCTCCAACCATGTAAACCGGTTGCCCTCGGGCAGCTGCCTCAGGCCCCACTAGGTGCGGCCCGGCAACCACCATGGGGGGTGGTGCAAGTGGAGGAGGAGGAGCTAAGTTTGATGACGCCAAAAGAGCCTGAGGGGGTGGTGGGGGTCCACCAAGTCTAGGCGGGCCCATCGGAGGGAGTCCTGGCTCCCCGGCAGTAAAATGTGGTCTGCATGGCGGGAACTGCGGCTGCAGGAAGCCTGGCCGAACTTCTCCGACACTGTAAAAGAACATGTGGGAGTTTACTTAAATGTCTAATTAAGCACAAGAAATAATTACACCACCAAAGAAAACAATACCACACCACAGTTAATGTGTCCACAGCTGCTAAAAATAGGTATGATAACAAATAATTCGTTGCTGTAGCCACAGACACTTCTGGACACATGCACAACCACAAAAAGAAAAACAAAAGTGATGGTGATAAAAACAAAAGTAATAGTGTTACCTGCATAATTTATCTTTCAGAATTCATAAAGTTTCTAAAGATGCACTACTGCTAAAACGAAATCGGCCATCCAACAAGCTCATTATTGACACCTCGTTAAATAGAGCTTTAGCACTGATATGTTACCGTACGGTCCGAGGAGTTCGCATAAATTTTATTGTATGAAAAGTTTTGTACAGTACACTGGGTGGTAACGACAATGCCGTGGCAGTGTTGGAAGTTATAGAAGCCCAAGTCAATATGAGCCAAACTCAGTGAACAATTAGTGCCTGTCAACTGGGTCTCCTAGAGCTGGGATAAAAAAAACAAATCGAAGCACCTAAATCAGATGCAGGAGGAACCACTGACTGCATCATTAAGCATGGCTTGCGATTTGCTTGTTTACCAGGAATCGAACTTTGTTGGTCGAGCAGGCAGTGCTACCCCGTGGCAGAGAATTTAACTAGGAAAGACAATGACAACTGCATCCACATTCTACTTTTCTCCCATTAAAAAGTTCGCAGTGATGCCATCACAATGCCATCTCTTTCGTTTTGTAGATCAATCAGAATATGCACATAGAAGATCTTGCTATGATCCATTTTACTGCCATCTATGTTTACTGTGACCTGGGGATCACAGCCCTTAGAGTAAGTGATTGTAGGAAATCTAAAACATTAGAATATTCTGCAAGACCTGTAGGTTTGTTGTGATGATCATTATCACCACCGTTCTAACAGGCACCAAGCAATATATTCAGCTAAAATATTTTTGGCCATCGTGGTATGGTACAGTAGATTACAGAATTGGAATGCCATAGCGTAATTGTCAAGGCAACACTGCACAGCTGAAGCTTCAACCTTTTCTTTTTACTCTCTTATTATTTTGAACCACCGCATATAGCTCCCAAAGCACTGCCTACCCGACGTGATGAGGGTGCATCTGAGGTTGAGGAAAGTCCTCCCGGAAGTAAGAGGGGTACTCCTCGCCACCAAAGCCTGGCTGCTGATTGCCCCTTCTACCTGGGCCCACTCTTGGCATGCCACGACCCTCCATGAAATCATTCCTACACAAACAAGGCCACGCTCTTGCTAAAACTGCTTACAGCAACAGAAAAAGAGGCTGGCCACACAAACAGAACTTTCTCACTGAAAGGTCCACAAAGTACATCACACGATGCAGAGTCACATAATCACAGCAGCAGTGTTGGCAAAGCTTGTTGGGACAATAACATTGCGAGAGTAAAATCATTTACATAGCCACGTATCTCGTATTCTCAGTGAGTGACGCCACTAACAGTCGATACATGAGTAAACTTACCCTACCCTATGCCGAAGCGCCGAAGACTGTAATAAAAGCAGGACGATGCAGCAGGATGATGTTTTGTACATTTTACAATCCCGCAATATTATTAAGCGGTTACTGTGCTGAGTTATTCTAATAGTCACTTGGTTATTCAAACAAATTACTTGTTAACCCAACCAGGCTTCTAGGAGGCGAGCTTTCTGAAGACTATTCTGGAGAGGATAACCTGCCAACATGTTGATTGATTTGTGGGGTCTAACATCCCAAAACCACCATATGATTATTATGAGAGACGCCGTAGTGGAGGGCTCCGGAAATTTCGACCACCTGTGGTTCTTTAACGTGCACCCAAATCTGAGCACACGGGCCTACGACATTTCCGCCTCCATACCTGCCAACATGTTCACCGTGCTGTTTGCTCCTGACTGGATACGACAAAAATGACATTAAATGTTTGGTGCACACCTGAGATTTACTATAAGTCTCCGTGGAAGCCAACTTTAAATAAATTAAGGTAAAAAGAAATTCTTTTAGTTTCGCCTTCCCTGGCTTATAGCAGACATATTCCTGCTCAAGCATTACGAATAACCTGTCACAGCAGCAGTACACACTTAGACAAGCACAAATGAAAACAGAGGTACTGGTGTCGCAACTTGCATCTTTATGTCTGTGTTCGCACAAGCGTCTTAAGATGTAACGGTGCTGAAGAAAAAAAAAACCGTCCAGCACACCCACCAATGTATCTTGAGCGAATAATAAAGCATGTTTTTTAATTCACCAGCAAAGATCATGATCGGAAATAAAAGTGTCAATAATGCAGAATGCACGCGAACGCTCACCCAAAGTTGTTGTTCCAATCACCAGGTCCTGGGGGCCCTCGGGGCCAAGGTGGACGAATGTTTGGATCTTGTTGTGGCTGACCGAGGGGCGGCTGTTGCGGCCAATTATTACCGACACCTGCCCGTTCTTCAGACCCACTGCCATACCTAACCCAGCCCTGAAAAAGTACGAGCAAGCAACTCTCAGTAACGTGAATCTGCAAACGAAGGAGCCTGTCCAAAGTAAGCACAGTAGAGAACCACAGCCAGAAGCACATGCCAAATACTGATGCAAAAAGGGAGGGTAATGTCAGCTCAATACCATTAGCAAATAGTAGAAGACCACAGTCTGGAGGGGACCAAAAACAAATAAAGGAACAGGGAGTTTCATAATTATGAAAATATTACATAATTCTTCTTTGGAAACAGCAGCTACATGTGCAATTTAGTGAAACCATTGAAGAGTCCTTGCTATGGGCTTCCACACACTCCCGTGGCCTTCTGTTCACAAGATGCAACAATTAGGTGTTCTTTGACAGCAACTCAATAAAGCAAGCACTCCCCAAGTAGCAACAATAACATCCCACCTAAAGGATACTTACACACCGATGCGTCACTGTGGCTCCGCACTGGCAAAAGATCTAGAATATTTAATAGCCATGAGCAATCAACGGTGCATGTTTTTCAATTCTTTTTCCCGGTGTACGGCGTAACTTCACACACCACCTGTGTTCAGGAATTCAACCGCTCTGCTCGTGCAGCTTGCTTAGCCTAATATTGTGTGATAATAGGGGAAGGTTATCGTCAATCTGGCACTGGTATTGCTTGTATTTAGTGCTGAAATACTTCCAGAAGCTGTCTCTTTGATGTGTGCCTTCTTGGACTTTCAGAAGAGTTCACGTGACTAGCACCAAATATATCGACCCTAACGGGCTATAGTATTGCTCACACAGTGTCAAACACACCATCTTAACACCATGCGAGCAATACTGGAGCCCACAAGCACCGCTGACGCATCTAGCGTTGGCAGTGCAAGTCCTCATAAAAGTGCAAGTGCGCACGAAAGTGATCAATGAATAATACCATACTAATGAAACATTCCTAAAAGTCAATCAATGGTGCCTAACAGCTACCTTCATCATCTTGCTTGACAGAGAGCAGACAACTAGGAAAAATCTTTTTTCCTCAATAAAGGCCTTCTGCTTTCACTGTTTAAAAATAACAGGAGACTACTGATAAATATAGTGCAAAGTTGCATAGACAGATCTGCAAAGAACTATAGGCATTTCTGCATATGTCAACTCCATGGTAAGAGTTCTCTTCAACTCTGTGCAAGGTAAGCGCATGCTTGTTGCATAATGCTTGACTGGTGTGTGTTATCACTATGGCAACTATCTTGCTGCAGCAGAGCAGCGTAATATAACCAGGAACCACACATGCACCATGTTGCAGCCCACACAAAGATGCATTTAATTTCAGTACATGGCAGCCCAGTGACGGCCACATTGACTGTGGGTTCCAAAAGCCAGCATGTTGGAACCACGCCTTCATCCTGTACCAAGCAACACAACAGTGGGTGAAGGAGCAGATGACTTACACCGCTCTCTTTGTTTTGCTGAAAACCGCCTTCGGGCGGCTGCTGTGGCCGTGACTGCCCCCAACCACCCTGCCCTGCCTGTTGTGGACTATTCCACGTGCCACTCTCATCCACGTCGCCACGTTTCCTCAGGTCAACATCTTTTGCTGCTTCGGAGCTAGGTAGTCTCATATCGACATCCATACTCTTTTCACTCTCTGTCGCAGGAAGCTTTACTTCCGGTGGAAGGGTGCGCAAATCCGAGTCTGTGTCGGCCAGTTTTTCCGGATGAAGGTTGAGGGCGCGAAGTACATGCTCCGGTGGTCGCTTCTCGATGTCCACGGTTGGAGGTTGTGGCTCTAGCCTGATCACATGCACCTCACCATCAGCTGTTTTGATCGCGATAGGACTGTTGTCAAACTGCGCACTGTAGGGCACCCCGTCCAGGAATATTTCACGCAATGGAGCTCCAAACTTGATTGTACGCTTCTTTCCAGTTCGTTTCGAAACAAATTCATGTGCTGTGCCATCAAATGGCAAAGACACAGGTTCCTGGCGAGAAAAAGAAAAAATGTTGAAGTAAGTGCACGTAAATCAAGCCAAGCTCCAAAATCAAGCCAATTATTTCAACACATTCAAAACATATCAAATTAGTTGAAATCGCAGCTGAGCAAGATTGAGTACTTTCCACAAAGGGGATGCTACAAACAACAACAGGTTTATGTTGCCATGATTGAGTGGCTTGGTCCCTACTTTAAGCACTGATGCAAGTCACTTCAGTATTAAAAGTGCCGCCCATTTTCTCAAGTGTCAGCGATGATTTCAACTATTCACAACAGCGCATAGGGCAAAGTGGCATACAACAGAACCTCAGTACTTTCATTACCTCAATATTACGATTCTGAGACAACACTAGTTGAAAACCTCATGTGATGTGGAAACCCTTAATTTTGAATTCAGTTAAATTGCAGCTTTGTTCTATGTTTCCCCTGTTATTTCAGCATTCGCTTTTAATCACTACAAAAAAAAAGATTCGTTCTAATTCTGCTACGGTGAGGGCAGTCGCAATGTAATACCAGATATTCATGCTGCACGATGAAAATCGAAGCTGTGGCCTATGTGAGTGTGTGCTGAAATAGTAGAGCAAGGTCACACATGCATTCAAACAACCTCAAATGAAAGAAGAATTGCTAATACGTTTCACCAGTGGAAAAAGATTGTAGCAGGTCTCTCGCATTTGCTGTAATCTATACTGATTAAGGAGGCAACTGGTGCGAGCAATATTACATTTTAACACGAATGTGTTTTATGCTGGGGCCCGCTAAGACTTCAGTGACGCATTTCGGTGATGGAAATAACATCGAAAAAATACACGCGGTCGGAAGACAACGGAAAAAAGTTCTATCAACGGAAGTCGAACCCATTACCCCTCAATTTACCACCAAAGATGGCAGGCATGCTATCCACTGCCACATGGTCACACCTTCTATAGGTTTAACAAATGCACCTTTCATATCTAAAACTGTCCTCTCACAGTTCTTTAGGTAAAGTGAAGTAATGCTTCATGACTGTGCAATCCCCAATTAGTTCGCTCATTGTGTCATTTCTACCAGCCTTTCCAATCGGCCTGTTTCCAATGACAAAAGTGTAATTTAGTCGACACCTCAACACACCGCCAGGTGGCAACCTAATCCGAAGGGTCGGAGGCCTCACTCATATCTTCCATCCATAGCGGAAATAGCACTGCAACACGCACCAACTGATTCGCCTGACTTTGCGTTCCCCACATAAGCTAGCCCCATGAAAGATACAACTGGCCAATGGGGAAGACAAAGACACGTGTAGCGTTTCCCTCTAGTCTGGCATTAGTGTTCAATAGCACAAATATGATGCGAGCAGGTGACCTCAGCCCACATTCGACGTCCAATCATTTGCCTTTCTGGCTGTCATGCTGCTTTCTAAGACTCCACTTTTGCCGTTATAAGTACTAAAGCTGCCAAAAGCGCCACAACCACAAGGGTTGGTCAATCATTAATCATGGACGTTAGTCATCGGGATGGAGATGCATCACAAGCTTCCACATGGATGCGTTCTCATTAAACGGTTCTATGGCTGCCAAACATCAGCAGAAATTTTACGAGCTCTCTTATATCAATATATATACAGTAAACATTACCACTTCTGTAAGGACATGTTTTACCTCCGTGCTATCTACCTTTTTTTCCCCAAACATATGTGCCATTATTTTTTTATATGAAATTATTTCAGAAGCTTCATGCCAATTGGCTTAGCAGTAAAATGCGTGTGACCGTTTGTGGTTTGCAGCTTTGAGAAAAAGAATGTGCCTGTGAAGCAAGATGGTAAGCAAGAAAGATCCCAACAACACCATGGATCATGGGGCCTCTGGAGTCGGCCAACTTTTCTCAGTGAAGAACAGATTACCCAAGAAGGAGGACAAAGAAAGACTGACTTCAATAAAAAAATTATGCACCAGAAGGCACATACTTGTCGAAGTGACGATATTTCAGCACTTCGAAGTCTCAACTTTATTCTCTCTCTGTCCTCCCAATCCCGTCCTCCTCCCCTTCGTCCACCATTTAGCCCGGAGGACAGACTCTGTGTGGCCTGTGGAATGGAAACGTAGTCTCCGTGGTGCGATTTCACCCAACTGCATTGATTGTAGCGAGATGGAAACACTGCCCACTTCTTGTGTGAGTGTACTGTTCTCGGTGATGCATGCAAATGGCTGGCTCATCATGTCTTATCGAACTGTCACGTGTGACCCTGCCGGATGTCACACCTGCAGGACCATCGCCACTTCGCCCTTGCCACCCTACTTGGCTTCCTTAAGGACGTCAGCTTGACTGAGCGATTTTTATAAGCCGCTCGCCCCAGTAAGTCAGACGTTTCTCCTCTTCCCATCACGCTAGTTCTTTTTTCCCCTCCCTTTTCTTTCCTCCTTGACTTGCCTCCCCCCTCCCTTCTATTAATTAATTCCTCCCTCTCTTTCCACTCATATGTCTTTTCCCGTTTTTCTTTAATTTCTTTTCTTCACTCTCAATGTCCCTTCAATCCCTGTTCCCCGGCAAGTGTATTGGTTAAGGTGCCCTCAGTTGAGAGACAGCTACCACCGTGCACCCCACACCCCATTTTTTTACTTTTATGTCTTTTCCTAAGGAATCATCCCCCCCCCCCCCCCATTATCAAGATAGGCTTAGATTCACACAATTTTTTTAGTTCAAACAAATATTTCCTTATTTTAACAAAGTAACATTGTAATTACATTTAAACAACAAAAAATACCCCAATTATGTGAAGTGAGGTAAGCTCATATGTAGTAGCGATTAGAGGCTACGAAGTAGTATTCTTAATAGTATAAACACAGCCGGTATATTGCAGTATTCAAAGTGGCATTTTACCATTACCTTTTAAATAATACTAAGGTCTAAAAGTTAAGACATCATAAATGAACATGATGAATCCGATGATAATGACAGTGGATTGGAAACACATTCGCTTCAGCGATGCTGGAGCTTAAAACCCAAATTTTTTCATCCTTAAGCTTCGAGAGCGCAGTAAATGCTCAAGCAGCATGTATCTTGGCAATTCACTAAAGAATTAAAAATTATCCTTTGCTTTTCCAACTGATGTTCCTTCAGTGTTTTCTCGCGGGTGCAAATTATTCGAAAAATATTTGGTAATCCTGTTATGTGCTACGAAATCAAATAATACGGTATTTGTTATTTGAAATTTTCTTATACTCGCACACCCCTACCTAATGGCAATTCTTACTTGAACCTAAGTTTTCATTTATTTATTTTATTTGCATCTTTCTAGAGCTTCACTTACAGACAACATTGACTTTTCACTTACACCCAACAATGACAACAACACTGACACCAGAATTCCTGTTAAACAAGCTCTTTGATGCGATCTCATTAAAATACTGAGCACATATGGAAAGTTAGAGAACTCGCCATTGTTTCCACATCACATAAGGAAGCTTGGGCAGTAAATGAAGAAGTTTCCCCACATAAAAAATAAATTTTCTAAATTTTCTGCTGCTCTTCCTTCTTCAATGTTTTACAGACTTAAAATTAATGAGGTTATACTGTAGCTCTAGTCTGTTCCAGTGTAAATGACATTGCATATAAGGCTGCCTTTGTTCTGCTGTTTTTACTCTATCCAAAAAAAAAAAAAAAAGACAGAGCAATTTTTTTAAGAGGTAGGGGAAGGGGGCTTGCACTGACACATCACCACAACTAGTAGTCAGAGAACTTCAACATGCAAAATGTGTGCTACATGCATGTGCAACGTGTACAAGATAACAGCTGCTAAATGGTTATAAAAAAAAGATCCTGGCTATAACCTCCTGCAGCAGAACCTAATGACGATAACCTTTCCCTTTTTTGAGAGAAAATGCAGCTTGAAAGCCCACGGCAAGCTGTATAGCCCCAAATTAGACAAACGGGCCAAAACATGAATCCAAAAGCAGAAACAATAATGCCCATTTTATATATTAGGTAACCGTTTCAAAATGTAAGTGCTGAAACTTTACATACAAGTTACACAATCTCGCTGCTTGCATTTCGAGCTATGTTCCTAATATGAAAAAAAAAAAAGCAAAATGCTGTCAGCCGTCCGTTTTCAGGTGATTTGTGACATTACAGCAGTCAGGCACAATTTTTAATATACGCACTATGATCGCATAGCAGAGAACACTTCACAGACCAGCACACATCCTGGAAGCATTTAGCACATGTGCCCTATGCTTTTCCTAAAATGTTAGCAAAATTGCTTCAGCAAGCTAAATAATAAATAAAAGTAGAATGCCAATCTTTGTTCTTGCATTGAGGAAAAAAAGCAGTTACAACCGGGTTTTTTCTTTAATGTAAAATGTGCATTGCGATATATCAATTCTTTTCATAAAATATTTAAATAAACAAGCGAATTTAGTCTGATTGCAAGCACAAGCAGGTGGAAATGCTTGCAGTGGTGTGCAGCAAAGCAGCATGCATGTGCCAGGTGAGAGGCTGTGAATGGTGTAAACGCTGAAAGAAGTGTATTAACTGGCCATTTCACTAAATTAAACAATCTAATGACAGCAGCAACAAAATCACAAGACATGGAGCTCCTTCTTTTAGGGAATGGCAACAACATACAGAAGGCATGAATCAGACCATTCAGTTCTACAAATTTAAAAAGTGATTTTGCCGCTCTAGTCAGATTGCTCTCATACTGTTCCTTTCGTTAAGTCTGTCCAGAAAACTAGACACTCTGTCATAAGCACAAAAAAATGTGCTAATTATTTATCTGTCAAGGCTACATTTTAGGCGTTTAACGTGCTCTTTTGTGGCCGGCAACCAGCAACAAAATTTATTGCTGAATATTGACAACTAGAGCACTATTGAACATGCGAGATTAACTACAACAACTAGCACTTTCTGCTTCAGACTGGCTTAAAGCGCAAAGCTTCTATTAGATGTCCATACAACAGCCTCCAGTTGATAAGCCCTTCCTTAACTTCAAACATTCTTTTCAGTGAAGCAGCTTTTGGATGTGAGCATACAGATGCTCAACACGCGAACACCAACATGGTCTTGTGAATGCTGTTTTAACTATCATGCATCAATAGCTTCAAAGTGAGCTGCTTCCCGCAAGCAGCCGAGTCCTGTCATTCCTAATTTTATCCCTTCAGAAAAAAAAAACATCAGTACAGACCAATGTATAATTACAGAATGCTAACAATGTGGCCAGAAAATTTCTATGAGAACTACCATTCTTCCAATTTTTATTTTGCTAAGATCTCTCTAAAAAGCACTAACTCTTTATCTTTAGACATTACTGCGTAATGCAGGTTGCTGTCTGTTATACAAGGACATAGTGTCATGGATGAATAGCTTTTAGCAATTAGAGAAAGCTGCCAAAGTAAAAAAGGAAAACAGAAACCCCTATATGTCCTGGAAATTTCATCATGTTCACTTGACACAACACACCAGTCGCAACGCAGTAATCTACAGTACTTAAAACTTCGTTGATGGCAACCTTTTGAGCAACGATATTGAAAGTTGAGACTTGAACCTTGTTTGCTCTCCTATATTCAAGACCTCTTATGCTGACAGCTCAAAGCTTTTTCCTTCAGCGGATTTCAAAATAAGGGGTGGCACATACAACAGACGAAACCTCAGCGAAGCTGCAAGGCATGGCAATAGTCTGATTTTGTCAGTGCTGCTTTGGCACCTACATAGACAATGGGTCCACTCGGTGGTAAACAATTAGGCTAGCGCAAGTTTGAGCACACCACTTTGACATTGCAGTGTGCTGCAGTCTGTCGCAGGCAGTGACTAACCTGCAAAAACTCCGGAATTAAACAATCTTAATCAAGGGTCAGTTCTGGCAAGCAGTTGTGCCACACTTCTTTTAGTTTCCACACCAAAAATTGCAACTTTTATGAGCTTTTAGGATGAATTGACTGGTTTTCTTTTTCAACCATGAAATTTTACATGTAGGCTGCCCCATATCTATATGCCATTTGAGTTTAGGTGTTTCTACACAGCCAAGAAGCTTTTCTTCAAATCGAATTTAGCTCACATGGCAATTCCTCTCACTTGGCACAGATAATCACCGTTACTGAAAAGCACTGCAACGCTCAAGATCAAGCAGGTCTGTGCTAAACACTTACCACGATGCAAAAAAAGAGAACACAACACAGCGCAAGAGGAAATTGCCTTGGCCATGCACACAGGAGGAAAAGGGGGTGTAACAAGCACACAGGCACAGCTTTCTGTCTTCCATCTAGAAATAGCCCAAAAGCCACAGCCACCACCCAAGGCCGGTCAGACACCAGTTCCACAACCACGCTCTCTTCAATCCAGCAGCAAATGATTCCATGCAGACTCACGCATTTATACTTTACTTTTACGTATATAAGGCGGAAGTTAGGGGATTATGTTATGCTTCAATAGATGTAAAATTTGTGAACACAAGGGGGGGGGGGGGTCACTGTAGCCAGATTTTTACAAGAAGACTTCTCTTAACAAATTGGCTGACTGGGCTAGTTGGTTCATGCATACTCGAGGTTGACAGCGCGAAAAGAGACACATCTTTGCATCTGTCATTTTTTTCACAGTTTTTTCTGTTCACTCGGGTATAATTAATAGCCTTCTTGTCAATAAAACTTCAGTTGGAAGTCAGCGCTTGTCCCGTTTTTTTTTCTGGTCTGCCGTGTGTTTTTTCGTGCTGTTAAGACTTGTCTTCTTCAAAGATGCAACTGCCTTTCGTATGAAACATGTACACACACGCACACACACACACACACACACTCACGCACGCTACTGATAACAGTTGCACCCAGAAAGAAAACAAATCCGCTTGTAGTAACGCCGCCTGCAGCAACACACCGTGTTCACAAATTTTTTATCTCTTTACTGTTGCGTGTATTATAACCAAGCCCTGTATATGGCACGCACTCACTAAAGAGGCCCTGAACCAACCCTCAGGCATTGTGAGAAAATATATTCCATAGGGAAAAGACTGAAATGTAAAGAGCTCAGCCAAGTTTTTCAGTTGTGCACAGCGCATTAAACTCGCAAAAATTGCAGCACAAAGTTTAAACCCACTTCCTTCACACATACTCTTAAAGGGACACTAAAGGCAACTATTAGGTCTTTGTTGATTGTTGAAATAGCGGTCCGAAAACTTCGTAGTGTTACTATTGTGACAAAGAAGGGCTTATTTTAAAATAAAATCACGTTTCAGTGGTCCGCATCAGGTTAGCGCACTTGAAGTTACCTGCCTCAAGAAGCGGACCACCTCAAATCACTGTTGCCGTGCATAACATTGCCCTGCTTTACTGCGCCGCTGCCGACACTAGTAGCAGTAGAATGAAAGCAGCGAGAGCCACAGCAGCAACAACGTCCATTGATCAATTTCCTGCCATTGGCTCCGACATGGTAAACGTGTTAGTACACCTTTCAATTCATTAGTTGAAAGGTGTACATCAGCGAACATGCACGCTTACTTTTCCTCCACAATCTCAGTGTGCCATCTCAGTCTCGTGCAGTCATGCATCACACCATCACAGCTAACATATCAGTGATGCAATTTGCATCAGTAATTCAAACTACCAAAGCATCAGTAATTCAAACTACCAAAGCACTGCAATTAATATGCATTGAAGAAGGAATGACATCATAGTGCATGGTAGTTTAAGGAACTTCTACAGTGGCATTTCGATTAGTGTTCCTTAGCTGGTAGTGCCCATATCACATACAAGTTTAAACATGACTATTACTGCATGCTATCATTTAGTTAATAGTTGTGCCGCATTCCAAGCAGGCACATATTAACGAGGTTTCACCGTGCCACTTAAGCCCAGTTTTATCCACAATTCTGCAAGGTCATAGTATTCCCCGAGATACAGTGTTCACCTATGTGGCACGGCGCGAAAAAGCTAGGACACAAAAAGAAACAGACGGGGCCAAGCACTGGTGGTCATTCGGGATAGCCATTTTGCCTCTTTTCCATCAATAAAACCTTAAGGCCCAACTGCATGCACACAATTTTCAAGCGACAGCTACAAGCAACAGCAACAAACTAGCTTCGTCGTGCTGTCGCGTCCCTGCAGCAGCCACCACAAGTCGGCGAGAAAGGGTCATTGTTGCTACATTGCAAACTATCCCGTGCATGTCTATGAATTGCGACAATAAGTTTAAGAGTAGGTCAATGACAAGATGCGAAATTTATTACTTACTTGTGTGGCATAAGGAAGCCATAAAAGTGTTTCACAAGCTTATTTTTTTGCGATCATTAGTTAAACTGCGACAGGGTGCCCAGAAGCGTACACTACGACAGCTACAACGCACTTTGCATGACAATTCGATATTGCAGCAAACTATTGCAATCGCAGCAAGCTACCACTGAAACATCAAACCAAACTGTTGATAACAAGACTTAGTACAAAATATGGCCGCTCACTCTCACAAGAGGTGCAACTATAACGGAGGTAGTCTGTATCTTGCATTTCTTGAAGTACACATTGATAACAAGCACCAAGAGAGAATTGCTACCGGAGCGGATATCAGAGGTGCCACTATGTTGCCGGACATTGTCACGCTCACTTCTGAGTGACAGGCGATCTAATTTAGTTTCCCAGAAATGTGCAACCCGACAAGCAACTGCTACAGATAAGCCTGCGCGATATCAAATTCTGTCGGTCCTCGCTCGAAAATCGTGTGCATGTGTTGGGCTTTACCAATAAGCTTGAACTCATAACCTTTTAAAATACATTGTTCTCTTATTATACATCAGTAATTGCAAAATGTACCATAGTAACGATTCTGAAGTGCTACTTTCTAAAAGCAAAAATGTAAAAAAAGCTCTATGCTGATTGTACTTTAGTAATAAGCCAAAAGTAACACAAGTGTAACACACGCTACAACTGCTACAACATGCTATTCATTAGAGTATGTCCTAAACACCATGAAATTCCAAGGAAAGAATGTGTGCTCACCATGTCATCAATAAAGACACGCTTTGGCGGTCCCTTGAACATGATCTGTCTTGTCTCACTGCCATCCATGAGCACCACAGCGACATCATCCACAAACTGAACTTTGCGCATCTTAGTGTCAACCCTAATAGTCCCAAAACCTGGAGCAGGCTCGGAAAGAGGGGGCATCGCTGAAATTAGATAAGAAACAAGCTTTTCTTGAACTCACAAACAACAAGTTATCAGCTTCATAAAGTACACCATTCAATAATTTGACTTCGGGTGCAACGCGCTCAAATGATAATCCTGCTACAAAAGAAAATAAACGGGTGAAGACGCGGTGAAATGACTGAATTTGTCAGTCTGACAGGGGTATTGTTGTTGCAAACTTCAGTAATAAACTGCACAAAGGTGATTTTGTCCCTAATGTCACTAGAGCAATCTTTGCCACTTTCTGCAAAACATCCCAATTTTCTAAATGTTAAAATCTCTGGCCATTTTACCTTTCTACTGAATGCAAGACCTCTAGACCTTTTAGGCTTGTGTGCTAGATGCTTAATAAAAAAAAACGACTCTTGCATTTCACAAGTTTAGCGGTGGTCCAGCCAGATTAAAATATGGAGCAGTTTCACTGTGAACATTCACAGAAAAAGTTTGTAGATATCCCCTAGTGCAATAGAACTAGCTCAACACAGCTGTGAATTGCATACTGAATGAACCAAGAGGCTTCAGAACTATGTTGTCGATGCTTGTGATATTCACCAAAACAATTAGTCATACCTTTGTTCACACCTCCGAATGAAAGTTGGTTCCAGGGTGGGAACCCTGGTCCTGGAGGTCCTCCTTGCCAATTAAGAGGCTGCACAAAACATGGAGCTCACGTCAATCTTCAATCAATCAAACAATCAATCAACAGAGCAAGGTCATGATTGCTTCAGAGGTCTCGAGCAACATCAAATGAGCAATCAAATTCCACAGCAATGGTGCAGATAAAATTTGCAAGTGCCACAACAATAACTGAGCACAACTGCTATAACTAATGAAGAATCGATGAACACAGTGAACAGTTCTTGCTACCTACAAAAATCTCTGCATAATAACAGGCCGGCCTGCAACTGATATCTAAGTCACAGAGGAAGAAGCATCTGAGAATGTTGCAACACTTCCAGGTTGCAACATGCACGAACAGATAAGTGAGGATAAAATGTCTGTGGCGATGGCACAGGGGTTACGGTGCTCAGCCACTGACATAAAGGTCCTGGGTTCTATCCTGCCAATGGCAGTTCCACTTCGATGCCGGGGAAATGCTAGAGGCCTGTGTGCTGGGCGATTTTGGTCCATGTAAAAAAACACAGGACGATTCAAAATTATGGGGCCCTCCACTATGGCATCCCTAATTGTTATATGATTATATCAAGGTTTTAGGACCTAAAACTTGAGATATTACTATTATTATTGAGGACAAAAGGTAGGTTTTGCCACAACGTAAGCACTGACTAGGTAATGGTTAACAAAATTGCAAGTTGTCCATGTTTCTTATTACTCTCAGTGGGAGTCACGCCTATCGATTCATCCAGTTCACCAGCTGCCATTCGAGCTATGTCTGGATGCCAACAGCAGCACTATTTCTTTGTTGTGTCAAGTACAACAATGAAACAAAAAGAAGATTATGATGTGGCAGCCAATGTGACTTCAAAAAGACTAAAGATGCTACATTCTCTTCCTACAAACACATTCCGAAGACAACCAAACAAATAGAGCAGACAAGTAGGCCAGGGTGAATAGAGAGAGTGTGAGTAGTTATCTTCAACTGTGGTGTACTAATTGGGATGTAAATCGAAAGAAATTTATGCAGACGGACAAATCTTTCTTTTCATTGATGGGAGGGGGTGACTTTCTGTCCACTTCAATTAATTTCCATTTAAGTGCCAATTAGTACAATATTAACATCCTGTTCTGACAACAATTAACGACCTTTATGCTTTTCCTGGCCCAACTGTCTGCGTCTGACGTATAAACGAGCCTCTTAAAAAAATTCCCCTACTCCCGTGGAGCGAGTGGTCCGTTGTGTGCAGATGCACCCGTGGAGTAAAGAACAGCACTGACCACGATGGGCGACTGTGGCTGCGACTTGCGAAACTGGGAGATTTTCTCCAGCTCGGCTTTCAGCTCCCTATGCAAGTCGGGGTTGAGGCGTCCTGCCCGCATCTGCTCATCCGTTTGCTGCAGGAACATGTCAGGATCGGCCAGCATCTCGTACATCTGCTGCTGTTGCTGAAGGCTCATGTCACTGTTACCCGACTGGCCCACGTGACTTCGAAACCTGAAACAACCAGTGCTGACACTCTTAGCACTGCATGTACCTGGCTACTTCAGACCCCCATAGATGATGCCGCCAAGACTCGAGGTCTGGCCGTCGCCTGAGAAAGGAGGGCTCTGGTAGGGCTACTCTCCCAGTCCCCACATTCCTTGACCCCAGCAAGGACAAAAATAATGTTCAATCTCTCTCTTCACACCTCAAATCACTCACAGACTATACGGCATATCCTACAGCTAAGTTCAAGCGACCACAGATGAGACAGCGAGGTTAAAATTGAGGTTTTCCCAGGATTATCATACACATAAATGCAAAAATTGCAAATTTGGCCACTAGCTTTACATTGCATCAAGGATCAAAACATTATATTTGCACATGGCATCTTGTTACAGTGTGTGAGCATTACCAATGTATACATTTATGCCACGGTCAAAATAATTGATCACCGTAAAATCCTGAGCAAGTGCCCCTCACTTCTTCGGCAGATTTGAAATGTGTGCCTCTTTTTCCCTCCTACCATTTGCATTGCTTTATTGCTTAATTCTCTGTTTTTATTTGTCCAACGAGGGCAAATAAAAACACTGAATACATGCATATTTATTAACAGATTGTAACAGCAGCACAGGTGTGCATACTTTAGTTTTAGCAGAAAATCTGCCCATCTTGAATTTTGATCTATGACTATCAAGGGCCCCCCTCCAAATGTCGGATTATCCTTCACCTCGAGAGAATGAATGGGGGGGGGGCTCAGGATTTCACATTAGTCAAAAGTACACTTACATTCGCATCTTGGCTCGCACTTAAAATTTGTTACTATTATGCATTGCCACCAAGGCCCAATGTCAAAGCTTCATAAATTTATTTAATTTACTCTCAAGTATGGATAACATCCAAGAGGTTCAGACTTACATGTAGGAGTCCTCATATATTAACATACTTCCTTAAACTGGGGTCAATTACCAAAAAATAATGATGCCTATCAGAAACAGTGTTAATTACATCAGGGCAGTAGAAGACTAGAGGTAAGTCCAAAACTATGCTTTTATATCTTATTATCTAAATGATAGCAGAACATGTGGCTTTAACACAGATAGGTCCAAACAAACCCATTGTCAAGAATGTTTTGTAAATTTAACATACAAATGCTGTTATCAGTGCTTTCCTTAAAAAACAGGGTGCTCTTACCTCCTAGAAACTATTAAAAAACACTGATGCTGTGCACAGGGCCTTTTGATAAAACTAAAACTAAACTGACAGTACCAAATTAGCACAGAACCTGGCACATTCATAGCTGTGTTTTAATTCAGTGCCTTTATCATTTTTTAAATAAAGAGGCGAGAAATATGCACAATAGCCTTTTGAAAGAAGCAGATTTTCGTAGCAAATGATTCTTGGCTCTTACCTTGGGTCAGTCATGAGTTTCCGGAGCACAGGTCTGCCAAAACGGTCAACAGATGGTTGCATGGGTCCCGGGTAGCCACCTCTCCCCATGGAATCTACAACAATACATAAGGCAACAGCACCAGTCAGGGCTGAACAAGTAAAAGCACTGACATCGACGTTCTAAAGCGTTCCCTCTGCTCAGCACAATACTCCAGAAAACAAAGATGGAGAAGGTACGAAATGAAGTGACAAGCCATGAAAGTGAGCACGTGTCTCTGAAGCGGCTTTCGCTCATAGTTGGCAAAGCTAAAGACGGTCCTCGTGATGGAACAAATTTTAAAGTTCTTCAAGAAGCCAATATCAAAGGTGAAAGTAAAAAATAAGAGACAGCAATTATTTGAAAAATCCAGAAGCAAACACAAGATGAAGTTCAGCAACAATGACTCTTCAGGCATGCTATGAAATGGATTAAACAGATATTTGTAGAAGAATTTACAAGCAGGTGTAAGCGAAACCTTTGGTTACATCTGATCTACTACTAGTAAATACGATAGACTCTCAGTAAACGCAACCTGAAGGGACCAGAAAAATATGTTCCATTTAACAGGAATTTCGTCAACTGAGAGATGAACAAGGGTGTAGAATACAAGCCGAGAACCAAACATAGCAGAGGCATTTGTTTTGTTTAAGCGGTAGGTCCGCTTAACAGATTTCTGTTTATTGAGAGTCTACTGTACTGAATCAAGAGTTCTGCCCATTCTGCAGTAAAAGGTTCAACTTACATTTTAAGCATGTGGCTTCAAATAAAACTAAACCAGAAACAAAAGAGAACAGTACGACAAGGATTTAGTGCAACAGGCAAGGTATGCTCCAACATTTTGAACCTCCATGCTAAAACGATGTTGCACTTGCATCAAAGAACCGTTACAAAAACTTGGAAAATGCTCGAGCTTCACCTTGAAAAGTAGCATGCACCAGCGTAATCAGGCCCTGTATCAATCATCCTTATCTGCGCAACAGGGAGAGGAACGTATTTGTGCCTAAAACTGGCCATTTGAAACCATCCTAGAACGCCTACAGGGCGTACAGTTGCTAAGAGCCCACTCACCATTATGGATCCGTAAGGTGCCACACACATCTGCAAAGCTACACACTTTGTATCGAATGGGCAGCTTTAATCTACCCACACATCGCATAATGCACTTGTTTTGATGCTTGGTGCGATTCTACAATCCTGCCACACAATATTAAATGCGTATGACATTTTTATAGCGCTTTTTCACAAAGTATTTTTAAGCAATGATGAGGCCTTGTGATAGAGCATCTATCTCTTTGCCATGCAGAAAGCCTGGGTACAATTCTCACAGGAACTGAAAATTATTATTATTCACTTTATTTGCCCATTTTTCTATTTTTCACTCGCGACACGGGTGCAAACACCAGAATTTCTGCGAAACAAGTTTTTTAACACTATCGCACTGTTATGACTACCTTAATTTTATTAAGGTTTCCATCCTCGAGTTTCACAAACCATATAGCACACACCTGAAGCCTTACAGTTCTGCTTCAGTCAGCGCACATAGGTGAACATATAAACAATCTTGTTCCACAGAAAAATCATCACCATGATTGTTTTATTCTTTATTCAAAGGTTACCCCACATTGCCCAAAGGCGTTACAGCAGGGGGGTTACAAAAACGACATAAAAAATTCTTCATTCTAACAGCACACTTGCATGGCAGACAATTCATTCCACTCTTTAACAGACAATGAAAATGTTCATTGTCATGCAATGTTCTTGCATGACAATGAAAAAAAAAAAACAAATGTCGTCAAAAGCTCTTTCTTAATAAAAATGCAGAATCGACATTGAAGATATCAAAACAACCCTTTTTGGCAGTGTTTCTCAGCCATGTTCATTCAAGGGAACCCTGCCAAGCTCCCAAGTACCAAGGAATCCACCCTCCCCCAGTTGCTTTCGTGCAAGCATTTTTTTATTAGGTCCATTCTACAGTCAAGCGCAATGATTTCAAAAGCAAAGATGCAGTATAAAAATTTATACCTTGACGTGCAACTGATATGACTTTCCTTGCACCCACAAATTGATGCGAGGCTCAGTCACACTGAGAGCGAGCCGCATGTCGGCAACTGAATTCAGCCGTTGAATTCAGCCGTGCCCAAGTGCTTATATTTTGATAGGCTAGTGTAGAAAATGCCTGCTCATAAGGATAACTACGTTGCTGTAAACGGCAGCAGCATGCCCACTGCCTCATCTCTGGCACCCATTTTTCAAACTGAAGAAATGCGCATGGGGATAATATAAGGCCTCCTAGACTCGTGTATTTGCTTAACCACGCAACCTGTATTCTGGTGTGTGACTGGCCGCGAGCTGCTGATAGGATTTACTGCGCAACTCGCGCGCTTCTGTTCAACAGTGAGATGTGCTTATTGACAATCGGATGGGAGTAATGAAGGTTTCTTAGATTGATCACATCCTGGGTTCGCCATCCAAGTGATTTTGCGAGTGTGGGACCAGAAAAAACTTATCAGTTGCTCATGGAACCTCGAGCAGGGGCCTGTGGATTCTACTTTGAAATGCTCTAGGGTGTCAAAAGAACACGCGACCTATTTGACAGTTTGCCCCACCGCGGCGGTCTAGTGGCTGAAGTACTCGGCTGCTGACCCGCAGGTTGCGGGATCGAATCCCGGCTGCATTTCCGATAGAGCCGGAAATGTTGCAGGCCCGTGTACTCAGATTTGGGTGTATGTCAAAGAACCCCAGGTGGTCTTAATTTCCGGAGCCCTCCACTACGGTGTCTCGCATAATCATATGGTGGTTTTGGGATGTTAAACCCCACATAGCAATCAATATTTTACAGTTTGTGCATGTAGGGCACCGTAGAGGCCCTACTTTTCACTTGTCCTTTTATGACACCATGTTTTAACATTAGCAGAATTCTTACAAATCTGCTTTTCTGCACATGAGCCAGAAATAAAACTTAAAACTGCATGAACTACTATGTGAGAAGCACAGCAATGCGCTGGGAGTGCAACCAACGACATCTTGACTCTCACCATGTAAAACCTGTGTCAAAGCTTTCTGACTAGGCAAAAAACTGGAGACTCACCCTGCATTTGCCGGAGGTCCTCGTCTCTGACGTCCATATTTTCTCGAGCTGGCCGTAGTGGGCTTTTGAATTCATCTGGGTGCTTGGCTTTGTACTGCGCCCAGCCACGCTGGGAGGCATTTGAAATGCCTCCTGGACGATCAGGTGGCTTGCGATAGTCAAAGTCGGCGAGGCTATCACTGCAATACAGTCGAGCAAGTCGTTACATATATTATGGATGCAGCAACAGAAGGCTACCTGTATACAAAATTCATCAGAATCCAAAGCTTCTGACTTGCTAAGTGCCAAACGTCAGTTCCACACTAACAGGCTGGAAAATCACACCTCAAATGCCTCCAATTACAGCCTCGAAAAAGTCATCAAAAGGGCCGTTGAAGCAATTAAAAAAAAATGCTCATCAATTAACTTGAAGCACTTTTTGTGCAAGGCAAAAACAAATCTTCGAACTAAATAATTTCAGATAGCCATGAGAAAATGTTCAGGATTTCATTTCCCAATTAACTACAAACACAGTCACACACATTATATTATTAAGGTGCAACTATTCTTGGTTAATGATTCCCAATGCTACTTATTCAGAAACCTGCCCGTGTTTGTATTGCACTGTTTTTACAGAATTGTTTTATTTCAAGCAAGCAACAACAATGGCATCATTTTTTTTATTCCAATTTGTAATCAACTTAAGTACCAAGAACCTGAAATTAACTATAAATAAACAGGCATTGCCCCTCCAACACTGTAAAAGCTAGAAATTAAAATTCTACCAAAAATTACTTGTCACCTACATAAGTATATTAGCTTCCAGCAGAACAAGAATGCTACAGAGTTCTCATGACCAGTTTTGAAGCACTTATTTAGTTCTCTGTTGTCTGTTATGCCCAAGAATTAAATCAGTTCACAGTTCTTATGACCAATTTGAATCACTTATTTAGTTAACTTTTGTTATGTCAGTCTTTTAGTAAAAGTTTTTATATCACATAGAAGAGACTTCAGATAAAAAATTTTCAGTGCTTTAGCCTTACTCCGCACAATACCGCCAGACACGACCAATAAAGTTTTTACTCACTCACTCTAATAAAACCAGATGGTCAAAAAAAAAATTTAAGGATCAAACGAAACAGTTTTAATCGAATGTACACGAGTCACACTTCATTTGCCATGTACTAGTCAAAACAACATTAAATTTCACTTTATTAATCAGTACACAATTGTAGAAAGGCTCCTGTATGGGAGCAAAAAATATCGGAAAATTCCATCATATTCGTTTGCGCTTCGCTTCACATTCTCGCAGAGTATATTTCCAGGCAGATTAGTTTTCATCAAATTTTAGATTTTCACAAGGAAATAAACCATGACACATGCAATATGATGCAAAAGTGTCAGTTTAGAGCACAACTTTGAAAACATGCTGCATCTTCTTGTAAGGCCTGCATGAATATTTTATTACAGGTGCGTCCCAAGCTCACGTTTTGTACAATGGGCTATCGTGTATATCACATTTTAAATTTTATTTACCACTGGCTGATGTCACCAATCTGTCGGATGACACAGATGAAGATTCTTATACACAAGCACTTATGCATTTGGCCTCCATTGAAATATAACCACTGCAGTGAAGTACCCATTTCACACCCTCCCTCCACTAGCCATTAAGTTACTGTGGCGGGTCAACTAATTTATTACCACGCTTACAGAATGTGCATCACCGGTGACCGAAACGTGCCAAGAATTTAAAGATAGGGGTGTCACTATCGACCAGTTGTGTAATCCAGAGCATTCTGTAACCACTAACCCTCCCTTTCCTGCGTAGTTAGTCTTTTTTCTGAGCCACGATAATTTTCATTAGCGACTCAAAGCATTGGTTTGCTCGCGAAGATGGCTCATGACCCCGTAGTGAGACCCTCAAGAAAATGCTGTTCATTGGACGATTCTGTTGCCTCCACAGGGAATTTTTCAGCTGTTTTTATAATAAAAGACTCTGAATACGACGTAAAATCATGGAAATATATTTCGAATAACAAGAAAACCGAAGAATGATCCCAGAACGTGGACAGACGTTGAACAGTAGGCCCCGTTAACTGGCATATCGATTTCCTATTTTGACTAAAATGCAGTGAAGATATCCATTCTTTTACATATTTTGTTGTAGAGTCTCATTAGTATATGCTGAAGGTTTGGTGACATCACCTTCATCCAGTCGAGAGTGACCTTAAGCCCAAGAAGGGCACCCAGCCGTGACCCCAGAGTAGAGTTGCGCAGAGTAGTGTTATCTCCCTAATAAAATCGGGATTTTGGGCATTGTTTTCACGGCATAAGTAGTAAACAGGATTTTTGCAAACAAAAACGGGTTGCCATTCCTGTAGAATTAGTCTTATGGCAACGATTATGGTTCTCGGGAAATGGCCAAGGCTACAGAGCTAGTGAATTTCATTTGCCTGCAGATCTAGTTGGGCATCGTTGAGCTTGCACAGCTACACGTCCCCCAAAACATACACATTCAGAACAGTTCTACCAAGTGGTGAGGCGGAGAAGATACAATAACAGCTATGAGAAGAAGAAAACCGACAACTGGACAAATGCCACTAGTAAAGCCTGTATTACCCAGAGGACACCAACTTGAGAAGTTCTTTCTTACATCGTGAAGGGGCACGGACACAAAATTTTGAAGGCGAACAATGAGATAGATTTATCTTGAGATATACACGGCATCTGTGAAATATCAAGGGCAAATATAGCCTAGGACATATTTAAAACCAATTTTATTGTGCATGACGTGCAACTGAGATGTGGAGCCCCTCGCGATGCCAGCATCAACGCGACAGGAGTGTAAACAAACCTACATCACGAGTTTGTGTTGGCTGGTTGTTGGCACGCCCCTTGCGCTTGTGCTGCCAATGATTTCTGCCGCTGTGCTTGCAGCTTTGTGTGAGGACTGTCGGTGCAGCCCCTGCCCAGACATGCTTCTACGCACGCCTTCACATCACGGTTTTGTGTGGTCACGTGGCCAGCTGTGTTTACCTTGCTACCAAAACTGCTCCTGCCAAGTCTGGTGTCGTTTGAAAATCGAAACTGCGACTGCACGCTTTAAGAACGTCTCTAAATAAATAACCATTGCGCACTTGTGCAAATGAAGTTTCCAGCTGTGATGATTGGGCCATAAGCTACCTATACCCACACAAAAAGAACCAAGGCGCAAAACGTTTGTGTCAGAGCTCCTTTAAAGCTTTCACACTTGGCTCGACCTTTTTCGACAGAGTCGTACATCAATATGTGAAGGTTTTCTTGTAGCTTATAGGTTTATAATACCTTTATTGAGCATAGCAAAGCCACAGTTTACAATGTCTTGGTGCAATATTCAATGTTACCTTTTTGCATTGGAATTTTTTTTCTTACAAGAACGTGTTGTTCGGCTAGTTGGTTCATGCTGAAGAAAGGTTAAGGACGGAGCCAACATAAACCAAAGAAGCAGGGAACAGGGTATCCTGTCCCCTCTTTCTTCGTCTATGTGGGTTGCCTCCTTTACCATTCTTCATAATTTTTTTCAGTGCTGCTAGTAAGCATGATATGGTATAATACCTTTGGCCAGTGGTTCTCAAATGGGGGTCCACGGACCCTGTAGCCATTTCTATGATTCGCGAAACCTTAATTCACATTTTTCTTTAAAGAGTGACTGTGCCACGTAATGATGAACTGTTCAAAATTAAGTGATGAGTTTGTTTGATATTTTTGGTAGCAATAAAAGGCACCTGTTTCACGCACCAGTTGTGTTTTAATTTACCTACGTACCCCCTCACCCTCCCCTGTGCAGAAGGGGGTCCCCGGCACATCCATGACTGAGAACCACTGCCTATGGCCATATAGAAAATATACAGTAGACTCTCGGTAAATGGACACCTCTTAAATAGAACTGCTGTTTAAATTGAAGAAGTGCTTCTTGCAAGATTGGTTTCGTACTTGTAATCTGCAACCCAGCTCATCTCTCAGTAAGAAGAACCCCTGTTAAATGGAACATATTATCTTGGTCCCTTCAGGTTCCGTTTAACAAAAGTTAATAGTATTATTCTTCTACTTTGTTGTATTGTATTTCTGTGTTTAGAAAATTTGTGTAGGAAAAAAAATATATAACTTTGTAATGATGGAATAATGCAGTTTTCGCTTGCCAGACAGAAAAAAATTTAACTCAAGCTTTTCATGAGTTGGACCATTTAAAGGGACACTAAAGTCAAATAACAATTTACGTCAGAGTGAAAGCTCAATGTATGACATCTAAAACGGCAATATTATCAACAACGCCCTACTTACCGAGAAATTAAAGTAAATGCACAAGAACACATGCACCACAGTAGGACATTTTCAAAATGATCCCACTGACATTAAACGGACCACCTACAATTATTCACTATAGTAATCGATCTAACTGCACTAAATAAAGAACCTTCCATGCATCAAGAGACCCAATAAAATTCTGCTTGTTCGTTTCTGTTTGATTCACGGAAAAAAGAACCGCCGGACGTTTCTATGGAGAATTGCGCGAGTGGTTAAATTCAATTGTGTGGTTATGCGGAATAGGTGGTGCCATCTAGCGGGGCGCAGTTAAAACAAACGTCTGCAATCTCGAAGCCAATGGCGGGAAATTGATCAATGGCCGTTGTTGCTGCTGTGGCTCCCACTGCTTTCAGTCTGCTGCTACTAGCGCAGTAAAGCCGGGCAACGTTGTGCACGGCAACACTGACGTGAATCAGTCTGGTCGGTCCGCTTCTTGAGACGGGTAATTAGAAGTGTGCTAACCCGATGTGAACCACTAAAACGTGATTCTATTTCAAAATAGGCCCCTTTTTGCTTGGCACATAAGTAACACTACGAGGTTTCAGGACCGCTATTTCAACAATCAACGTCGACTTAATAGTTGCCTTTGGTGTCCCTTTAATTTTTTCTTCTAACATATGTAACGGTTGAGCAAACGTTCAAACATTCTTGATATTTTATTGTTTTGTTTTTCTTTCTTTCGTGTTGGGAGCACAACATTAAAAATTGTTTTATGCAATATTCATTAAAGCTTATTCATAAATAATTTTGCATATAATTCTCTATACAAGTTTTCCAAAATAAAACCATTGAGAAGTCTAATCACTTAGCTTTATATTGATACTGGGCGGTATGAATGAAGATGTTCATAACAAAAAATAATTACCAAAGCTTCCATAATGTGGCAGACTTTTACACAGTGACGAAAAAGTTAAAAACAATATATGCAACAGACATCAACAGTTGTTAAACTTTTCAAATAGCTGGCATGACAAAAAAGCCTACATAAAAGGTAAAAAAAAAAGTTTACATGAGTACTGCTACAACGTTTATAATAAGATAACCGTAAGTGTAACACAATGAGAATTGCTTTCCACACTCACTCAGCATGACCTCGTTGTCTCTTGTGCTGCGGAGCCTCCTGAGTTGTATCCACAGCGTCTCGTTTCTTCTCCACCTGAACGCGCATGTCCACATCACCTGAAGGCAGCACATCGATCATTTCAACGTCACCATTAGGCCTCACATTCTCTTCACTTTTGCCCTTGCTGTTCTTCCCGCGACCTTTCTTTCCACCCCTGCCCTGAGATGAAGAACCCGACGAAGACGAGGATGACGATGATTTGCCCCCACTGCCAGCCCTGCCATGCTGCTGTCTTTCGTCCCTGTCCTCGGCATTCTTGCGTGACTTGCTTGGCGACGTCTTTGTAGGTGAAGACGGCTCAGCCTCGCCATTTTTTCCACCGTCCTCGTCGTCTTTCTTGCGGTCACTCGTCTTAGGAATGCGGAACTTTCTGGGTGGAGACTTGATAGCGGCATGCTTCTCCCGGGCAGATACCTTGTTGTTTTCACGTTTGTCGGGAGGTGCCTTCTCTGAAACGGTCGATGGAGCAGAGGATGCAGTGTTTTGAGCGGTACCATGAGCTGGAGCTACGATGACAGACCCAAGCTGCAATGATGGTGCAGATGAAACCGGAGGAGGTTTGTTACTGTTGGCTGACGGCACTGAGCGCTGCTGTAACCTGGGGTCACGTGCTGCACCAGGCGCCGATGGTCGTGGCAACTGCAAATATGAAACATTTGTTAACTTCTTCCATAACACCTTGCGACAAGGTGACCTGCTGCCCCACAAAATGTTCAAAGCAGCTTGATCAACAATCTATACAAGCAGCATTTTTTTTTTTTACCTGAGGACGAACAGCCACACCGACAGAAACAGGAGTAGAAGTAGACGCATGGGTTGCCGCCACGCTGGAAGGGGGCTTGAGGCTTTTCAGGAGTTGCTATTAGAAAAGCATCAAAACGTAAAGAAAGGGAAGAAAGGGGCACATTTAAGCTTTAACTCTCAGGCCTGTAATTGGAGCGTTACAAGCAATGCTGTAGCTATCAACAGCAGCGATAAGAAGCACACAGAAAAAGAACACTCTCTTCTTGCCAAAGACTCACTTCGAAGCCAGTCTGAAGAGCCAGTCTTATCTGAAAATCAGGGATATTGCAGCATTGAAATGAGCTGCACGAACAAAACAAACTACCCTAATGACGTAGTTATCAAGGCGTAATTACTGATAGTCAGTGAGAGGGTCGAGAATGCAGAGTGGGCACCTCTCACAGGGACGACATACATTTTGGAAACATTATTTGTGAGAAATTACACAACAAAACCACAGCCCAATTATAAGACTGCTGCTATGAGAAACTTTGCATAAACATAGAAATTTTGACCATACCCCTCAATGAAGACAATGTTATTGTTGTGCATTATTTCAATTGACATGGCAAGATGCATTCATAACTAGGTGACTTCATCTGGTTCTTGCACTCTTATCTCATTGCTATCGATGCATCACGTTCCCCTCAATAAAGCCAGGCAACCCTTAAAAAGTGGAAGACGAAAGGTCATTCTTTGTCGCAAACAGCCCTGATGTCAATGCACAGATAATTTTTGCGTTCCTGTGCTGCATAGCTGCTGTAAACACTTGGCAGCTTAAATGATCAAAAATTATCTCTATGATCATTGAATTTGACATCAGGATTATCCCACACCTATTTTCTGTGTCTTGAATTTCAGACATTTTTGTGCTGTACAACTTTGTCGTTGCTAGCACGCTTACTCATCAATGTTACGGACAACAAGCTTCTTCAATAGTTCACAGCAAAGGACAAATGGAAACAAGCAACGCCACAAGCCATTCCATGATGACAAACCGACAAGCCCACGACGGTATTTTAATTGTTAGAAGACTTGGGTACCAGAGCAATATGTAAGTAAATTATTTCCTGGAGACACAAAAGAGAAAGAGAGGCCGCAATTCATTTGAGCACAGCCTCTCCTACATTCTCGACCCATCACCGAGTGCCGTTAGCGTTATGTGCAGGTGGCTAATGAGAAAAAACTGTGCAGCACTCAAAAAGAGGGGGGGGGGGAAGGCATGATGGCAGGTTGAAGTAGAGAGAAAGTTAAAAAGCTAAGTACCTCGGCTTCTTGCTTCTGCCGGAGTTGCTGCTGCTGCATTTGCAACTCAAGTTGAAGCTTTTGCCTTTGTAGGAAGATGAACTCCTGTTGTTTTTGCAGAAGCAACCTCTGAACTTGTTCCCCTTCTGTTGAAGGCACACCAGCATTTAAGATCTGAAAAAGGAAGCACCAGAGTGTGTTACACAGGTAACCACGGCCACCTACATGTTCATTTGATTTGTTCAGTAAGAGTTCCTGAGACAACCGCACCAATACGAATCAAATTCCAACTTCAGTATGCATCAGACGACTAAACTGCACCCATAAAAAAAGCAGACTGCAGGCTTTTGGCTCAGAAACAAGTACTACCTCCGCAAAACTCAAAATGTAAAAGGAGCCTTTCTGCACACCTCACGTTAGTAGCATATTCCACATCACTAATTCATGCAGCCACATCATACTCAACACACCTCTCCACTCATTCTCAAATAAAACACGGTTAACCATGGTCTAGCCATACTCATGCTTAACAGACTACTTTAATTTAACCACAATTAGATTTTTTTTAACTTCTGCATGCTACTTAATGCAGAACCCAGAATACCAATGCTGTACGTGCAAATTGCGCAGAATTAGTGAGGTGGAGTGTAATCGATGTGTAGTAAAGCCGCAGACAGTAGCAATACAAGTGAGTAAAATACGAAGGGGTAGAATGTGACACACTCAAGAGGGCCCAAGCAGTACCTTTTCAGTTGTTGCTTTGTTAAGTGCATTTAAACTAGCAAGCTTAGCTGCTTGCTGTTCCATTGTCTCCTGCTCTTGTCCTTTCTACAGAAAAGAAAAAAAAAACACATAGTTCATGTGTCCGAACAAAAAATAAGATTGGGCAAGGGATGCATGATGTATTGATGATATGTGATAGTGTGCCAGGCTCCACATCATTACTCTACTATACAATACAGCCAGACTTGCCGGGACAGCCAACAGCTATAAGGTGCAGTAAGTTTGGAATGACTTGAAAGCAATTGCATAACTACATAGGCGACTTTCATTTTCAGAGCATTTCTGAACAATTCACTTCAAAGAAGGCTTCCGGTTGGTGTCACCCCAAAAACACTGTAACCATAATAATTTATGTATCATGAAGTGAAACAATAAAGATGTTCAGGCAATGGAGCAAAGGTCATGAATAACCAGAACACTCAATGGGCTACTCAGTTTTCTACAAAGGTAGATTTTTTGTTATTCCCTCAGACAACTCATACCAGATTCATATTCCACTTTATTGCACCCCCCAATTTAGCAGCATTTATCATCCAAAAACGGCCCCTAAACTTCATTTAGGACTTGAGGACTCTCAAGTTGAAAAAGTGTTGCCCATTACAATGCCGACAATGAAAAGTTTCGAAAACACACACAAGCAACAGTTACAAATGTGTGCCCGTCACTCTTCACTGAGTCTTAAAAAGACAATAAAGTCAACTAACAATTCACATCAGAGTGAAAACTAAATCTAAGACAACATCTAAAACGACAATATTGTCAACAACAGTGCCCTACTTACCAAGAAATTAAGGTAAATGCACAAGAACACAAGTGCCGTAGTAGGACATTTTCAAAATGATCCTAATGACATCAGACGGACCGCCTACAATTAATCACTAGTAATCGATCAACTGCACTAAATAAAGAACCGTCCGTGCATGAAAAGACGCAATAATATGCTCTTTGGTTGTTTCTGTTTGAATCGTGGAAAAAATAACCGCCGATCGTTACTACGGGAAATGACGTAAGTGGTTCAAAAATTCAATTTTCGAGTTGTTACACGGAACAAGTGGTGCCATCTAACAAGGTGCAGTTGAAACAAAAACCGTCTGCAATCTCAAAGCCAATGGCGGAAAATTGATCAATGGCCTCTGTTGCTGTGGCTCCCGCTGCTACTAGCGCAACGTTGTGCACAGCAACAGTGACATGAGTTGGTTCGGTCGGTCCGCTTCTTGAGGCAGGTAATTCGAAGTGAGCTAACCCGATGCGGACCGCCAAAACAATTTTATTTCAAAACAGGCCCTTCCTTGGCACGAAAGGAACACCATGAGGTTTCTGGACCGCTATTTCAACAATCAACCTCGACTTAATAGTTGCCTTTATTGTCCCTTCAACAAGTAGCAACTCAACTTTGCCATTGCATCATCAGACGCCATATTTTAGTCTCATGGTACATATTTATATTAATGAAAAGCCACAGTAAACACACGAATAGGGAAGAGGAACACAAAGTGAATACTGTGCCAAGTCCTACAGGAACACAACACAATCATGGTGTACATTTCCTCATGCCCCACACACAATAATCAAGTGCAAGGTTTAGAAATTGGCTCAACACTATCCGAAACAGACTTTCTTGCCATTTAGATTCAACATTTGCACTAAGCATGCATTACAGGAGCCAGCGAGTTTGCTATCATGCTTCACTTCTAGTTTTTGTGGCTCATACTAGAATATGAGCACACAGTGCATATAAATAGTAATGCCCACCTCAATCATCTGCTGCAAACTGCCTCACTGAATAGTGCCTCCTGCCAACCCAGTAACACACGTGTGCTGAACATATACTAGCACGATGCCGACATTTTCAGTTACAACTTGCAATTTGAGATAAAAACCAAGAACAGTAGCCTCACCGTTTTAGCTTCGAGAAACTTGGGGTTGACATGTATTGACGTTTGCTGGGGTTCCTTTGCTATGATAGGCCAGGCTGGGTCCATCTGTTTCACCCGTGTGTCGAGGGCGTACAACTTCTTGTTTGGGAAAATGTCCAGCCACGTTTGGCGCAACTTGAAGAGCTGCATGCGCATTCGCTCATCCCCCTACACACAGGGTCGCAAGTACGCATTACCGCACTGGCGAAAGCTAGCAGGCGGCATTCAAAGGAACTAAAAGGTGCAAAAGCTCCAATTTTCTGAAAAGCTACCACCACAGTTAACTACTTCAAAATTACTTTGACATTTGCTTGTACTTCAATGCCTCTAGTCTGCCGTTGAAGCACCTGCATATTTACTTTGCTGGCTGGAGAATCTTGCTGCAACCTTCGTGACAACAAATCAACTACAGGTTTAGCATGGCTTACTGCCAACATCCAAGCTAAGTAATTCAATTGTGGCAGGGGTCAAAGCCTAATTTCAAGGAAATGGACTGAAAAGAATCGTAGAAAGCAGTGCAAAGAAACGAGACTAGGACTCCATGCACATTGCAATGTGTACGTGTGATCCTCGTCACCTCAGTTTTTTTGCACAGCTTTCTACGCAATGTAGTACCAACTCGCCCATCAATTCAGTTTTCTGAACCAAAAAAAATTAAATGGCAAATACGCAACAGCCTTGAAACAAAATCTGCTTTTACAGAGCCTCTTGCGTTACACCGCCACATCCTGCAAGTTTCTTACAAGTGGTAAACAGTATTTTACATCTAATGTGCACTGCTTTATAAAGTAAGAAAATTATGTACCTTTTCGAAAACGTTGCAAAAGTTGGAAACGATGTTTTGTGTGAACAAGGCGCGATAGTCACCACCAACATTCTTCATAATGGAATCAATTAGGTATAGTACAGGCAGCTTCATTTCTATGGGAACCTAGAAGAGAAATTTGATGTTAGGAGAAACGAGGTGATCGAAAGAGAGTACTCACCACAAAAGTCTTCGCACAAGCACACACACTCTTTGAAATTCGTTTTTACCGATATCCGAGAGAAGAAACGGCCCACCGCTTCTCTCGCTGCGATTCTCCGCTTTTAGGCTGCCAGTGTGGCAGTAATAGCAAATGTCAACGCTATTTTTCGACGAGCAAAAACACACCATGCGCAGGACAAGTCACACTCTTCGGTCTTATTGTAGTTACAGATCGCACACGAAGTCATCGAGGCAATATTATTGTGGCCATCACCCAGATACTTAGACAATAAAATTAAAAAAAAATGGTATGAAAGAAACGCGCAGTGAACAAGAAGTCAGTGCATCTTGAACAGTTTATTGAACATTTAGCAAAACTTGCAGCGATCTTCCAAGTGAGATACGTGCGACGGCCAACTTGGCAGCACGTTTCGGCTCCCAGGTGCTCCACTTTCGTGCCCCATTGAACCGCACCGCGTGGTTTTAGCGGTTACGACGAAGACGGCTGGACTTCCTTGAATCCAGTGCCGAAATCGGGGAGGGCCGTCTTAGATCGAAGACAGATGGAAACGCCGCGCTGGAACGCAGCGGGTCGCCCACGATGACTGACTTCTCCGTCAACTGACGACGCCACGATCTGCAGTAAACTGCTTACCTCGACCAATCTCGGATCGCGAGATCGACGTGAAGACTTCACGGTGACGTAGTCACCGAGTAAGCGGTCAAACCGATCCTTGCCAAAGAGGACAAAAACGAGGCCACAAACGACTGGTCGCCATTCGTGAGAGGTACTACCCTGTGAGCACGTTAAACAAGCAGCCGAAGCTGGGCCTTTAAGCGACATCAATGCAATGCTGCTAACAAGACTACAAGTAATGACAACATGCACGAATAACGTCCTATCGCGCCTTCCACGCAGTGCAATGGGTAACAAGACGCAAGGCGATACCACTTCGACAGTAGCCGTGTTATTCGCTAATAAACATCTAAACAAAGAGAACCTTCTGCAAGTGCTCTTCGATGGTTCGCACTATCCTCGGGGCTTGCTGGACGTTCTCTTCGGCCAACATCGTGAGCATATTGATGAGCGGCTTGCTGTTGCATGTGAGATCCAGCAGCGACGACTTGTACTCTTCGCACACGTCTTCTTCCATATTTGGAATAGGTTAAAAGAAAAAAGGCCTAGCTACAACTTAAGCGACTGTACACGATGTAGACACGGGGGTCGTCGAAGCTGCGCAATCAATGCATGGTAGTATTGAAAAACGACTTCACCCCTCACTAATACAAAATGGCGAACGCGAACGTCCGCCGCACAACACCGATGGGAATGAAAATAAAACGATAACTCAACGGCCTGTTGTCGAACACAAAAAAGTGAGCTACGGCCAGTAGGGGCGCTGCATACAAGTAGACTTTTTTATAAAATATTAAATATTTTTATAATCAACATTCTTAGCATAAATACTTCTAATAAAAATTAAAAATAAAATTTTTATTTGTTATTTTGCGTACTGTTTTTTTGAAATATTTTGAGGTATTATTGAGAACACTTTATTGACAACGTTGTGCATATTCTCTCATTTGGAAATTATGAGATATACTGCGAATTACACGCCTTTACATGACAACACGTGGGGTCATTTCAAGGCGTAGATCTTGCTGCGCGTTTATATATTGTTCGAGGCGAGCAGCGGAGCCTTGAAAGGGTTCTTAATGTCCTCTCACAAGCGAGATCAGCTGATCGAATGCACCACCTTGCGGAATCACGGTGATACGTGCGCTTGGGTGCTGAACTGAAAGTCGCGTTGTGATATTGTGGTTTGCCGTTGAATCGGCTGGAGCAACACATCGCCCGCTTCATTCTGTGTTTACGTCGGTACCGAGTAGACCACGGGCCACCCGAAAAATTATGCGACGATTGGGCAATCGCGCGCGACTCCATGCGAGCAGCCAACGTCCATCATGTGAAACGAAATAGTACGTCGTCCGCTTTGCGCTGCTGCTTCCTCGTCAGAAGCACTATTCTCCAAGCGTTCTCAAGATGCGGGTACGCTAAGCGCGACCATATCTGGTACGTATAATTTCCCGGTGTTTCGGACTCGTGTGGTCATTCCACGATGTGAAGTGAAAAAAATATTTAGTTCCGCTTTTGGCGTCCTCGCAATGCTCGCTTTTTGTTTGCAGACGTCGGAAATCATGGAAGACTACAAGTTTCTATTTAAAGTCGTGCTAATCGGTAACGCCGGTGTTGGGAAGACATGCCTCGTCCGGAGATTCACGCAGGTAACCATATGGACCTGGTGTATACGCTTTGCGCAGTTCCGAAATTTCCGCTGGGCTGACGAGTTCCTGTTGGCTGCCTTTCAGGGTCTATTTCCTCCGGGTCAGGGGGCCACCATTGGCGTCGACTTTCTCATCAAAACCGTCGAAGTGGACGGCGAGAAAGTGAAAGTAAGAGGCCCTACTTGTTCGTTCTATTGTCGGGGTTCGAGCGAGCGATTAACCATACATGTTCACTTTTTCCAGTTTCACCTGGAGCTCTTCACTTGTGCAATGCAACCGCGTTGTGTAGCAGGGCAGTCTAGTCGGCTTTTATTCTAAACTAGCCGATATCGCTTAATCCGCTTGTAGGGAGCGATCAGCGCTCGGCTGTTCTGGTTATACATGTGTGTGTGTGTATATTTCGACAGGCGCAACAGGAAATGCGCAGTTGTAGAACGAAAAGCATCTGATGAATGCGATCGGAATCTACAGCTATTGAGCTGTTGCTCAGTAACGTCGCTAAGGTTTGTCGTTCAAGCACAAATTTATATTTTGCGTGTGCTTTAGATTGCAGCTTCTAATCTGACAATTTTGTGGCCTCATGTCTGCAATTCGTTATCAGCGTGCTGATTTCAGCAGTATTAGACCATTGTGTAGAGGACTATATTATTGCAGACAGCTCATTCACTGACTTCTCTTTAGGTTTTTTTTTATTTTTGTTTAGAATGTCTGTGTCGTTTGTCACAATGAGCAAGTTCATAAGCAGAGTTTAAAGGCGTCATCTCGGCCTTTGAGAAGCAGGTATGACAGTTAAAGCCGCAATCCTATCTTTCAGTATGTGAGTTTGGTCAACAGATAATCATTACTTCAATTTCACTGCTTTGGAATCGGCTATATGAAATATGCTAGTGCTGCTTTGCATAACTCACATATAGAGTCCCATGTTTGTTTAATCTATTGCACTGTAACAGAGTCACTGAAATGTTCAGAGTTGCCAGTAAAGTCGATGGGACAAATATTCATTGCTAGATGAGGTGGCACATACTGACAACAGCGTTGTGCTGCTAGCATAACGCTACTCAATGGCTTTAATGAGAAAGAGAAAGACCAACTATCTTGTGAGTCAGTATTGAGTGGGAGACAGCACACCAAAATGAGACAGAAAATGAAAAGAGGTACACTTACAAAGTGCTGACTGACAACTGTGTTTATTACCACTAGACAAGCAATAAATTGAAAAACATGGGACGTCACAGTGCCGTGTAGAGAATTTTAGGATTATGTTATCAAATCATTGGTAAGACTCATGTTTGCCCACTTTCATGTAATCCACAATGCATGCAGAGTAGACGCAGTTAGACAAAACACTTGCTCTGCATTTCGTTGATGTGACAGACAAAGGCTTACTCCAAATTTTTTTCCTACATCTTCATAGATTATGTACTGCTGTGTGGATTGATCTGGACACTTGCTTGTTATTTTACGGTGTCTCTTTTAAAAGGAGGGACCCGGAAACGGTTTTGATGATTTTTTACAAGCACATTGGGCCGGTAGACCAAGTCCCAAGGGTAATTTAGAGACTGATTTGAGCTTTCTGCGTAAACTGTGTAATATATTACAATGCTTCAAAGCTGCGAGTCGCTGCAGATCGCTGCGACTCGGCCAAATGCGTTTTCAACCTACCATACACTAAGCGACACACTCTGCCCCACTGACGTCATCATTTCCAGCTGATATGCGGCGACGGTATTTACGCATACGCGGTCTCATGCCACATCGTGACACAGGCACCGTGAAGGCGGAGCTTAGCCCCGAGCGCTCAGAAGGAAGAGTTGAGTGTGAAAGACGGAGTGGAGGAGGAGGGTACTTTTTTAGTACTCATAGCTCCGTTAATGATGGGTGTTTCGATTGAACTCTGGTGCCAATGATTTGCTCCAGTAGTGGTCTAAGCAAAAACTGAATTTGAAAAAATCGTTTCAGGGAACCTTTAAGCAGCATCCGTAGAGTTGTTTTTTCTTTTCGCATATCTGCACTGACAGCATACATGAAGAAGTAACTTTGATTTCAGCTCTGCAGTTTATCTATTGTTTACAAAGCACTGCTACATCTAACCGTCTCTATTGAATTCATTACAAGTACAGGAGCCCACTCTACAGAGGAGTACTCTAGACCTACGAGTAAAATATTGTCACGATTGGTAGCCGCTAAGACGAGAGAAGACAACGAAGCAGCAGCTGTTGTGGCTCTAAAAAACTGAGAAAGATGATGTTGAGAGTGTATGCTTTTGTTATTGTGATTCCTGAACATAGCCTTATGTTTCCACATTGTACCATGGCCCTGTGCCTTGTTCTTTCCGTGTTGCAACACTGGTGAAAGTGCTGGACATCTGATGCTTGGAACTCCTCCTTGGACCATCTCTTGCACTCCTGTTGCTGCTGTGGATATTCTTGTCTACAATCCCCGACAGTGTGGCCTCAGTCCTGAGACACACCCCCTAGAACTTTCCCAGCCAAGGACTCCATCTTGAGAAATGGCAATCGGAAGTGCTTTGGAGCTAACTGTCTAGCAACCGAGATCTTTCACGGTGAGGTTTATGACAACGTCGTAGATTGCTTAGATCAGTATGAGTGTGTTGCCAAGGCAAACCACTAGACCATGAAAGAGAAGCTCTCGCATGTCTACTTTGCATTGGCGGATAGCGCTTGTATGTCGTATGAGAACCGCAAAGCCACATTGACTTCTTGGGATGTATTTTGGCAGCAACTTTTAAGCACCTTTGCAAATATCAATCGCTGTGATTCTGCTCTCAACAACTCATCGAGTCATGCATACAGACACTGAATTAGTGTTGCCATGTTTGCGAAGGTTATGACCTACCTATTTCGACGGGCTGACCCTGAGATGCCAGAAGCATAGAAACTTCGGCATTTGATGTGAGGCGTCAAGGAGAGTCTTTTTGTCGGTCTTCTTCGCAATCCACCGATGACTGTTGGAAAATTTATCGAAAAGGCCACAACCATCGAGAGAGCAGTACAGCGACGGTGCCGCTATTACAACCGACCAAACAATGCCTCGATCAGCGTCTCTGCTCTGAGCTCCGGCTGTGAGGATTCTGTGCTTGAACTCATTCATGACATCGTTTGCGAAGAGGAACTCATCGGCAACCTCCTTGTTACTCTGCCAAGAAGCTGCAACGGCTCCTGTTGCAGAAGTTGTCCGCCAACAAACCAGGCACGAATTTTCGTTGCCCAACTCACCACCTGGTCAGCGATCTGTAAACTGTGTTGACCTTTGTCGTTCCACACCAGTGCTGCTCAACTCGTCCCGGCTGTCTCATACTTTCAAGCTGGTGACTCCAGCATACATTCCACCACCGGCTCCGCAGCTTAATGCAAATATGTATACATTGCTATTCTGCCCTCCGTCAACGTCTGCATCCTGGTCACCAAATATGGCCAACAGTCGACCATTTGTTCACAAGACAAACATGTGGCGCACCGTTGTCCGCTATCCGCTGTTCTTTCATTGCGGAGAAACCTGCCATGCTAACCGCTTATGCTGGTATCATGACCCAACTTTTGACAATACTGTAACAATTGATATTGTCATGAAGCTATTGTCCCTATTGATAGTCGCCAAGACGAGAGAGGACAATGAAGTGAGCAGCATGAGCAGCAGCTGTTCCAGCTCCGAGGAAGACGACGTTGGAGTGTCTGCTTTTGTTATTGTGATCTCTCAATACAGCCTTATCTTTCCATGTTGCATCGTGGTCCTGCATCCTGTTCCATCTGCATTGGAACAATATGCTGCATTTAAAACAGTAGACTACATTTTAAGTACTATTAGCAACTGTATTTCTTGGCGACAATGCACAAAAACTGATGAAAGCAGAAAAATTCCTGGAATATAAATTTATCAGTTTTGTGCTATAAGCTTACTATCGTGTTCTGAAGCAATAAAGTGCAGCTGGTATACTGCCTGGAGTATGTAAGGTTTGCATGTCGCTCACGGCTTCGGAAAGTGCCGCTGTTTTGCGAAGTACCACTCTGAGTAACTACAGTCGCCCAAATCTTTAACTATCATGCACAGCGGTGACTTCTCTGTGCATCAGCACCACATCATAGAATGAGGTTCTGAAAACTGAGCATGTAGTATGTGGGATATAACTTGCCTTCATCCTTTCTGGAAGTCAATTCAGTGGTACAGCGAAGATTGACAAGATTGCCACCCGTGAACTGTAGTTAAATATTTGGGCAACTGTACTCTACATTTGTGTGTTTCAGTGCAACGGTTGCATTAGGGGAGTGCACATGCATGTTACTTGTATCTTTTACTCTTGGGCATATTTTTTACCAGGTATAGCACTTACACGTTATGATGTGTCTACAGTTGCAGATATGGGACACAGCAGGACAGGAACGCTTTCGTTCAATCACCCAAAGCTACTACCGTAGTGCACATGCTCTCATTCTCGTCTATGACATCAGCTGCCAGCCAACGTTTGACTGTTTGCCTGACTGGTTAAGAGAAATAGAACAGTATGCCAGCCCAAAAGTCTTGCGGGCGTTAGTAGGTAAGTCAGCATTTAATGGCCATGTCTTTAGCATGTTAATCTGTGTTTCATTTGTCATATCGTAACAAGAAAGCCTCTCAAGCTAAGGTTGTCCTGGATTCATTTCTTCCTACATATCTTCATCTACCTTATTGCATCTGTTTTGGTGTTAAAAAATATTTAGGCATAATAGAGACTTCCTTGGCGTCGAAATATTATTACCGGTGCTACTTTTGCAGCTCTTCAGTTCTAAGCTCGCCCTAATTACAATATTTTGTACAGTTGTAAGAAGTAAATTGTTTGGTCTTCTGTCTGAGTGATCACTCACCGATCACTTCACTGAGTGGTGACTCAGTGTTGTACACATACTCTAATTGCCGCATCGGGAAACTCGGATCTGCCAAGTCCCTGCTACACAACAGTTGCAAATGAAACAAGTAGTTTGGCAGGTTTCAGCTAATCTTTCTTGTAACATTAATGACATCCAGATATCGCTTCCACTGTAGACAGAATCAGTCTGGAAAAGTTAAGTTAAGTGCAGATTGACCTACACGTTTTTTTACGCTGGGCACACTTGTGAGAGGCATGCTTATCCATCGCTTTTTTTTTTCCCCCAGAAGCAGCTTAATTTTTGCAGCAGTTGAAAAGAGAATCTGCTGATTGCTGATCATGATGAAACAATTTTTTTATGCCTCCACTGTGGTTGTCAGGGAACAAAATTGACCGTGAAGACCGGGAGATCCCAACGCACATTGGTGAAGAGTTTGCTCGCCGGAGTGACATGTACTTTGTTGAAACATCGGCCAAGGAGGCTGACAACGTGGACAAGCTGTTCACCGAGATCGCCGTGCGCCTGACGGCTGAAGCAAGGGCGACTCATGCCCGATACTCTGGACGGCCGTCAGCTACTGGCGATTCATTGCCAGATTTGAAGGAAGCTGCAGGAGACAAAGGGGACCATGCTTGCTGCCGTATGTTATGAACATCCCATGTCACACACGCATGCAGTGTGCTGGAACCGCCCTGGTGTTGGGGCATGTAGTTCAGCTTCTTGGCAGTCGTGGGGCGCTTATGTATGTTGGAGGCTCTCAAATGACTGCAGTATGGGTGAGTATAGGGTAGCCACTTTTTGGTGTCAAGTTGCGAGTCATTCTACTTGAGCTTCGAAGCATCACTCCTTGGAGAATAATTAGGGGCTTTTAGCTTGTACGTATATTTCTTTACATTACCGTGTTACCGAATACCAGAAGGAACCTGTGCATGCATGGGCCTTTACGGAAGTAGACATTTTACGGAACGTAAACTGTTTGCCAGATAGCTTTTACGTTTATAGCCCTATCTCACAAGTCCACCTTCCTTCATGGCTACGCGCGATGTCTGCTTCGCGAAGACTCCAGACGCCTAGTCAAAATAAGCCGGAGTGCGGATTGCGATCACATTGTTTTGGTTGCTTACTGAAGCTAGAGTGAAATAGAATACCGAAGCAATCAAAACCCTAACGTGCGAGGCTAAAGCCCCCAACAGACTGAATAAGTGATGCCGTCTAGTGGGGTCAGAAGGAACCAGGCAAGCACAAAATGGTTATTGCAGAAACATCCTGCATTTTACTTTTCATGTAAATGCCTTATCGAGGAATAATTATAAACGAATTGCCTTTTCAACCATGTTTTTTTCTCATAAACACTAGGCGATAACTTTGCATGAAGCGTCACAAGGTGTTAACACCATCCTCCAGAAACGCGGCATTTTTGCACTCTTTGCGTAGTCCTGGATACTGTACATGCTAAAAAACCTCTCTTGTGGTTTTGCCCTAGAGATGATTCAATCTCATTTAAATCAAATATAATTTCAATGTAGTTATTGTAACCATTTAGTTGTTCGCATAAACATAAAGGTACAGGTTTACGTTTGTATATAAATGCTTACGAATGGGGAGCCAAAGCTTTTCTAAAGTTGCATCCTGGTAACAGTATAAATGCTATCCGGTATTTCGGTAACTCGGTAAAATTAAAAATATGTGAATAAGCTGAACGTCTCTGTACAGGGTTCGAAAATCTGCTAGGTGCTTAAAAAACTGTTTTAATTTTCATGAAATGTCAGGGTCAGCACTTTACTTACTCATGTGATACTGACAGTCTCAAGAGTTAAAGTTCTAAAAACAATTAAAATGACTTCTTGATTCTGGCCATAAGGAATAGTCGCTAAAGTTGAAGCTTATCTTGGTGAAACTCAAAAGAAGCTGTTGTAGTAATTTTTAGTTCAGGATGAAATTGAGGCTTCGACGTACGCCCGTCTGGTCGGCAAGAATCATTGAATAAAAAGGAAGAAATGCCTACCACAGCAGAATAAAAGGTAGAATAACGTTTCGGCACCCAGAACGGGAGCCTTGTTTGCAAGGTCATTGCGAACAAGGCTCCCTTTCTGGATGCCGAAACATCGTTCTACCTTTTATTCAGTTGTGGTCGGCATTTTTGCCTTTTTGTTCACTACTTTTTAGTCTTCTTTGCATGGGCACCTGGATTTTCTTTAGTACCAAATGAGCATAACAAATGCCTCACTGTCATTGGACAGCCTCCTTCAGCAGCATGTGTTACCACTTGTCTCTCCTGAGGTTGGGACTACGCTGCCACAACTATCTCATTTTGCTAGTGCTGCCGCCCGTCTGTTTTCGCTCTTTATGTGTGCACACGTTGCGATATTGGAAGTGCGTGAGTAGTGATGTAGGTGTTTTAAAGTCGACAAAGGATGCTTGTCAGCCTGCTTCCATTTTTACCCATTGCTCTAGGCTCCCCCATGAGGTTTTCGTGATTCCAGCTTTTTAGTTTCGATCTTCAAGGATCCTTCATTTCAGTCTCTCAACGACAGGTGATTATGTAGCATCAGCTTAGTGCATTCAGTTCCCTGCAGCGATTTTCTGCTTCGAGCTCAAGCTTATTTACTTTTTGCTGGCTTGATTGTAGTGAAGGCTTCTTTTTGATGAAGGAATTTCAGGAAAAGGTCGCTTAATTGAATGATAATTTACTCCTATCACATCTCATTTATCAGTGTAGTATAGCTACCTGAACTTCCTTAAGCACATTTGTGTTTTTCTTGCTAGCATTTTACATTGCATCACATTAGTTTCGTTTCTCCAACATTTATGCCCACAATATATTTGTGCTTTGACCTGCTATCACCATCGTAAGTGAGGTAAGATGCTGTTTTTTTTTTTTTTTTTGATTTTGGGTTTAATGAAGGAACTCTATTAAAGTTCAGGCCAGTTTTCTTGTTTCAAGATGTAGAAAAAAAAAAGGGTGCAAGGCATCTGGGCAATGCTGTATCTATTGATTCTTTTGCTCTTGTTTTCGTCGTAGTTTGTTATCATCGAAAGATCAAATCGGCAGTCTTTGTTCATTGACTGTTAGTACATTATATCTTGGTTGTGTATGCATCACAGGCCCAAACACATAAAAAATCATGTGGGCTAATACACTCAGCATCCGACCATGTTGGGGAGAACTCGCGAGAGGATCTGAGGGCTATATAAAAGGTTGTGTTTTCTCGTTTGTTTTATAGGCCCGGGTTTTATTTTGTAATTTTAAAGGTTTGTGGCTGCTCTAAAATGCCTTCATTTCACTAATGAACCTGAGTGCATTAGAGCTTCTACTAGTATACACACACACATTTCATGAGTTGTTTAATTTGTTGGTGGCTTGAGTGATCACTACATTTACCTATTTAGACAGAAGTGCTCATTTTATCATTCTTATGTTGTTGCATTAAGAATATGCTAGAGCTGAATTGTGTGCATAAATCTGTTGTTTCTTAACAGCCCTGCTGTTGCTTTGCACACCTGCACGGTTTTGTGCTTTTCCATGACGACTGTTTCTGAGGAACATGTGGAAGGTTGATAAACACTCACGAAAAAGGCATTTCAAAGTTCTTGAGAGGTGGGAACTCTTGCCAGACACTGTTGAGCCAAGGTACAGCATTGAGGGATTCTGCAGGGTTTTTTCCTTTAGCACCTGCTCATGAGCAGAGCAGTAGGAACAGAACGTCCATACCTTTACTGAGTAATAGATGAAAGAGTGTGAGAAAGTGTGAAGGAACTGTGCCTGTATAATGTTGACATATTTCTTTACATTGCAAAAAGAACACCACTTTAAGGTGAATCAAAAATACAGCCTTTTATCTTGTGGTAGTCACGAGCGGCAAACAGTGAAGCTTTTCATTTTACAGAGACATTACTCAACAGAATTAGCAAAGCACTGCTTACCATATGCTACACTCATATTTCACAGACTTAGACAATACAGGGACTGCACGGATGTCACTTTTTTTTTATAGGTGCGCCTCGCTGAGGTGCAAGCAATGTTACTGGCTTAGCTGCGACACCAAGGAGGATTAAAACAAATTTATTATCAACCTTGTAGCTGATCAAGAGGTGCATTCAACGTTCCAGTGCTCGCACAACTGTTGCATGCCCTTAACACACTAGCATTTTTGCAATGTGTGTTTGGATATTGCTAGCATATGCCAGTCTGACTGAAACAAACTGTAAACACTCCGCTAAATATCCTACATTGTAGGCGAAATAACACCGTAGCTTGATTATGTTACGAAACAGGAAATATTGCTCTATAAGTACCTCATTTGCCCCAATCTCAGTTTAACCTCCCATTATACTAGGTATCGCATTGCATTCAATCTTTATCAAAAGTGACTTAGAAACAGTTGCTAGAAATTCTCTTCTTGTACGTTAACTGATGTGCATAGGATGAAATGTGCAGAAGCAGTGTTGACATCACAGTGTTGACATCGGTTCATCCAAAAATGGCCACCAACTTGATCTAAACCACTCTCATTACACATGACTCAAACCAAACCTGAATATTGCTTCAAATACTAGCAGACTCAGCCTCGACATGGCAGACCTACAGATGATGATGCATCCTCATTTCTGTTTGTTTTTAGGCAGAGAAATGTAGATTTAACTTTTATGAGTACAAGGAAACTTTTACAGTCTCAAAATGCATGGCAGTGCTGGAAAAGAGACTATTGCACTCGATAATGCCGCATTTAACAAGGAAAACGAAGTGTAGAAAGCAGTTATTTGTGCCTGGTTTATTTCTAGAGCTCGGGAGGTAAATCAATCGATTGCATCTTCTTGCTCATGAACAAGCTGCTTCCTGCCATGTATTGCTGTGGTACTTCTGCTTAGAACTCATTATAATGAATTAGTTAAAGCTGCTTAGAGTGTGAACTCTGCTTCTGTTGGCTAAGTGAACTTAGCACCCGAGAAGAATTGTTAATTGTAACAAGGCTTTGAACATGACAGTCTATTTGGCAGCTGTGATATTTTTCTTTTTTTGTTGTGTTTGTCAGAAAATGAAAAATGAGTTCGCATCATGGTAACTTTCTGCCTTATTTTAATTGTTTAGCGGGAGTCATACCATGCTCATTGCTGTCAGTCCAAAACTGAAGGCTTGCTTGCTATTCAGATCAACTCTTACCAGCAAGCTGTCTGAAAGTCATAATTCTTTTTTTGGTGTGGACGTATACTTACCATATTTGCCAATATAGAATATAGCTGGCTGGTCACGTTAAAGATGTGTTGTAGGTGTTCTTAATTATCTTTTTTTCAAGCTTTGCTTAACGCATTTACCAGCGTTATGAAAAGTACATTCCATTGTTCTCGGCGTACTTTTTTGCCCCTGTGACTGGCACTTTTGAGGTCTTCCTTTGTTAGTGCTGCTCGTTTATTATTGTGCTGCAGTGATTCGGTTTTGTGTGTGCTACAAGAGTCTGTATTTGCAAGGTGACCTTTAGCTACAGCCAATTGCTGCGCATCAAAATAGTGTTGTTGTTTTTTTCAGCACATCTCACACTTGCATGCAGACTTTTTAGCCGGTGATGTATATAGATGCCTCCCCCTATAAAATAGTTCCTTTGCCACTTTTCGGTTTCCTGGCCTCTACTGCCACTGCACTGTCCACAAAACAATTTAGTGATCCAAGTTTATCGTATTTATTTCAAAAGTTGTGAACTTTTATTTGATGAAATAAATATTTTAAGTCGCTTATAGGCACTGTGTTTAAGCTTATTGCATTCATTTAAACTTGTGTCAAAAGTAATGTGCTAGCTGGCTAAACTTGTTTCTTTTACTTTAGAATATTTCATGTATTTGAAACATGCTAGCTGATCTAGTTTTTAAGCAGTATCAACAGGAGACTAGACTACACATCTAAAGTGAATGCTTGGGCGTGTTGGTATGACATATTGGAAACAATACTGCACAAGTCGAAAGTGCATCCAATGCCAGCAGCCGCGTAGCCAGAAATTTTTCAGGGGGGAGTGGGGTTCGACCATACTTAATGTAAGTTTCGGGGAAAAAAAAAGTTCACTCCCCCCTCCCCCTGGCTACAATCTTGAATGCTAGTAAGCTTTTCAAAGCCTCAAAAATTGTCCACTTTGAGGACTTTTTTTGTGCGAAAAGCTCAAAGTTGTCTATTTTTTGTAGCTCTGTTAACCGACGTCGCTTAAGCTGATGCTGGAATTTGTGAAATGAGCTCCATAAAGGGACACAAATTTTTTTTTTTTATTTATAAACAATGACTTGTACCATAAGAACTCTAATACCATAAGTTTCACTGTTATAACTTTATGTTAGTGGAAAAAAATTAAGGTTCGAATTTCATTTGAGAATGTTGTGCTAAATCTTTGCGCTTCATGTCAAAATTTCGGAATGTGTATTTCGTATTTTCATATTGGCTCGATGAAATTTTCTGAAACTTTGTATGCTACGTCTATGGCACTGACAAATGACAATGTACCTCATTTTTATCGATACGTAGGACCCAGTAGGCACCTTCAAATATGACGTCACATTGTTGCGAGAATTGCACGGTTGGCATCTCTACGTGCATTTTCTTTCCGAAAGTTTTCTTGCTTAGCAAAAGTCATGTCGTGGCAAGAGTGGTGTTGTTTAGCATCTCTAAAAAAACAACAGAGCTGTGTAGTGCCTTGTTTCTCTTTTTCTTCTTTTTTATTTGTTTATTTCCCATTCTTTCCCACTCTTATCTTTCTTGCCTGCGGTAGTTCATAAAGTGAAGCAGAAGTTACCGACAGCTTAGACAACTTTGCTCTTAGAAAGTGGTTAAGGTCATAATGCATGCTGGCGTAGCTAGGGACGTAGCTTTTTGCCCCTTTTCATCCCACCACACCCTCTGTGTAGCTTTTAGCACGCTCGCTGGTACAAAGAGAGAGAGGCAACTCTGCTCATACTTGGATTCCAAATGCCCGAACCACAAGTTCGAGTTTCAACGTGGCATGTAAACTGTGTCGCATCGCATTCCTACGGAGGGAAACTGCGCACCACGCACAGTCGCGTAATGCTTGCGTGGTTATGTTTTAAAATTTTCAGCGGCAGTCTATTCGTAAGGCAATAAACTCCTTCACTGAATCCTTGCTTAAGTGATGAGGATTCTGAAGAGGGAGTATAGCTGAGAGAGAGAAAGAGCAGAGCACACACAACTTGTCAGAATATTTCTCCAGTGACACTTTCTTATGTACACTTGGCAACACACCCGAAATACACTGTATAAAACCAGTGCTGGAGGCTTTCTTTGTTCAACAGATGTCTTGACGTGGATGTCGCATCATCGCCATAAAGACTGCCGGACTGAATGACAAACACATCTTTATTTGTCATATCGACACAAAGGAACATATGGCAAGTGAGCAGCTTTGATGTATGAATCGTCTGCAGAAGAGAAGGTTCCGGTACTACTTGTATTGCTGCAGGCAATGAGTGTGGACAATGATCAAACATTCATGCAAGTAATGGTTATTAACCTATATGTACACGAGCGCATCACATACACAACTATGATATGTACATTTGAATGAGCAGCCATTCATCATGATAAAAAAACTTGCACTGACTATGCATGACAATGTAAACTAGCAATGTACGCTTATTGTCAAGACAGGAGGGGCTCGAATGCTAGCCATTTATAATATACAATCATGCACTCAATATAACACCACAGCTGAATTCTACATCTATTAATGGTAAAAAATTGAGCCTAAGAAAGCAGTAACTCCAGAGTGTTGCCTTTTCCGCATTCTCACCGAGCACTGGCATAAAAGTTTGCTGCCATGCTGCAAACAACACAGTTGTGTATGCCACAAATAGAGACATTACAGCACCCAACAATTTCATTTGTACGCTACTCGAGTATTTGGCTCATTAATTTTCAATTACCCATGTTCCTGTAAGAGTTCTTCCAGACCTCGGCGAAGGTTACAGACGAGTGAAAACGGTAGAAAATGCTGAGAGGTAGCGAGGCACGTATGATGACTGTCCAAGCCATGAACCCGTAGAAGCCAAGTTGCACGGGGCTAGCCTCAACCTTTTGCTTCTCAAAGGTGTAAATGATCCAGAGCGTAAGATTTCCGATGAGCAAGAACGTGATGACCTGCCGGCCCGGCTTGCTGTGGTCGTGCTCGGGCAGGTATGTCATACGGCAGGTTATGTCCGCAATAAACAGCGACTGCATCGTCACCTGGACGATAGTCAGAATGCTGGTGACCATACCAGAAGGTTCGGGATGTGGTCTTTGGGCAGCAGGCTTCCGGCTATGATGCCAAACATGGCATAAACGTAGAGTCCGAATGCAGCCACACTGAGCAGTATGCTGCGTAAGTGATCCTTCCGGTCGGGGTGAAATCGAAGCGACTTGATGCGGAAGAAACCGATCGTTATGGCCCCGATGGTCAGCACCTTGATGCCGCAATGCGAAAGGTCAGACAGGTAGATGGCCAGCATCGCGTATCGCTCATGCTGGATCAGCACGAAGAAAACAATGAGACAGATGGTAGAACAGACGAGCACCAGGAGGCCAAAGAACAGACCCTTGCTGGAGCCTGTGCAGTTGACCTTGGAGCCCGCCTGGAGGCTGGACGTGCGCGATATGCCATCGTCGTGGCTGTTCTCGACGTGGTAGACGGGATCCTTGCCGATGTTCTTCCACATGACATACAGCACGGCCGCGCTGATGAGGCTATACTCGACAATGAATGGGTACAGGAACGGAGACGAGTCGGACACAATGGTGCCCATGATGTCCTGCTTTTCACACGGGTTGGTGAAGTTCTGCGACGTGTTTTCCTGGGAAAAGCGGCTTCGCTGCACTGTAAAGAGAATGGGAAACAGTGATTTGCTATTTCGGTTATGTTCAAACAGTGAAAAAAAAAAACCTTAGGTAACGTTCTGTCCTAAGGAGAAATGGTTGAGGAAAAGGAGGTTCGTGTTAGTCCTTGCTACCACGTGACTTAAGCACGTGGCCTCATACTTATTACATGCCAGGCACGCCAATGAAAAATTTTTTGTCTTACTACAACTTAAATCCTATACATCGTCTGGATCAATGTCGCCTGTAGAAACAACACAATTATCACTCTTGTTAGGCTTAGATGTCATATTGCGCAATTTCATCAAGACTGTAGTGACAGTGTATGTAGTCCAGGCACCACTTACCCCTGAAGGGCAATATTAGCTCTTCCAGTGTGCTGCCACGACCATTTTTGAGGTGGTGCTCGTTGATTTCCTGCAGAGTCTCTTTTCCAAGAGTGCGTATCCAAACGCATATGTTGGTGGCCACGACGTGCATGAGGCCGAACCTGGCGACCACTTTAAACTTGTGGATGTTCAGCTGAAGTTGGAAAGACATACGTCACAGTCTGTGCTGGTCAGGCAGCAGTGTCGTACTCACCCTTGCATTCATGAAGATAAAGTACATTTGAGCAAACGTGAAAACCATTTGCAGGACCGGGTTGATTCCTAGCAGTACGCTGTAGCAAGGCGACGTGGATGGAATCTCGAAGAACGAGCCGAACTCCAAGCCGTTGTACACCATTGTCCCCAGACCGAAAGCTGCACAGTAGAGGGTAGAACATGTCAGGAGTATGAAGTATGCAAAATAACTTGTTTTCGCTGAAGAAATCTGCTTTCAAGTTTGTGCAACAAGCATTGAAAGCTGCACGAGTTGGTGCGAGTTTGCCTTTAAGTGCTTCCTCGCTCTGGTCAATAAGTTGGTCAGCGCTCGTAAGTGTATTTCTGTTCTTTTGTGTCCCGTCTGTGTTGCGCAGTCGGCTTTCAAGTGTCATATCGTCGGTAATTAAATCTTTGCATGCGCACCGCCATAGAATGCAGCAAAACAGTTCCACTCCACGTCATCAGTGTAAAACGTATGTAGGATTTGTGTGTGCAGTTTTTCTCAGGTGGTGTTGTCCACTGCTGTTGTCTGTATTCGATTCCACTAGTCTTGTTTATGGTTTACTTTAAGATTGGGGGGCGCCAGGGTTTCTCCCTTACTTGGAGGGAGGGTCAGCTACTACCAGAGGTCCCCGGACAGCGTGTCAGCCCATGCTTGCATGAAAACGCGAAAATGCTTTAATTCAAACAATCCCTCTTCTACATATCTGCTAAAATTGCTGACAGAAATCACAGAAATTTATGCTACATCTCCCATTCCTTTCATCATGTGTTCGCCTGCTAAAATTATCAAGCATGTACACCACACCGCACCTAAATGCAGAGCCTCGCTGTTTGCCATCCACAAGTATATCCTATATATAGCTTTGCAATAGCATGTCTATTAATATGCTATTGCGACTTCCATATTGTGTGCTTGGACCACCCAAATTGCTTCTGAGGGTCAAACAACGCATCGTGCAAAAGATTTTGGAAGTTGTGTCGCAGCTATAGCTATGTGGATTCGTGTGCGTTCTGTAAACTCGAATTAGTTCACAGTTAAACTCACGCGGCCACTGTATTGTGGGTATAGCGTCAAGGACCGTGGTGCGCAAGCATATGCCTGAACTACATGCACGGAAAAAAGCTGGCGTGCGCATATCGGGTCTTCTACTGGCACTTGGCCATCAGCTAAGCTGTTCAACCCTTATGACGCGTACCAATGGCGCCGATCCTTAGGAAGAGGCTCCCGTGACTGCGGTCGTTTTCAGAGATGCGCTGTTTCTTCAGCCTGGGTGGCACGCCACCGCTCTGGGCGCCCACGGAGGCGGCGTCCATTCCCTTGTTGGGCTGCGCCTTGTCGCCCACGGTGCGTCGCAAGTTCTCGAGGATTGTGATCTTCTTGGGGCACTTGTACGGGCCGCCGGAACCAGCCGGAGGGCGCCGCAGCAGGTAGATGTACACGTACAGCAGGAACAGCAGGCTCACGCTGTACAGGTACATGTAGAAGCCCTGCGTGTGCATTGAGAGGTCAAGTACTTCGCCGAATTTTCAGAACGCTTTATGGGGGACCGTTCCACTTTTTTTTTTTTTGCAATCGTCTCCTTAGTACACAGGGCGCCAATAAGGTGCCACGTTTACGAAATACTGGTATCTTCATTTTTAACATGAAGTAGAGGTATATACTTTATAAAAAAAGACATTATATCAAAAGACTAAAGTGATAGAGAGAGAGTGGATGGGCGCAAGTGGCCTCTCCCTTCTCACTTGGCCGCAAACTTGCGCCAAACCCCGGCCGCCGCCAAATTTACTTTAACCTCCTTGGTTGCCCCAGCTTTTTTAGGGGCGATCTTAGGGTCTAGGCTTGTCTCCACTGTGCGTTGTCCGTTGTACGGCACATAACATTCAAGGTATCACTATGCGCCCACCGTAACTTTCGTGAAGTAGGGAAGCATTGCTGATAGGCAAGTTACCCGCTACTTATATGCATTAGGCGCACTTTGGAAGAAAATTCCTGGAAGATATGTACAGAGGATCAACTGCCACCACAGTGCTCCAAGAAGAAAGCGACAGACTACCAATCAAGAAGGGTGTAAGACAAGGGGATCCAATCTCTCCAATACTATTTACCGCGCACTAACAGTAGGTTTTCAGAAGGGTTAGGGATAAGAGTTAATGGATAGTACCTTAGTAACCTGCTCTACGCAGATGACATTGCTTTGCTGAGTAACTCAGCGGACAAATAGCAACTCATGATTACTGAATTAGACAAGGAGAGCAGGAAGGCAGGTCTTAAAGTTAATCTGCAGAAAACGAAAGTAATGTACAACAACCTCGGAAGACAGCAGCGCTTCGAGATTGGCAGACTTACGTCTACTTAGGTCAGGTAATAACCGCGGAGCCGAACCACGAGATTGAAGTACTTAGAGGAATGATAATGGGGTGGAGCACATTCGGCAAGCACTTTCAAATCATGACTGATAGATTGCCACTATCCCTCAAGAGGAAGGTAGATAACAGCTGTATTTGCTGGTACTTACCTGCGGAGTAGAAACCTGGAGGCTTACAAAGAGGGTTCAGCTTAAATTGAGGACGACGCAGCGAGCGATGGAAAGGGAATTGATTGAATGATTGATTGATTGATATGTGGGGTTTAACGTCCCAAAACCACCATATGATTATGAGAGACGCCGTAGTGGAGGGCTCCGGAAATTTCGACCACCTGGGGTTCTTTAACGTGCACCCAAATCTGAGCACACGGGCCTACAACATTTCCGCCTCCATCGGAAATGCAGCCGCCGCAGCCGGGATACGAACCTGCGACCTGCGGGTCAGCAGCCGAGTACCTTAGCCACTAGACCTCCGCGGCGGGGCGTAGGTGGGCGTAAAAGAGGGCAGAGTGGATCAGGGAACAAAGCGGGGTTAAGGATATCATAGTTGAAATCAAGAAGAAGAAGTGGGCATGGGCCGGGCAGGCAGGATAACCGCTGGTCATTAAGGATAACTGACTGGATTCTCAGCGAAGGCAAGCTGGTTAGTGGGAGACAAAGTTAAGTGGGCAGATGAGATTAGGAAGTTTGCGGGTACAAAATGGCAGCAGCAAGCACGGGACAGAGTTGAGTGGCGGATCATGGGGAGGCCTTTGTCCTGCAGTAGACGTAATCAGGCTGATGATGATGATGTGCACTTTGTGCTGTGACTTATGATGAAAAATAAGCGCGTTCCCGAAAACACATTCTCTTTCTGCCATGGATGAAAACGAACGCTAACGCTCCCTCGCCAGCGAAAGGCAACGCCGAGAGGTAGAAAAAAAAAAAGACTAATTATTCAGTGGACGACTATAGCCCCGAGAGGGGAGGTTCAAGCAGTCAACACAACGATAGACGTTCAGAAAACGGTGCAACGCCTTTCTAGAAACATACCCGACGACGCAGCCATCGACGTGTACATAAAGCGAGAGGTGATAAGCAAGCCCATGTACAAGTTCAGCATACGGTCAAGAAACGAAACATTCACGCGTGGTTGACGTACCCAAGACTCACTCCTCCTTTTTTAAAAAATACCTAAAAATAAAGCAAACGTGCATAGACTTTGTCCTAACCAGCTTCACGCTAGATGCCATCGAAGAACCATTGGCTCTATACATTTCACGGACCACAAATCAGTAATAATGAAGGCAAAACAGAATGCAGAACTCTACAGAGCGTAAAAGTGATGGCCAATAAAACATTTTATATACTGTACACACGTGGTGTCACCCATTTACATGCGCGAGTGGTCGGGTGAATCAACTCCCCACTACATCGGCTCATGATTCACTTCGTGAAGACGCGTGGATTGTTTTTGTTTTTTTAATGTGGACTTGTATTCGTATTTCAGAAGTATATAATGTACTGTTCGAACGAACCGTGCGCAAACTCCCATGCCTTTTATCCCTACAATAACGTCGAAGCTGTTTAAGTTGGCCGTAATTTATGCGTCATATCAGAAACCGGGCATGTGTCGTGTTTGTGGTTTTACTCGAACCCCTCTGCGCTGGTAACATCTACCGGAGAAACCTACAGCATCATACAGACGACCGAGCAGCAACCTAGAAACAACCTTCATCACCAACCCAGAAGCAACCGTAGTCTTCAGCATATGCGTGCGCAGGGTTTTCTTTCAGGGAGCCGAAGGACCGTCGCAGCGCACCCTCTCCTCGTTAAATCAATGTACAGAGCAGACTTTCGCCCTTTTAAGTCAACGTATATAGCAGACTTTGCGCCCCCCTCTTTTGGGCAACTAGGAAAGAGAGCGCCCCACCTGCCCCCCCTCGAGCGCTCGAAGATGTTCTTCAGAATCGTAAGGCATGCGCGGTTTATGATCGACCTCCATGGCTTGGCGCCGCTTGGACGCGTGAGACATTGCGGCTGAGCCTACCCCGATTTCTTCCGGGTCAGCGCTCCCAGAGATGCGCCAAGACCGGCGAAAACACGAAAGTCGTTGTTCGAGTTCTCGAGGGCCATCGGCGCCCCTCGTAAAAACCCCTTTGAACACGCCCGACCGAGTGACGGCTTAAGAAGCGCTGTTGGCAGTCGAGGCTGATTGCCTTGTTCGACATGCTACGAGACGCGCCGAACATAACGTCTGGGTTTCGTCCGTGGATACGTTTCCCACGTTCTACGAGGTGCCTGCATGGCGACAGTTTTCGACAAGCCGTGGCCTGCCCAGCGCCGCTGACCACGAGAAGTCAACGCGACACCTGAATACACAAGTTTATCTGCACGTAGGGCCCGAAGTCTTCGAGCTGTGCGGTGTCGTGCGCGTTGGGTCGTGTCTTCTCCCTCGCCATGGGACGAACTGATGTGCCTCTTTCCTGGGTCAGAAAAGAGGCGGTGTTTCGCCTTCCCATTTTGTGCGCGGAGGTGAAGACCACAGTTACATTGGAATGTCCTGGCTTCAATAGTTTTTTCCCCACAGGGAATCTTGGGAAGAAGGCATAAAACGCGAGCGTCGAGGCGCTCCAGACAAGCTTTCATAAAGCTTCCATCAAGATCTCCCGTGATTCTACCAGCAATCATGTAACCACGCTACCTTGAATCTGTAAATAATGTAAATAAACGCTGCTGTTAACAGCTCCGGCTACTCCGCTCGTCATCTTCCCGAGGCTTTGGCTGGCTCCGGACCTTTGGGCGGACCCCCGACTACATCAGCGCAAGCTTCGTCAATTTCGAATGAAGGCGCTCTGTGGCTTGTCTTTTCGTGAAACGCCGCAAGTCATGTCACTTGTGTCCGGTCATCGCCTTACTTTTGCTTGTATTGTTTGGTGTTCGTCTGTTTCTATCTGTGCACAGGAAAACCGCAATATCAACCTTTCGTTTGCCTGGCAAGCGTAAACTCTGGTGCAGCCAGTACGGCGCTCTTCTGGCAGGCAGGCGAGCGCCTCTTTATAGTTTGAGAAAAGAACAGATTAGCACCATTTATAGCACGCAGATAAACTGTCTAAGTGCGTATGTTCAGAACGAATGCTGATCTTCTGAGCAGATGCTGCTTCGGCGCGCTTTGATCCAAATTAAGCCGCTTCCTTGTCAAGGTAGTTCCGCTCTGACCTAACAGAACGGTTGCAGTTCGCAAGTGTTGGGTGCGATCAGTTTCAATTTCTACCTTCCAAAAAATGACTGTCATGAATTGGCACAAATAACAACTTTCTAATACAGCATAATAATATTAATTGTTGGGATTTAACGTCCCAAAACTGCCACACGATTATGAGAAACGCCGTTGTGGAAGGCTCTAAAAATTTTGACCACCTAGGGCTCTTTAACGTGCGCGCAAATCAGAGCACACGGGCCTCAGGCATTTTCACTTCCATCGAAAATGCGGCCGACCGGAAAAGTCGGCCGACCGAAGTGCGGCCGACTCGGCTGCTGGGATCAGCAGCCGAGTGCCTTAGCCACTATACCACCGTGGCAGGTAACGATTTAATACTATAAACAACTTCCATTAAAAGAATATTTAAAAGTTAATTGACAAGTTTTTTTGTTTATTAGTCTTGTAGACGTCACTTTAGTCGCAGCGAAGTGGTTGCGCCTCGACATAGTACGTGAAAGCGACAGGAGCCCGACATGTCATAGGTCTTTAATTTTAAAATGTGTATTGTCTAAGAAACAAAAACGCTATATCTAACCTGACTCCAGTTATTGTATGTAGTTCCGATGCTCCTCGATAAATGTGAACAGCATTTGAAAAAGTAAACGCGCACAGCATGTACTGTTGATGAATGAATAGTTTTCGAGCAGATGCGACGACGCCTTTGTTGCCACGAGTACTGCTGCTTCACCACAATTAAAGTATTACTGCAGCGAAGCCAACTCCCTTGGTACAAGCATGGCCCTTCAAGGACCAAAGCAAGCGCCTGTCAAAAGCAGAGCGTCAGAACTGCGGCAAGATATCGAAGGCACAGGTTTTATCATTTACGGAAGGTAAAGAAATGAAGAGGCAAAATCTTCCGACTCGCAATGCCCGTGTCGTGT